CTCTATCAAAGTACATTTCTGAAAAGGAAAAACAAGTGAGACATGAATGTCATTCTTTGAAATAAAAGAGATGAAATTGGCAGATATGCTTGCACAATTACTGGTGCTCAACAACAGCATAAAGGAAAATACTAATGACTGCCTGAGTGTGGAAATGATTAATCAATCCACTTGTGGAATTGTAGAACAAGAAAGAAAATCACCATCACATTATGCATGATCAGACTGAAATCTGCATGCTCCAAAGTTTACATAGTGATTCTTGTTATCTTTGCATTTGAAATGGAAGAGGAGAAAGCATACTCTTAAGTCCAAAAAGAATGTAGTAAAAGAAAATCTTAAGCCCCTAATGGAAAGCATATACCAGTACTAAAAACCAAGTTAATACTAACCTATCTGACCGAGCAGCTCAACCTTTATTCCATTGTGTTCAACCTTCTTTCCTGATATTGGTTCAATTGATATCTGAGACATCATCAGAAAGTATTTTCTCCTAGGGTTAACGAAGGTTTAAGTGAGCTAGACGAAATGGAATATAAAGGACCAAAAACATAAAGTGTGAATACCTTCCCAGCTATGTTTTCTTGGCTTTGAAAAAGTGGGACCATTACTGTTTGGCCATTTTCCTTCTTCAATGGTATCTATCAAAGTACAGAAATGAATGAGGGGGAAATGTGAAGTATATCCCATAGAAGACCAACAATGTCAACTAACAAAAATCTAAAAGTTGGTTTGTATTTCTCTAGTCGTATTTGTATAGGAAACATATGGGGGCAATGAATTATCAATTTCAGTATTGATTAACTATGAGTTCTGTCTATTTCATTGTCAATTGCAAGAAAGAAAGCATAGAAGAAAGTTCCAGAAACCTACGTTTACATGTATTTTTTTCACCACCTGAAAGTTATTAAAGCTGGTAGTTTTGAAAACTATTATGTCGTCTTCATCGCCAGAAAGATTTTTCACTAGAATAAAGTATCATCAAGTTATCACCAAGGATAACTCAGCCTATTGCTAAAGCACACAGAGAATTGAATATGGCCTCTGAGAAAAACAGTAAACACTAATCCAATACCTGCTTCCTTGACTTCCCATCTGTCAATGTCACTGAAATGTGGCATGCTGGCTTGAAAGCTCCAAGTATATAATTCTGTCACACAAAAGTACCATCAATCCAACAACAGAGAAGTAGACAGAGCAAGATGATGAAATTCAAATTGCAATCCCGACAACAATAACAAGCAGAATAAGAAACATTACCATGTTAATAGAGAACGAACTTCAATCTAAATTTATTTTCAAACGATCTGCATAGACATAGATATAAAGATTAGCATTGTATACTTATATTGTAATAACAGCTCGATTTGGCATGTGCACATAATTTTCAAAACCTGATCTCAGAACTGCAAAATGAACAAAAAATCCAAACCCCTAACTCACATTCTCACTCAAATCCAGACCAGATGAGCAGCACAAAATAGTAACCCAGCTAGAAAAAAACTAGAGATCAGCTGTCTACAGCACTACAGCAGGTAGAAAGTCATAACCGGGATACACATATGTAGGCTCCAGTAAACAAACAACTATTTGGTAGTAAATTCAAATACAGACGCCATCGTTTCATAGAATTAAGACATTAATTACAAAAGCAATTCAGCGAAATCTCAAATACGCAAACTGCTAGAAGTAAAAGATCCTCCAAAAATCAAAATTCAAAGAACTAATAAGCAAATAAGAAAAAAATTGTGAAGTAAATCGATAAAAATATGAATGATCATGTACAAGAAAGCGGAGATGTGTGCAGGAAGTAGCTGATAGAAGAGAGCTACCTGGGATCGTGAAGAATAGAAGTTCAGCGACTTCAGAGCCCTAACGCAATACTTCCTTTTTTTCTTGAAGAACTAACGCAAATACTTCTTATTTTTGCATTTTGATTGAAAATGAAATAAAAAATGAAAAAATAAAAACGTCCGTACTATATTTAGGCATAAATGTTTATTTAGTACACATATAATTTTAAGTTTGACTTTTAATGAAAGAGTTAATTTTATTTTTTATCCTAGATTTATAAGTGATAATTTATTTTTAGTCTTTTTTATCAGATATTAATTTTTTTTTTTTAATTCTAGTATTGTTATGATATGACAAATTTTAATCCTTTATCAACAAAGTCGTTGAAATTTTGTTAAATAGAATAATATTTTGATCTTTTTAATACAAAGTACATTTTCCTGTTATATTTTTTATGTTTATTTAAAAAAAATAATAATAATTGAAGATCAAAATGTCCTTATATTTAACAAAATTTTAACATTTTTTAATAGAGGACTAAAATTAGTTATGTCATAATAATACTAGGACCAAAAGTGAATTTTTTGATAAAAGAATACTAAAAGTAGATTGTCACCTATAAATCTAGGACCAAAAATATAATTAACTCCTTTATGAAAATATCTATTGATCTTTTTTATTTAAATTATTTTATTGTGATCTTTTAGTGGTTATAGTTATAAGATAATTTTACCAAGTACGTATATTCATATAGTAAATGTGAATTTTTATGTAAATCAAATAAGTGTAGATCGTACGTCATTGACAAGTGCACACCGCTGACAAGGAGTCCATCATATTAGATTAAATTAATTATAAGTCATTTTGTATAATTTGCCATTTAAGAACCAATCGAGATACCCACATATATATTTTATTCTCAATGAGATGTGAACTTGACTTTAGATTTTTACAATTTTTTAAGTCTTTTATAATTTTAGCAAGTTTGTATATAGAAAATAAGAAAATATGTGAAATGGGTTATTCAACTTTTAATTTTTGTGCAATTGAATTAATAAACTTAAAACACTTATAATTGAACCATTAAATAACGAACCAAGGAAAAATACCTACATTTGGAATGTTTTTTTTTTTTAAATATCTTTTAGTAATTTAAGTTGAAAACATTTATATCTTTTTGCCGCCAGTTGGGTTGCCGCAATCATCCACGGATCCACGTTGCTATGTCGACGCGTGTTATATGCATGCAATGGGGGCATGCAATGGGGGCAGCTACATATCGTGCGATGCTTCTTGATTACGATGGTCGTTTCTTAGCGGCAAGTAATGGGAAGCTACCGGACTGCCTATCATCCCTTAGCCCGTAAGAAAGTGCTCTCTTGATTGAAGGATCGTAATGTGGTAGCGGTGGACTTATTCACAGATTGTTCGGAGCTTCGTAATAACTTGTTATCAGCATACATATCGCCGTTATCTTATGTCGATTTTGTTATTGATTAGTGTTAGAGCGGCTATGTCCTCGTTTGATTTTTGTTATGTTAGTTATGTTTCTAGAGCAATGAATTTACATGCTCATACTCTTGCTGATGTAGCTTATACTCATGCTACATCGCTATACTGAGACTCTGTCCCCTGACTCTATTATTGCTTTCATTTATTAATATATTGCAACTTTATTTTCAAAAAAAAAACATGAGAGAGGAAAATGCAACTCTAATGTGTACCAATGAAAAATGTGATTGGATTCTATTAAAAGAAATTGAGAAAGTATCCCAATTGTACATACTTTATAGTTTTTTTTTTTTTTTTTTTTTGTTCAATTGCACACTTTTAAATTTAATGATTTAATTATACCAAATCGATAAGTTCAATAATTTATTTGACATTTTTTTCCTACAAATTTTACAAGTAACTTTTCTATGTACATTTAGACATCATTTATTATTCTTACTCACATTATAATCTCACAAATATACAATATACATAGTTATTTAAAGAGTTAATTTCAGCAATAGTCCGCCGACTATATTGACTTTCCAAAATTAGTCCATGACTTTTAATTTGGACACTTTAGGTCCCTTGACTTTCAATTTATTTCCAATTGAGGTCCTTTCGTTAGAATACGGTTCATTAGACTTTAAATGAAGGGGTAAACTCGTCCTTTCACATGCCTATGTATTATTCTTCGTATTTCTCCCTTCGTATTTCGCTGTTATACCATGTAAACATCTCAATAATAGAGGAACGCACACACGAGTAGTCAGCAAATGGGGAACGACGAGGAACATTTTTGGGTTTCGACTAAGATTATCTTCATATATATCGCGTATACAATGGAGAAATACTAAGAATAATACATAGGCAGGTGAAATGATGAGTTTACCCCTTCATTTAAAATTCAATTAATTGTATTCTGACGAAAGGACCTCAATTGGAAAGAAATTGAAAATCAAGGGACCTAAAGTGTCCAAATTAAAAGTCAAGGACTAATTTTGGAAAATCAATATAGTCAGAGGACCATTGCTAGAATTAACTCTTATTTAAATTTAGCAATTTTGTATCAACAATTTAAAAGTAATGTAATAGACTAATACTATTTGTATTGCTAGATAAAATTAATTTGCCAATGATCTGTAGTCTAGTGATCTTTCCAAATGGAAGGGAGGTCATGGGTTCAAGTCTTATTGAAGGTGATATTGATTTTATGTGCTTCAGGTTGAGAAAGTAATTATGAACAAATATTACATTCTAACAGAGTCAAGATGCATGTATCTACCCAATGTATTCTTTTTCCAAGTAAATTATCAAAATGGTCCATCGATTATAATAATATTATGAGTTTAATTTTCAACTTTCAATTCCACCTAATATTATTCTTGCTTATCAAAGTGCACCTATTTTCTATTTGTCCCTCAAAGTGAATGTATTGTTTGTTAAGTGGAACGCCAAATCTTTATCTTGTCAAAATATAATGCTGGTTGTTATACAAGTATAAAAAAAATGCATTTACAACGGTAAACATGTGCACTTGTTGGCATGCTGGGTAGTTGGACATGATCCCTATTTTAATTAGTGAAATCATTATAGTGGAAGTACCATTTCGGTAATTCACAACCAACGAATGAACTAGGAAAAATAAAATAAAATTTACCAGCATGAGCAGCTTAATTGATCACAAATGTATAATTTGTCAGAAGAAAAAAGAGTAATTCACAATCAATGATTTCCCTTTACCCAAATCAATAAGATTACATCTCACAATCTGTCTTCTAACAACTAAATGACTGCATCTACTCTCGTACACTCCTTGCTCACTATTTACAATACCTTCTCACTAATATGTTGACAAAGAGAGCTACTAAACAATGTTCTTTCACAATTCACACTATGATTATACCACATTTTGGTACATCAACTGGGAAAAGATACAAAGGATTTGAACTTCAGGTTTCTAAAGCCTCTACATGTTTTCATTTGCCTTCAACTCTTCAAATCTTCAACGGGTTTAAGGCTTAGAAGATCGAAGATACAAAAGTAAACGTGTAATAGGATGATATGTTGACAAGACTCGGGGTGGAGTGTGGTGATCACCGTTCGTCCCCCAACCAGTTGTCTTTCTCTTTTGGTCCCGTTGGCCCTTCCTCGCCATAAAGCTCGGTTGGGAAGAGTTCGAAGAGGCTCTCGACTGAAAACCTGACAAAAAAGGGGAGGAGGATGATTATCTTGTCTACCTCGGATGCTGAATCGTATTCGATGGTTGGCCCCCACTCCCTCATGAACTGCAGCCAAGGTGGTTCTACGACGACTCCCTCCCCGAGATACTCAGCTGCAATGATTCGATATCTCGTGCTTGAATCTACAGCGTATTTGCTCGCAGCGCAATCGTTCCTCAGGCCTATTCCAAGCACTGAAGAGCCCTGGAGGTAGCAGCCGGGATGAGGGAAACTCGCGTGGCCATTTCGTGATGAGTATACAATTGGCTTATTCCCATCGATGAACTCCAAGTCCCGGGCAGCCACCCATTCGCCCCCGCTATGCTCAGAGAAGTACACAGACCAAAGCTCCCCCGAAAAGTTACTAACACGGAGAGTATAGTGCTCCCAGTCACTCACATGCTCGCCTATTCGGTTCATTTCATAGCTCATCAAACCAATTTTGAGTGTAGCCGGCCCGTTGAAAGGGCAAAACACCCACATTACAATATCAGTGAAAGTCCCACCCGAAGCCGGTTTCACATGAACATATAGTTCAGCACTATCGATGTTCCCACACTTGACATAGTTCTTCATTTTATCACCATCGGGCAAATCGAGCCAAAATTTCCGATCGTTTTTCCCACCTGCAGGCAAGTTTGAGCCTGTGGGTTCAATAGCTATACCGATATCCTTTCCATCTTTGTACAGAAGGGACCCGTTCTCGAAGAACCACGGGACAGATGAAGGCAAATAAGCCTCGTCTGGATGGAAGTAAACCGTCGGACCATATTGCTTGATGAGAGCGTGGACTTGATTAAGGGTTGGCATGGAATGTAGAGAAGAGTCGAGATTTTTCAAGCAAGCGATGTTAAGGTCATCGCCCGAGGTGAAGTTTGTAGCACAGAAGAATGTCCCGACCGAAACTCCTCGACACAACATGCCCCTCTTGCAGGGTCTCGTCGTCCAAACTTGAAATTGGGTTTTGGACAAAATTGATTTAGTACTAAATATCATGTCACAGGCTTCAGTGGTTTCCGTGAGATCGGACCGAACACATCTAACGTCTTCAAGATCAGGTTCATCGGGCTCGAGAGTGACTAAGAACCCCACAGGTTTGTAACCATCTGGTGCATTTGGCAGCCAAACGTAACCAGACCCGTTACAACCACCATCCATAGTCCATACTAAAGTATAGCTAAGAGGTTTCTCTAGAGCGGGAAGGTCCGATCCAGAGTCTTGAACACAGTTGTCCCCCGAGCTGCCCAAATCTCGGGCAGCAAGAACATAGCCGCTCAACTGCTTGTCATCGAGCTGACAGTAGTGACCAAGAACAGAAAACCCTTCGGGGACATCAACCGGCTGATAAAATGTTACGCTTTTTGATTTTGATTTTCCAAACAATGGCTTGCAACTCCATATTTTTTCGAACTGACTGATCTGAACCACTTCAATCTCCCCTAGGCGTATTCTTCCCGTGGCAAAACCATTCCCTGCAGGCAAAACATCACCCGTCTCAATCACTCCCACCACCAAATATTTTTAAAAAAATTAACAATAATGGATTGGGAATCAGGATAGAAATAAAAAAGCAAGCAATTAAGTAGCATTGCTTAAATTCAACCATTAAAAAGTTAAAAACCATCTGAAGAACCGAAATGCTAGTTATCCTTGGTGTGCCAACAAAACCGCGTAGAAAGTAGAAACAACTCCCCATTCCCCCTTACAGCTTCAACGAAACTCAAGTAATTTGGTTCCTATTTTCCAACATCCATATCATATACGTATTCTGGGCAAAAGTGCAAAAACATAGTTTTGGACCTATATGCATCATGTATGTAACTTGGGGAAAAAACGAAGGGGGAATCCTTTCTCCCTATTCCTCGAAGCAGTAGCAGAAATCAATTTAATCTACTAAAAATACTGAAAACAAGAGTCAATTTTTTTTACCAGAAAAAACTTGTGAAACTGTGATCTTATGGATCAATGAAGTACAACTAAAATCTAACATTAAAAAAAGTGAAACTATCCAATTTGTGTAAAATATGGATTCCCAAGCCACCAAACTCCCAATATCTAGACATTTGACTTGATCAAATCAATTTAACAGCTTTGACCATGCAGAAGAAGCAGGCAACCACCAAAGAATAATGATTCAAAGACTTACCTTCTTTAGTTCCTTATTGCTATTTGCTAGTACAGAACTTATATATATATGCCTAAAAGATTACAGTAATATTCAGGAGAAAAAAATCTATACCCAGATTGGAATAAATCCACTGAAGAATATGTGACAACACATTAAATCAAACATAAAACATAGCACCAAAACAAGTAAATTTCCACCAAAATCATACAAAACTTTAAATAACAGGTCAGGGCAAATATAATGCCAGAAAGACTGAAACTTTGGGGAAAAAGGGCTTTAGCAATAGGGATTCTAATCTGAGAGAGAGAGAGAGAGAGACCTTGAGGCCAGTGGGGGAGAGGTGAAGGGAGAGAAAAGGGGTGGGGTTTCTCCCCTGGAAACAAGTCATAGCCACTCTGTTTGTCCCAGCACCAGCAACAATCCATCCAAACACTTCTCCTCTCTTCTCCTTTATGATCAAGGCAGCACCTTTTTGCAATTTCTCCAAAAACCCACCACCAAACTTCTCCTCCCAGAAATGGGAATTGTGAATTTGTGTGTGTTTGGTGGTTCGGGTGGGGGGAAGCGGTGGTTAGAGAGAAGCACAGCCCTATTCCCTTCTCTCTCTCCTACTTTTTCTAATTCCTCATAGGCAATTCTTTCTGGGATACTAAGCAATAAATATAGGGAAGAAGCCTTCTTGGCTTCCACTTCTTCAACCATGGTTGAGTGACAAGAGAGGTACCTCTAAGATAGGTGTTCTCATCTTGTCCGTTAGTCCAACCTCCATTTACCCCACGGGTTGACAGGTAAATTTTACTCTATAAAGAATTATTAGCTCCACCCAACTAACTAATATGGTGCCTGAAAGACAAGGCAAATGATTGAGTGACTTCAAATTCTTTCTATTTTCCAAGTAGTGAAATATTTCTTTTTTTTTTTGTTTAATAAAAATAGAAACTTTCCTTCCAATGAAGAAGTCTCCTAGCATAAACAACTCAAACTAAGTTGATCACATAATTAGTTTAGTAACCACAATATTTTAAGTTTGACTCACACAGCTTTCTTGATTTGAATCAATTAGTTGCAAACAACTTAGCTTAGTTTACCTCCTTATAATTATTTACCGGTCACAAGCGAACTTCACCCAAAGTACAAATTTAAATTGTAGTTGCACACTTTCTCATAAATCGAAGAAATTCCCTAACATGGGAACAATCTAATTGTTGTGTATATAATGCACGTTTAAAATTATATGAAATTTAGATAGTAGTTTATAAGTCATAAATTTTCCACTTGTATGGGTATACTTTGAGAATTTATTTTTTATTATTAATTATTTATTTTGAGTGTATAAATATATACAAAAATCATCTCCTCAATTACAAATATCTGAATCCATATTAATTTCAACCCAAATCAATCACACTCAAAAATTACTTATATGTCATTTTCATACTAATTTATCAATTAATTATACTTTGTAAAAAAAAAAAAAAATCGTATAAATTCTGCATATTTTGATTATGGATGTATAATACATGGTGAGGTGACCATTCCAACTTGCAAGCAAAGGTGGCTTTGAACGTTGTTATGTCTTGTACGTATGTTCAAGATTCAACATTCAATTTTGTCAAATGATTCAATTAAGTTGAGATATTTTTATTTTATTTTTTAATATTCCCAATCACGAAGACTTGGTCATCAATAAATTTGTTTTGTAGCACGTTGCTTTCAAGCTTTTTTTTATTTTCACGTTTTATGGCGTTGCATTCAACTTTGGCACGCTTATAAATGTGACTTTAATTTTAAATGGTGTGCTCAATCTCAATGTCGGATTCAATTAATTTAATTTAATTTAATATATAGAATTGGTAAGTCATAAATAATTTATGTTGATTTATTTTATTGTGATTATTTGTCAATTAGAATCATAAGATGAGTTTAATTAAAACATACATTTAAATAGCAATTATAGGTTTTCTCGTAAATCAAATCAAAGCATGCAACAATGCTAATATAAAATATGGTGATATTTGAGTTAATTTTCAATGATACTAGCTAGGTACAATACAATTGTATTAAAAATTATATATATATATATATATATATATATATATATATTCAATAAACTTGTTTATAAATAAGTATATTTATCAACTCTAAAACTAAATTACAATCTTTACTCTTCAGATTTGGTTTGAAAATCGAGATCAACTAAACTAATCAATATAATTCCAGGACTATGTGATTTAATGGTACCCGGGTTGGACTTCCATTTGAAAGATTATGAGTTCGAGCCTCAATGGAGGCGTTATTGGTTCTTTGTGTAATAGAGTCAGTAACTTTCAAAAAAAAACTAATCAATATAATTTATTGTGCATCGAGCAAGTAGCACAACCCGTAGCTCGCGTTGTACAATGGCACATGTATGATATGAGTTCCTGTTGTTTTGTTAACTCAATCAAGTTAAAGAAAATTAATTTGTACTACGTTAAATAAAGTTTCATATTTGAATCATATCAATGAAATGAAAAGCAGCATGTGAGTTTATCTATACGAAATTCACTAACAACTTAACTTAAAAAACAATTCATCAAAATTCAAAAGTAACTATGGAATATTAAATAATTTTTTTTTAAAATAAAAAATGTTAGAAGGAGAACAACGTCTTCAACAACTACTACTACAACACCACCACCACCAACAACAACAATAATAATAATAATAAAGGTGAATCAACGATTTGGTCCCTCACTTATTCGCGACTTGTTAATGTTGCCCCTGAATCACGTATTCATCGATTTAGTCCCCGAAAATAATTGTTTTTCGTCAAATCAGTCCCTATGACCGTATTTCGTCAAGTCTCAGGCGAGAGCTCCGATTTGCCCTGGGCATTTTGGTATTTTCACACTTTCTTCTTCATTAACTCCGACGTCAGCTTCACCTCCGATTTCCGAGATACGCCGCTCTTCCTCCACTTCTCCGGTTTGGTTCTCGGTTGCACCGTCGCCGACGAGCCTATTTGATCAGCGCCGTCGGAGGAGTCTACTCCGTCTCCGTTCCCTGCTCTAGCTCCCGATGCTGATGATGCATACAATGTTAGCCACGCAAGCGAGTTACAGGCTGGTGAATCTTCCGGCGGTGGAATGAGCGGGGTAAGAAAGCAGGCATCGCTGTCGGAGTCATCGCCGGCGTGTGCGTCGTAGGGCTCGGCGCGCTGGTTTACAAGAAGCGGCAGCAGAATATTCGTCGATCGCAATACGGATACGCCGCCCGGAGAGAGATCCTGTAATAACTGCAAGGTTCGTACCATTTTGTGCAATCACTGAAATACATATACATGTATACATACAGATCTTTGGACTTTGTTTTGGACTGATTCATTGCTGTCAATTCACTGTATGCAGAAGTTATGATTTGTACCATTCTTTATTCGTCACTATAATTACTTAGTATTGAATTTAATTTTTCATCCCCCAAAACTCATTTCGTCATTACTTCGCAGTTTAGCCATGGAACCAATAATTAGCTACTTGTTTTGTTCTGATCAATAATTAGCTGATCAAATAGGCTCGTCGGCGACGGCGCAACCGAGAATCGAACCGGAGAAGTGGAGGAAGAGCGACGTATCTTCTTGGAAATCGGAGGTAAAGCTGACGTCGGCGACGATGGAATGTCGTCGAAGAAAGATGAATCACTACTGCGGATGAGCTAATTTCGACGAGCAGAGAAGAGATGGAGCTCCCTCCGGCGAGCTTGAGCTTCTCCGGCGAAGTTTGGTCGGAGTTAATGAAGAAGAAGGTGTGAAAATACCAAAATGTCCAGGGCAAATCGAAGCTCTCGCCTGAGACTCGACGAAATACGGCCATAGGGACTGATTTGACGAAAAACAATTATTTTCGGGGACTAAATCGATGAATACGTGATTCAGGGGCAACATTGACAAGTCGCGAATAAGTGAGGGACCAAATCGTTGATTCACCCTAATAATAATAATAATAATAATAATAATAATAATAATAATAATAATAATATTTCGCTATCGAAAACCAAAGATGTCACCGACCAAAGGCCCACACAATTATTTGTTTCACAATAATGATGATGATAATAAATTAATTGGAAAGAATGATTATAAATTAATAAGAATAATAATAATAAGTGGTTATAAAATAATTAGTATAGCTAATCCATCACCGCATAACTTTTTCATGCCATATATATCTTTATACTGCACATGCATTGTCCAACCCACATTATCTTTTGATTAAGAGTTAAGTGGGGTCTGGGGATGAGAAATTTCCGTTCCGCCAAAATTTCCGTGAAAATAAGAATAAGAATTATTTTTAATTCCTCATTAGGAAAGGAGATGAGACGAAATTTTGAAGACGGGGACGGGATTAGGATTTCGAGAACAGGGACGGGGACGGAGAGTATACTTTCCGCTCCATTGTCATTCTTAATTCCATTATTAGTTATATAACACAAAATACAAAAAGTTATAACATAAAATACAAATATATGAACCAAGGTTCGTAATGTCGTGTGAATCCTGATCCATGATATAAATAGTGATTGAATTCCACCAATAATTCTTCAAGTACGTGCTTATCCGAATGTCCATCTCAAATTGTTAAAGACGCCACTATGAAATGCAAAATCAAGGATTATTGTGTGTCCTCTAGTTCTCTAACGAAACTGTTATCGATCTTCTCCAATTAGCTAACAATTCAAAACAAAGACGCCACTATGAATGAATACAAATTCAAGGATTATTATATTGTGTGTCCTCTTCTCACAAAACCGTTATCAATCCTCTCTAATTAGCAAACAAAACAAAAACTTAATTTGACTTAAATACTTCCATCTTATTCCAATAAAACAAACTCATCCAGGATGGTTTAATTTGATTAATTAGGAGATAGCTAGACTAAACTCTTACTCCATTAATAATAGAATTATAGTTAATAAAGTGGAATGAAAATTAAATTAAAGGTTAGAACTATGACACTAGGATAATCATATGCAACAGGTCCAATCAAAAAGGTATTTACAATAATCCAATTTGTTATTGTTGCTCCCAAAAAGTTGAATCCCCAACCTAAGGGTCCCCCTCCACGTCTGGACAAAACATCTGTGAAGTAAATCACATATGTAAATCATGGTAACTCAGTTAAACACAATTGAATACAGAGGGTAGATTTTAGCTTGTTGTTGCTCATAATGTTTTAATATGTATCGAGCAAGGTAGCTCCTGGATAAGCAATAATATTGTCAGTATATCAGTTACTGGATTTTGCATGTTCATGGGAGATTCATTAATTTCCTCGAAATCAAATCCAGAGAATATATAGAACAAAATATGTATTCCTCATTTCTTGATGGAGCGGCCAAAGAATGACATGAAAACACATTTCCTAATTCCATTGGAGTGTTAATATACAAAATATGATAGTATGAAAAAAGAATCGGATTTTCGAAACCCGGAAAATTCATCGGCTTTGGATATTGTTCTTGCCCATAATCTGCCGCTCAAAAATGAAATGAACTGCCTAAGTGGGCCACGGGGCGAATTCGCCGGCGGGGCTTAATCTTTTTTCTGTTTTTTGCTTTGGCCGCAAACAATGGTGACCTCAAAACCATAAGCGTTTCCGAAGCACGAAACTAGGCGTCCCTTTTTCTTCACTCCCGGCTCTTTTGTAAACCCTTTCGCCGCCGCTTCCTCCGCCGTGAGTTCCTCCAGTATCAAACTCTCCCCACAGGCACTCTTCGTTTTCTCAGCCACGGGCACCGTCGTCTTGGCCGCCTGCGCCGGTGCGGGCGCGGGAGGATTCAAATTCATTAACTCCGCCGCCACCACGGAGGCCGAGGGCCCGATGTCGGAGCAAACCTCCGATCCGCCGTTCACGGCCGAGCTGTTGCATACAGACCCCCCTTTCGCCGGAAACTCCACGGCGGACTCAGAATCCGGAAAAAACTTGTTCATTTTCTTCTCCAGTAAATCTCTGCAATCCGACGACGAGCCGCTAACTTCGCTGTACTTGGGCTTGCTGCGCGAGGCGGAGTCGAAAAGCGCCACCCCCATGTTGAGCATCCCCTGAGGGTCGCCGGAGGGGCGGCGGATCTGGAGAGCCATGAACCTCTCTTTCTTATTCCCATCCTGAGTAATACTCCGCGCTGGGGGCGCGAGAAGGTGTTTCACGTTTATCTTTACCGTCCCGACGAGGACGTCCCGGAACCACGCAACGGAATAGATCTCGACGTTGACGGCGGAGTCGTCGGAGCCGAGGAAATCATCGCCGACCCGGAAGGAGAACTTGTGGTTCCACGTGGGATTCGTGAGGCCTTTGGAGTCGATGCTGGTGCTCCGCTTCTTATTCGGGTTGACCCATATGAGGGCGTAGGTGCGCTGGGACTTGGAAACGGCGGCCAGATCTTGGGCGGAGATGAGGGTGATCTCGAGGATATGGTGGGAGAGGGAAGGGCGGAGGGAGGAGGGGGCGGAGGAGGACGTGATGGTGGAGGAAGCCGCCGACGTCGTGGTGACGGAACCGGCCATTTGGTTGCCGGCGTCAGCGGCGGAGGGCTGATATCACAGACGACGACGGGGGCCGGCTAAAGGGTTGGCGTCATCATCAAGATTGGATCGGCGAAGCCTATCGGAGAGAGGAAGACAGAGTTTCCATGTCGATCTCTTGAGGTCGCGAGGTGTTAATGCCGCTAGTTATGGCTTAGTTTTTGTTCTGCATGCATGTCACACTTTTAAAAGGTATTCAAACATGATAGTTAGGGAGCATTGCTTTTTGGCCATTGAAATGTTTTCATTTTGTAAATATTTTATTTACGGAAATGTATGGAGTTCACAGCTATCTAACTAATTCACGTGTTATAGTTTTAAGAAATTTTTACAATGTGGCACCCGGATTTAGCTTAGGTGGTTGGTTGCGATTTAAAGGTCATGATAGGAAGTAATAGTAGGTATGTGCTTCATCTCAATTAAAAGTTTAGCTGACAGTTGGATTACACATTTATATTTATATATATTATATATTCAAGAATATTTATTTTTCTCAAATTTATTTTAAATAATGATTATGTTGCAACCCGATCAACGTGTTATAATTATATTGAAATATTTTCCATGTATATTGGTACAAAGGTTTAGTTTCAAATTTGAATCAATGCTATCATGTGAACTTGTGTACTATTATGCACCGTTGATCTTGCTTGATCTTGTGGTTTATAATGATTTTGACCTGATAAATATACATTATGGCACCAATGTATCACATCATTATATTGCACCACTGCACAATTGCACCGAACGTACAACTACACCCAACAGTTATGTTGTACGTGGAACCGTGTTCACCATGACATGTGAACACGGGATAGATCCATAATTTCTAAGCTGTATATTCATAATTTCTATATTGTAGATTCATAAAATCTATACTATAAATTTATAATTTTTAGATTCATAATTTCTATACTGTAGATTGATGATATTTGTACTGCAAAGACGAAATAATGCAATTGCGAAGAGAGAAACGTCGTTAACAATAAATGAAAAACAAAATTATGAATCTCAGCATAAAAATTGTGGATCTACCCCTGTGTTCATTATAAGCACAGTGAACACATTTCTATAACATAATTTGCGAACTACACCACTCTTCGCATCTTAACGATGCATGGACCGTACAAATATCTATTGTACATACCGGGTATTTTGATTATATCAGTATTCTTTTAACACTTGTCATCATTTTGTGATAGGTAATTAAGATATCGTTTCATTAATTATTTGCGTGGCCCGAACATAATATTGCATGAAGAAAAAGAAAAAGAAGAAGAGGAAGAAGAAAAAAAAAGGAATATATCACAGCCCATGCATTCTCTTTCTCGCTTACCAGCGTCTTGGCCGGTCGTCGTCCTCCAACCGGACGACGGCGGAGATTATCCTTTCTTTTTTCCGGCCACCTTTTCTCCGACAAAATGATTCCTCAAGCCCCATACAAGCTCCTAGAAATCAACGTCATCTCCGCCCACGATCTCCCTCCGGTGTCCAAAACGCTGCGCACCTACGTCGTCGCATGGCTGGATTCCGGCCATAAATTAACCACCAAGGTCAATCACAACGGCCACGTTAACCCTACCTGGAATTACAGGCTCGCCTTCCCCTTCGACGACCGGATCCTCGATTCCGACGAAGGCGCCGTCAAATTCGAGATCTATAACGTCGCATGGCTCCGTGACCTTCCCATCGGCACCGCTACGCTTACGTTGAACAGCTTCTACCCGCCGCTCTCCGCCAAAAAGCCGGCCGTGCGACACGCCGCCGTTGAGATCCGCCGGCCGTCGACGGGACAGGTACAAGGAACGCTGAACGTTACCGTCCAATTGATCCACGACAGCCCGCCGGAAACCGAATCCGGCAGTCAATTAAGCGTGTCCACCTTGAATAAACGCGGCGGCGAAACGTCAGGAGAAGACGACGACGACGACGATAAAATTGATGGCGATCAGGAGAATCCGGAGCCTGAAATAAAACGTGGGAAGAGCGTCAGAATCGTGTCGGAAAAAGACGACGCTTCCCCCGGCGACATGAAACTGAAAAACTGTCCGTCTTTCAGCGCTTCATACGTCTCCGGGATGCATCCCCTCCCGTCGGAAGTGGCGGCGGGTTTGAAGAAAGGGCTGTATTATTTTCCCGGCGAGGAAGAGGAGTACGGGAGTTCCATATTCGAGAACTGGTCCGTCCCCGGGGAAACGAAGAGCAAATCTTCCAAGACCGTTTCCTGGAGGATGGAGCACAAGGTAATATATATAATGTTGTAAAATCACTACTGGAAATTATGGAATTTCCGATCACCTGAAAGTGATATTAAATCAAGTGGAAAGCCTTATTCCGATCACTTTTGATATTCGAAAAAACTTTTATTGTTATTTCCCACAACTTTTTGCTTTAGACTTGATTTAAGATCACTTTCCGGCAGTGAATTTGACTGAAATTCATATAATTTTTTATACAAATTTCTAAAGGTAATTCCGATGGCCGGAAAGGATCACGGCGGCGCTGCCGGAGGGTCGTATAACACGAAGAGAACGAGACTATCAAAACTTCAGCGCCGGAGCAGCTCCGGTGGAGGATGTATGTCGTGTTTCGGGAATGCTTATGGGCTTCGATTCAAGTTCATATGTGGGTCCAATTCCAAGGAAGAGAAGAAGAAGAAAAAAGAAGCCGGCCGCCATTGATGATTATTTGCTCCATCTCCATTGTTCCTTAAACCCATCCTTTGTGCTGCCTGGGAAAGATGTAATGCAGGTTATACATATGATGTTTTTTTCTTTATATTCTTTGTTGTTGTACATCATATGTACAGTGATTATATTCCAAGTGAATTTTCTTTTTCTTCTTCCACTTTTTCACCCTAAGTTTGGATTGGGCATTTAGATCTTAAAAAACTAGAAGGCTAAGATCGGATCAATAGAAATGTACGTTTTAAGTAAAGTTCACCTGATCTGATAACCTTAGTCGGCAAAGGGCTGGCCATCAAGCCAATATATGAGTATTATCCATAACACCAATTCAAATTCGGCAAATTATGCTGTGTATCTGTATGCATGGTGTATACGGATGCACAGCATAACGATTGTTCAAATTCTTCTATTAAAAGTTACATTTTTTAAATTATTTGTAATGAATTTAGTTAACTAGAGATACTAGGAATAAGTATGTAAAATATGTCATCAAATAAAGATATCAAATAGTAATACAAAACTATGTATGATACGTTTATATTAACTTAAACATATGAGAATAAGGTGTGCACATGTTAGATTTAATAATAATGCAAAATACTTAGCTATTAATAGTAATGGTTCCAATGTAACGCATCACTTATCATGTTGTAACAACAGTCCTATGCGTGCGTATAATATTAAATGTTGTCTGAAAAATATGTTACCGAGTATTAAATTTGAACTTATAGACCGAGTTTCTTAGACTACGTACTGCAAAATATTTGATTAATTATAATCGAATAGAATAACCTTAAAACAGAAAGCGGTGCCAAATTTAAATTATTTTTGTCCTCAATGCAATTTGCTTGGTGTCCATTTTTGGGCTTTTGGCTGCCAAAGAGATTGAGTGGATCAAAGTAGGCTAACATGGCAAATTGACTTGAAAAGCAACTTTTTGGGGCAATTGTTGCAATAAACCAAGAGATAAAGGACCCCACATGTAATTTTCGAAGGTCCCCCGCCCACCAGTCCAACACCGCAAACAGACAACGTCGTCATCCATCACCACCACTACACTCGTATATTCTCTCATCGCTGACCAATCACACTTCTCAGCCGTCGGATTACTTCAATCTCCACGAACATATGAACAAGTAACCCAATCCAACAGTCCAAAAACCACCGCTTACCCGCACGCAAGCGAATCCCCAAACATAGAAAACCCAAGTTGATCTTAAACATGGAAGATAAGAATAGAAAACCCAAGTTGATGTTAAACAGACAAGGCAAATCAACGGTTGTAACAAATCCACCTTGTAATGTTTTGATAGATATTTATTTATTTACTTATTTATTTTCGTCTAGGGATGAGAATACGTACGGATAAATCTTATTCGTCCTAGCTCTCCACATCTCGACTCGACAGAACGTGTGAAAGAATATAAATCACGTAATTTAGTAGTATGTCTACATTGTTGATGTTGAATTTCAAACATTGATCTTTTTCTTTAAAATACTACTTACTTAATCAATGAGCTAAACGCGTGTGGACGGACGTACAAAAGTCCGGGTAAATCTCATTTTTAGTAAAGAATCACAATAAGACATGCTAAATTGTCCATAGTTAGTTCAAGCACAATAAATTAATCTAGTTAACAATCAAATTTGTAATCTTGACGGATTTAAATTTAAAAAAAAAAAATCAATAAATCAATCTCATTAGGAATTAAATTTGTAACCTTATCATTATTAAGACTATGTTTGACAAACTTAACTGAAAAGATAGTTGAAAGCTCAAAATGAGTTGAAAGTTAAAAAAAACTATAAGCTATGAGCTGGAAACTGAAGAGAGCTTGTTATGCTTGAAAGTATTTCGTAAAATTAGTTTTTTGATAAGCTGATAAATGTAAAACGACAAAAAGGACATCTTTATAAAATTTAAATTATTTTGTTTACATATTAAAATTTAACATTTTGTCATTAAAAAAAATTACATTTTGAAATAAAATTATTACCATAATCATGATCTAGCATCCATAATGAAGTAGCAATACTGTTGCGAATCACCTTCGTCTCTAATAATAATAATTGCGGTGAAAGTTGATAAAGGAGAAGAGAAAAATGATTTTAATTGGGAAGGGTAATTGATGTCGTTTCTTTAAAATAATACGAATAAAGATAAAAAAAAAAATGTTAGAAAGCTACCAGCTTATTAGGTAGCGTTCCAAAATAAACTCGTTACAAGCTTATTTTTGGAACATTACCACACAGAACTTATAGCTTATCAGTAGCTTAAAATAATCTAATCGTAAGAGTTTAGTTCAATGATTCAATAGGTAGTATTTGACAAAGAGACCAATATTCGAATTTCTATGGCGACAGTGTAAGAATTAAAGCCATTGAATCCGGTAATCTACACTCCCGAATACTTTGTCCAGCCAGAGTGTGGGATTTTGAGGTTGGAGATTCAATCTTTGGGAGAAGTTAAAATCCGATCTATTTGACTCTGGAGTGGTGATTGTTTTGTAATTTTGTTGAGTACTAAACTAATGATAGGAACATAGCGGTCAAAATAATCATTATCGTCTTAAAGAATCAATTATCATTCGCTGTATTTAGCAAGTAAAGAGGAGCTCAATTCGAATCTTTCTATTAGGACACACGGAAGGAAGTAGCAGCGAAATTTTATAGGACTCTCCCCGCCTGAGCTTCCCGGGACACGATTCGTCACCCGCCGCCGAAACTTCAATCAGATTCTTCTTCTTCTTCTTCTCAAGGTCCAAATCCTTAACTTTTATTTGTATCTTTCTCCATTTTCATGATAAAGTTCTAGTCTTTTTGCATACCCACTTTAAGATTGATTCTTGTGATGACATATCTCTGTATCAAGTCCCCCTTTTTTTGGGTAATTTTATTTGTTTTTCCTCGTTATTCTTGAACTGGGTTGTTCCTTGGAGCTTGAAGAACTGGAAGAGTATTATTATTATTATTATTATTATTTTTTTTTTTCTGGTTTAGGTCTTTTTTGGAGGAAATTTGTGGTTGGAGGGTGGGGCCATTTCTTTGGACATGTTGTATGAATAATTATGGAGGTTGGGAAGGTGTTGTTGGGGCCATTTTAGTAATAGACAGTCTGATACTCTGGTTATAGTTGATAACCCAAATTATGGTTCAATGTGTGTGTATAGTGTATGTATAATTGTATATGTAGTATATCTATTTCTCATAACTGATGTTCTTAGAGTCACTGCCATGAAAAATTGAGTAGTGAACTCATCCATTGAATGAAACATTTTGGTTGGCTGGAAATTTGTATAATACCATCAAAAGAATGGCTGTCTGGCATTTGCTTTATCAAGATTTTTTTTTTTGGATGACGAGAGAAACCGCAGCCACTATTAGATAGTGTGCACGGGATGAACCTGCATTGTGACCCTGACCACAAGCAAGTAAACCAGCCTAGGTTGTCCATAGCTGACCGGCTCAAATCAAGAAATCGAGAGTCGGACTTGTAACCTAGTGGTTACCAAGTCAACAGCCTGACTAACTTGGTTGGGGTTGCCCTGATATCAAGATATTTGTTGAAACATATAAGGGGTTTGAAAATATGATTTTTAAGTCTTTTAGCTGCCAATCTCTAATCGGTGGTGTTAAAAATTCTGGTTTATTGGTGTTTATTTCCTGGATTTTCTTGCACTTTAAGAGCTAGAACACTCTTAGCATCTGACTATAAATCTGTGCTATTTGGTTTTCCCTGTTGAGATGTGGTCCTAATTTCAACTTTGTCAACTATTCCACAGGTCCAACAGGTCAATTGGCTTGAGAGCCACTGTTATTTGATTTGTGCAGTTTGAATCGGAAAGAGTGAAAGACGGTTTTTGTGTAGTGAATTTTAGTTCAATTTATGGAACAAAGATGAACGCACGCCCTGCGTTTTTCATTCAACGATCAAGTGAAGCACAACATAGTAATATGGGTGTCTCGGGAGCTATGTCTACGCCTCTACCAATTCTACCTTCAATAGAAGAGAAATTTTCAAAGCTGCCAGGTCCTACTTCATCTTCTTCTGGATCGCAAAAAGACCTTCACGTTTCTCCCCAAGAAAACAAATCTCGTAATTATCCATTCATTTCGAATTCGTCTATAGACGGGCCATCTTTGGCCTCTTCGCATTCAGGTATACAGTCTAGCGGGCTGGACAGTTTTCCCGTGTGCAACGGTATTGATTCCTGGAGTAAAGAGGAATGCCGTGATTTTGTTGATTATACAACGAGCATTCCAGCTCAAAATGGCCAGGTAGAAACGCTTGCGGGTGTCATGTCATCTGATGACCACGCTAGAAGAACTGATTGGCAAGAATGGGCCGATCAGCTAATTAACGATGATGACACTCTGGCGGGTACCAGTTGGAACGATATTCTTATTGATGTTGATGTCCCAGATCCCGAACCCAAGGTTCGTTCCTCTACTAGATATCCTTGTTCTTTGATTGCCTCGAAGCTTATGCTAACAAATGCCAATTTACCAGTTGGTTCTGATACCATGTTATGAAAGTAAGGATAGAGTGTTTCTAATGTGCTGTCATATATTGTCTCAAACTGTCATATAGAAAAGTATAAATAAGAGCAATAAGACTACGAATATGAAACAAGTTTCCATATGTCCTACCTACCTAAATCCCTAAACTGCCTAATATATAGAGATTCTATATATCAAACATATATTCCATAACAAGTACTATGTTTCCACCTAGGTTCCATGTTCCTGTTGTTCATTTTCCGTTTATGTTGTGCTTTTTGACATCAACCCAAATTATAAACCGAAAACATCATCCTTGTCATGACTTTTAGTTGAAATTAAGAATTGTTTCGCAACTTTCTTACGAAATCTAGATCTTATAAATGATACCAGCTGTTGTTACCATCGCCCGATGTTCCTGTTCTCCAACCTCAAACGCTTCAGCAAACTCCCACGCTTTCCGAACAGAATTTTGCGGTTGCCAGTCCTTCATCCGCTGCTGCTCTGACCAAACCACGAATGCGTTGGACACCAGAACTTCATGAAGTTTTCGTGGAAGCTGTGAATAAACTTGGCGGTAGTGAAAGTGAGTGGCTTACTTCTCCCCGTTTCTTGTTTAACGCAATTATTATTGTAATCTGTCCCGTTCTTATTTGTGTGGCTTATTATACCTGAATTATGATCTCGTACAATAGGGGCAACACCGAAGGGAGTACTGAAGCTCATGAATGTTGAAGGGCTGACCATATATCACGTGAAAAGCCACTTGCAGGTATGGAGAGACGGAGAGTTTCGACTTACCTGAATCCCCTCCAAAGTTTAGGAATTGTTGCTTTTTCTTATAAATGTTCTTTCTTTAATGGATTCCAGAAATATAGGACAGCCAGATACAAACCAGAGCCCCCTTCAGAAGGTATAAACATTATCCTTTGGATACCTCGTAAAATTTTTGTGTAGTATAAAAACAGATCTCTGTGACCAATTGCCATTCATAATTTCATATCGCTTATTTTGAGGCTTTGCATGACTTGCAGAAACCTCAGAAACGAAGCCAGCTAGTGTTCCCGAGGCTGCATCTCTAGACATGAAAACGTGAGTGTCTCTCCTATCCTGTAATTCTATAAATACCCGGAGCTTCTGGACGATTGTTGAACCCAGTAAATGGGACTCGGGTTAAGCTTTGCTGAATTGCGTCTTTTTTTTTTTTTCTTGAATGCTACTGACTCTCGTAACTACTTTCTCAACCTGCTGAAGCACAAAGAGTCAATAACGCCTCCACCGAGGCTTGAACTCACAACCTCCCATATGGCAGTCCAACCCGGATGCCATCTGTGCACAATGTGCTTGGCTTGAATTGCGTCTTTGATTCTCAACATTTCTTTGTTTTTGTTGGCAGGACGATGGGCATTACGGAAGCACTACGGCTGCAGATGGAGGTCCAGAAGCAGCTTCACGAGCAACTCGAGGTATGTGAAGGTGTAAACCAAACCCCGGGCCGGGGTTTCCTCCTCCTTTTCGTTTTACTGCTACTAATATAGGCTCTAATTCTAATTCCACCCCCCCCCCGCCCCCCCCCCCAGATACAAAGAAAATTGCAATTGCGGATTGAAGAACAAGGGAAGTACCTTCAAATGATGTTCGAGAAAACGAGGAACATGGGGAAAGAACTAAAGGCATCGTCGCCTGCATCTGATGAACCCCCTCCTCTCTCCCCTCCAAACGACAATCAAGAACTCCCAGACCGGGATAACAACGCCAATTCTGAACTGGGTTCAAGTAACAAGAGACCTGAACCGAGCTCACAAGAAAGAAACTCAGCCGGGAAAGACTTCGACTCCCCACCACGAAAGCATGCAAAAGTCGATGACACAACAGCACCTCAGTAAGTTCCTGTAACATTTGACTATGTATGTAGCATGATGTCTTAAACAAAGAATGTCTTTTACGCGAACTGGGTTTTATGACATTATTATCGAATCTGTGATTTATGTACATTGGTGTTTCTGCACCTGTAGTTACTAGTTAGAGACTTAGAGCTATGCTCAGTGTTTATGGGAATCACCATTCTTGAATCCTTGAAATAACTCTCACTTGCAAGAATAGAGGAATCCTTCAATGTTTTCAGGAATGTCCACACAGCTGTGTGGACCACGGTCCAAAATTAACGTCGTTTTGCATAATTTTATTATCTTATCTTAAATACAGTACTTTATAATCAAATTAAATGAAAATTGTGGACAGCCACCTTGTGTTGGAGTTATCAAGGTACGTGGATGTCCTGTACGTACTGGTCAACGGCTTCTGTAGTCAACAAGACATTTTTTTATTTTTTTTTTGAAAACCGTTACGACTTACAAGTACCCAACAACAAACATATATGAAATCCGTTACGTTGTTGGTATGAATTGAAGTGGGCACCATGTTTGTTGTGAACTAGTTGATTATAATAAATGCAAAATTACTTTTTCTTTTTTTTTTTTTAAGTACAAATTTATAAATTTGGTAGTTTTTCATATTTATTACTCCGTACTAATTAACTTAACACGACAAAATTAGTTGCTCAACTTAATTTTTCTGGTCACATCAATATGATGTCTTGACAATTAATGAGATGGCAACAAGCTAACAATGTTGTTTTCTGTCAGACCAAAGCGAGTAGTGAAGTTAATCAAGTTATTAGGATGGCAGAACTATGCAATTAAAAAAAAATGCATTTGTGTCAATTAAAGTATTGTTGCGAGAAATTATTGATGATAACGGTTATCATAATAGGTAGATGTTGCATACTTGCATATATAAACTGTTATTTAATAATAAAATCAGAAATCAAACAATAAAAAAATTTCAAAATATTTATTTTTTCATATAATAATTGATTTTAGTGATTTATGCAACTGATAGATGGAAATTCAAAAAAGAAAAGGTAAAATTTTAATTACCCATTAATTAATTGGAGATAAAATATAGAATAAAAGTTACCTAAAGGAGCTTACCTGAAGTGAGGGTACAGTTCATTATCAATCACTGTCAACCATTATTATTACCCCCAGCTTCACCATGAGGCTATGCAACTATTGGAGAATTTCACATGATTTCTCTTTTGTACTTTTCATAATTACGGACTATATAATTATGATTAAAATATCATTTTTTCAGTTTCTTGAAATCACCATCCCATATTATATTAATAATATTTTTTGGATAATGATAAACTTGAAGATTTACACTAAGTAATTAATAGGCTAATAGCCAGCAAACTGTATAAAAAATGTAAACCGCACACTAAGAAGATCTTGTATGTACGACAGGCTCAATGAACATGATATTTGCAATGTTGAAAAAGTCGTTAGGCACTCGATTTTTTAATTATTTTTTTTTAAATTTTAGGGGGTTATACGCCAAGAAAAAAAAAAGAATTAAAAAAAATTAGGGTTCGCCCGTCTAGGCGCCCGGCCGTGGAGAAGGTCGATTTTTGCGTTCATCGACGCGGTCGAGCGGCGCGATTTTTACAATCATGGATATCCGCCTAGACTGTCTAGGCACCCGGCCGCGGAAGAGGCCAATTTTTGCGTTCCTCAATGTGGCCGAGTAGCGCCTAAGCACGATTTTTACAAGAGGTCGATTTCTGCGTTTCTCGGCGCGACCGGGTGGCGTGATTTTTACAATCATGAATATTTGTAAAAATCAAATTCACGATCTTTATGTACATAAATCATGTCTCACACACTGAGTAGCTGCTGCAAATTTTCTCATAAACACACATTTAAGTAGTTGGTGGAAATTTTTTCCATTAAAAAAAGAGAAGTATAGTTATGAATAGTAGGTGTTGGGGTGGGACAAAGGATAGAAGCAATTAAGGTGAAAGACATTAAAACGGTCACCAATGCAACAAAATACAAACCTCTTCTCCCACGTAAGACTGCCTTGGAAGCTATGCCACTGCTGTCAAAGCCACCTTGGAGTTGGTAGTTGCTGAGGTTAATTAACGTACAAATATTATTATTATATATCAAACCTCAATTAATCTCTCCCTCTCCCACACTGACAGTTAGCTCCCCACCACGTGCCTTCCTCGTGCATTTGGATATATGAATGGAAGGTGAGGACAAAATTGATCAGAGAGAGAAAGGGAAGGCCATTTATAAATGTTTGAATGGATTAGTATAGTGGGATTAGAAAAAGTAATAAAAATATATAATTGGTGCAAGTTGCGCGTATCAGCGTTGCCTAGCAAGAGCAAAATTTTCTTTTTCTTCTTCTTTTATTATTATTATTTTTATTTTTATCTCTGATCTTCTACTTGTCACATTCGTTGACAAAAAAATTTAAAAAGAAGTCATTAATTGAAATGAACACTCAATTAACAAGAGTCTTAGTGATATAACTATATAATTATGAGATTCTTTATAAGAGGTTTTGTGGCGTATTATTCTTTTATAGTTTGTATCTAAAATAGAGAATCATGCTAAACTCTCCCACTTTTTAATGTATTTTATTATCATTAGACTTGAAAATACTTTTCACTAATAAAAATTTTTTGGCTATCCATTTTTTTTTTTTTTAGTTTAGTGGTGTTTAATTTTTTTTTTTTAAGGTAAATGATTAAAAAATATATGAAAAAATGATCAAATAAGCTCTTAAACTTTTTAAAAGTGCAATTGAACACTCAAACCTTACAAATTGAGGCAATGAAGTCCAAGAATCAGTAAATGACTTGTTATTGCAGGTCATTTCAATTCAGGCATCTCTCTGGCGACCTCGGGCAAAAATCTGGCGACCGGCCAAGCCGTCGCCGGTCGCCATCTCTGGTGGAAGGCGACCAACTGGCCCCCGCGAAGAAGGAGGCCAGATCTAGTCGCCTTCCGCCAGAGATGGTGGTCGGCAACGGCTTGGCCGGTCGCTGGATTTTTGCCTGAGGTCGCCAGAGAAATGCCTGAACTGAAATGACCTGCAATAACAAGTCATTTACTGGTTCTTTGGCTTCATTGTCTCAATTTGACATGCTTGAGGGTTTAATTGCACTTTTAAAAAGTTTAGGTGCCTAATTAATTTTTGGTATAAAATTTAGGGACTTATTTAACCATTTTACCAAAATATATTAAAGTAGGCTAGAGCCTTAAAAGCTCGGAAGTTTGTCACACCATACGGAGCGAGCCATCCACGCACCATCTGCTTTCATAAAGACGTAGACAACTTGATTATTACATCTACGAACATAATGGACCTCAAAATCATTAATAGAATCTAAAAATTGAATACAATCATAAATAACTAAGCTGGTATAAATCAATCACTACTTTAATTAACTAAACTATTGCACAGAATTAAACAGTCTGATCCAAGTAGAACTAAACTATTATAATTTTTTTAGTTTAGTGGTGCTTTTAACTTTGTAATATGAAAGAAGAAATAATCGTATTTCCTAAAACAAATAAACACCCAATTGACATTCCTGTAATTTCCGACAGACAACAACTTAAAAACGGAATAAAAAGACAGTGAGTCGGTTACTTGTCCTGGAGCGGGCCCCACGGGTTCCTAACTCCTAAGCCCTGCTTCCGCGGGCCCCACAAGCGACCAACATCGCCATGTCACTGCCTCTAATAACTTCCCAAAGTGCCCCTGTCCGTTATTCCTGTCTTCCAACGACCTCCAAATGTCCGGAATTTGCCATGTCAAAGATCCTACCCCCACTTCCCCCACCCCCGCACCCCACCCCCCTCCCCACTCCCCTATTTCTTTTCTCAGTCTCATTCTTCACGGACGCGTGCGTGCTCACAAGCTTCTTGTTGCTCATAATAGAAGTAAGGGTTCAGAAAGAAAGAGAGAGAGAGAGAGAGAGAGAGAGAAGAGAGAGAGAGAGAGAGAGAGAGAGAATAAAGATCCTCAGACAGAGATTTACCAAAGAGTGTTTTGTTTTTTGCAGTTTCAGGTACACACTATCTTTCCTTGTTTCATCATTATTGTTTCTAATAACGTTTATTGGGCTGTTAATTGCTCTTATTATTGTTGTTATCTTATGGATTAGATGCTTAAAGCTGTCATCTTTTTCTGAAAATCTTGCACTTTTACCTTCTGGGTATTATTGTGATTAAAGCTCTCTGTAGTACAGTGATGAGATAAAGAAATCTTGGTAAAATTTTTCCTTTTCACCCTTTTGGGTAATTTTCCTGCCTCAAATTCAGTGTAATTCTTAGCATCTTTTCTGTTCTGATCTACTCTCTCTCTCTCCCCTCCTCTCTCGATCTCTAGATAGATTGATAGAGGGGCTTTTGAGAACTCTGAGATTTGGATTTCTTTATGCATTTGTAAAGGTAATTTTGGGTGTTTTGGTCATTGAAATTTGTTGTGGTTGCAGTAAAGTTGCTTTCTTTTTCATTGTTTGCAATGTGTTTCTGCAAATGCCTGAATCATGGAATTGACAGGGATAATGGGGAGGAAAGGGAGCTGGTTTTCTGCCTTGAAAAGAGCTTTGAGTTCTGAGAGCAAGAAGAAAGATAAGGTCTGCAGGGGATTTCCAGTTCCTTTTGATTTCTTTAATAATGTTTCTGAATCTTTTAATGAAGTTTTGAGTTTATGTTGCTAGGCTGCACATAAATCTAAATGGTTTGGGAAGGAGAAGACTGCAGATTTGGGGTGTTCGAGAGCAGAATCTGTGGCAGCAATGCCCCCAAATCAGCAGGAGAAATTGATGGAGGCTGAGAGTGAGCAGAACAAGCACGCCTACTCGGTGGCCATTGCCACCGCGGTGGCTGCAGAGGCGGCGGTTGCCGCTGCTCAGGCCGCTGCAGAGGTCGTCCGCCTCACGGCTGCTGCCCATAGCTCGGGTAAATCGAAGGAAGAGATTGCAGCTATCAGAATACAGACCGCCTTTCGCGGTTACTTGGTCTGATGCCAATACCTTAAACTTAGTTTAATGTTTGGTTCCAAAGTGATTGGGTGTTCTGCAAATAGAACAATTAGTGATTGAGTTTTCTTCTATGTTTGAGTTTTGTGAAGGCTAGGAGGGCATTGAGGGCTCTAAAAGGACTAGTGAGGTTGAAAACAATGCTTCATGGGCAATCCGTGAAGCGACAGGCCACCTCGACCTTAAAGTGTATGCAAACGCTAGCTCGGGTGCAGTCCGAGGTTCGGGCGAGAAGACTAAGAATGGTGGAGGAGAACCAAGCGCTGCAGAAACAGAAGCAAGAGAAGGAGGTTGAGAAATTAGGAGTGTCTGTGAGTGCCAGCCAATAATCCTTCAGTTTTTTTCGCCTTTTTTGTCTCGGGTTCTTCGAGTACTAATGGGGCGAAGTTTGCAGGAATATGGTGAGAATTGGGATGTTAGCACACAGTCTAAGGAGCAAATTGAAGCAAATCTGCAGAGCAAACACGACGCTGCTAAGCGAAGGGAAAGAGCATTGGCTTATGCCTACACACATCAGGTATACTTGCTCTGATACCACTTGTTAGGATGAAACGCTTACTGCTATTCCAAAAGTTATAGCGAGTAGTGGAGACGTAACTTTATTTTCTTATACCTGTTCGAAAGGCAGGGTGTTGGACTTGACCCTTCAGCTCTCTGCCCAACGATCTGTGCATTTGATCACATGTTTTTCGGTTTTATGTGTTCGTAGACACTAAGGAACTCTTCGAAACCCTCACACCAAACATTCATGAACCCGAATAATCCCCATTGGGGCTGGAGTTGGCTGGAGAGGTGGATGGCTGCAAGGCCATGGGAGAGCAAAACCGCAATTGACAGAGAAGAAACTAATGCCACTTCCTCTCGCCACGATTTCCAGATTGACAGTAGGCCTTCGCCATCGCCATCGCCACACAAGCACACCCGTCGTCCTAGCTTCCAATCGCCCTCCACGCCAACCTCGAAGCCGAGAAGACTGAGGCCTCAGAGCCCGAGGGGGAGCTGCTATGGGGAAGACGACTCGAGAAGCCTGACGAGCGCGCAGTCAGAGCGCTGCAGGAGGCACAGCATCGCAGGATCATCAGTGAGAGACGACGAGAGCCTCGCCAGCTCTCCAGCCATTCCCAGTTACATGACCCCAACAGAATCAGCAAAGGCGAGATCGCGAATGCCTAGCCCTTTGTCTGCAGAAAAGAACTATGCCACGCCCACGCCCGAGAAGGCAGCAGCCGCCGTAGGATCTGCAAAGAAGCGGCTGTCCTTCTCCGGATCCCCTGGCGGCCCAAGGAGGCACTCCGGTCCACCAAAGATAGACATTAGCTTCAGTAAATACCTCAATGTGCATTCCTAATAAGGGTCATCAGTTAAGAACTTGAAGATCTGCAGAAACCAGCTGTTTTCTTCAACTGTTTCATCTGCCATCCTTAACATATACAAAGATTATAAGCCTAGGAGTTTTAATGTCTGTTGTATTGAGTGCCATTTGTTTGTGGTTTAGTTTTTGGTGTCTCTAACTTCTTGTTTTCTCCCATTTCTTTTTGTGCATATCACCATGAATATCTGCAGATGCATGGATTGTTTGTGACAGAAATCTTGATTTCCAGACTAATGAGAATTCTCTTTACCATTGTTTTCCTTTGATTATCTGTTATGTTATAAGATCAGATGATTCTGAATGGGACATGATGTTATCCATTTCTATTCCTTTAACCAACTCAACACTGGAATAAAATTCTTAATGTTTATTTATTCAGCGAATCAAACAATAAAATATAATTCATGCTCTATTCCTTACCTATTTTATTTCCTATGGAATAGCATTCTTATTCCCTCAAAATTCATTCCGTGAACCAAACCTACTGTTAATGTAATAATCATATGCATAGAATATATATTTAGCAAAAAAAAGAATAAAATGAGGACAAAATAAATACAATGATACACAAAATTTTCCATGAACCCAACCAAAAAAAATAAAAATCTATGGCCTAGCCACCTAAGTAGCTAAATCACCGATCTGTCTTAACAATCTATAGATTTTTTAAAATACTTGTTTAGTGGTGCTTGTAACAAGACCAATTCTATACCTTCTACTTGGTAAGAATAGAAACATATACCATGTATTATCGAGGCATACTTTAACTGGTCAACCAACTCAAAATAGTTTTATATATAAATTTTGCTTCGTTAACAGTTGTACATTGCATGGTTTGAATGCTACCAAGCATTTTGGCTGTGATTTACTTCCTTTGCCAATATCAAGGCTAGGAGCGAAGTTTGAAAGTGAGCAAAAAAGTGTGAAATTTTTTATTACCTGTATGAAGTAAAAAAAAAAAATTGTTGGTTATTTCAGGTTTATAATTGTTTATTATTATCTTGATGGTTAGGAGTTCATATATAATGATGGATTATTGGTTAATAATACGTACGTTTAAAAAATCTAATTTTTTTTAGTAATTTATTTGTCAATAATAGCTATTTTTAAAAAAATATTTCAATTATTAACGAAAAACATACCGAAAATGATGTTACATGGATTGTTTGCTTGGGCCATAGTGAAGCACTTGAATCATTGTTGTACTATCAAAATGCTTGACAACATTCTAATAATTAGCCTGGGTCTGCCTCACTGTTTACTGAGCTTGACCCCATCATATTGACTATTGAGTCCAATGGGTTGGCAAGCAATAAGATTGTTTGGGAATTAGCGGATAATAATAGTGATAAATTGTGAATTATGCCCTGGAAACGTGTTCACCGTGAATAGTGAACACAAGGTCAAACGACGTCGTTTTTAGATATAAAAAAAATAAAAAAATCACGGATGTGGAGTTAACGGCGCACGTTGATCAAATTATGAATTTTCTGTTATGAGATTATGAATTTTCAGAAAATTCATAATCTCATAACAGAAAATTCATAATCGCATAACAGAAAATTCATAATCTCATAACTGAAAATTCATAATCTCATAACTGAAAATTCATAATCTTATAACAGAAAATTCATAATCTCATGGTTCCAAAGTGAATGTGTAGGCATGGTTCCAAAGTGAATGTGCAAGCATGGTTCCAAAGTGAATGTGCAAGCATGGATTCATAATTTATGAATGTCCGTGATTTCGGACGGGAATGTGTAGGCATGGTTCTAAAGTGAATGTGCAGGCATGAATTCATAATTTATGAATGTTCGAAATCATTGTTCACCTCAAATTAAAGTGAAACCGCAAAATGTGAAAATGAAGAAGAAAAGTCACGCAATTAATTAAGAAAAAAAAAATAACAGTATACTAACACCGTTGAATCCGTGTCCACCATGAATGGTGAACACGGTTCCATGGCATAACGCTCCTAAATTGCGTTAATCATATAAATTAATAGAAAATTTGCATTTTGAATTAAAAAAATACAATTCACTAACCTTAAAAAACTACTATTTACAATCTGTTGTTTATTAAATATTAATTTTTACGATTTTGACGGGATAATTGTATAAGTTTATCAGTATTATTACTTCTTAATTGACTCCACTACACTAGCAGCTCGAGAGTAGCATAAGTTTACCAACTCGATAACTATATATATATATATATAAAAGAATGAATTCCGGGTACATATTCTATATTATGTACTTAAGAGCAGCGCAAACAAAAGCATGTGAGGATTTCAGAGAGGTAGGATCTTTATTCTTTGGATTGAAGTTCACGCTGTCATATAATATAACATTGAAAATAATGAGTGATATATATTGAATTGTCAGAAATTACAGAGTATCTTTTTGTCCGTTGAACAACGTGGTACCACGTACCACGTACCACGTTCGCAAATGTTTATACGGAATATTATGTTTTTATTATAACATCTTAGTTACTAACGGTCCACAAATTTTACGGAGTATCATTTTGTCTACATTATAATAGAATCAATAATATTTAAAAAGAAAAATAAAGAGAGAAAATGTGTTTTTCTTTTTTTTTTTTTAAGTATGAACCCATCTTTCTTTTCTCTTATTCACTCTTTACTCCACATCACCCTAAAAATCTAAAATATTGTTAGTGATGCTCTTAGTAAAGGTAAATATATAAAGTTGAATTTTAAATTTAAAGGTCTCCCACCACTCCTATCATAAATATTAGTGGAAGAAATAAATTGAGAAATATGTCTCAAGTAACCTACAAATCCCAAATAGTTGTAATATAATTGATAGCAAAACAAAGTTTATGAAACTTATTTTGAATTAGTTGATCAATTAAGTTATATCACGGGACAGTAAAAGTAAATATATTATCAATCAATAAATTTACATATATTATATTCAAGATATGTTTCGACAAAAATAATCACAAGCTAAAACACAGAATTAAAAATATACACCAATGAAGTCAAATCAAAGCACATCACACACAAGTAAAAAAGAAAAGTATAAAATATGATTTATGATACATTGATACGTTTTTTTTTTTTTTTTTTTTTAACAATACATTGTCTTTGGTAGAATTATATGGTTTATACTTTTTGTTCTAATATTTTTAATTAAAATGTACGATTTAAATAGTCGTAAAATACAATATTCACTAGTTATACTATTTATCTAAAAACAATTATAGTCAAATGCATATATCACTCAATTATAGTCAACTAGTTATATGGTTACTAGTTTTGTCCGGTGCGATGCACGACATAAAATTTAAGTAACTTTATTGTTGATAATATTTTAAAAACAATAAAATAAAATATTAATCATGAAATTAAAATGTATTTTGAAATATATTTTTCTTTAACAATACTAAATTGGTTGTTATATTGACATCACATACTGTTAGCATATATTATAAAGAATTGTGTTATAACATACCACATGAGATTTAAAAATTTTACATTAAAATAATTACACACACACACACACACACACATTTTTATAAAAAAAAAAATTAAAATTAGGAAATCAAACAATATACAATAAAAATTATGAAATTAAATTTTCTTATATATAAAATATTTATTAATATGATTTGCAATTAAAGCCTATAGTGCATATACTTGACAATATATAAATAAAAAATACAGTATCATCATCATACATTGAAACTAACTATGAAAATATTTTCTTAAACATTGCTTAATTATAATAATTATATACGTACAGCATATATAAATCTAAACTAAATATGAAATATTTCATGACATGAAAGAAAAAATAAAACCTGCAATGCTAAGCCCAATAAACATTTAATTATCTATCCATATAACCCAGTTACGTTGCATTTCAGCCCAATACCCGAGCCCATTAACCCAATTATAAAACCTGAATACCGAACCCTAATCCATATTTTTTGACGATTGCGCTTCCGTCTACTCTGTTGCGTTCGTCATTCTCTCTAAAGTGTTCACTGACTTACGCGAATTTCTCTGTTTCCGGAGTCGATTTTAAATCATCGCACGTCCAAGTAATCCACTGCTAAAAATCTTTTCAGATAATTTGACCGTAGCTTTTGACCGTTGTGGAATTGCTTTCCTCCCCAAATGCCGATCTGAAAAATCGAGTGACCGGAGCAAATCTAAAACAAACTAATAAATACAGTATCATCTTCAGGTAAAACTTATTGTTTAAAACGAAATTAAGAAATACATCATATTTTCTAATTACTTAATATCAGTTCAATAATTATTTGTTTAAACTTATTCGTCTCTCCAATAGTATTGTTCATGCAACTGATTTAAATTTTCACATTGGTATTTAATGAGTATTTAATACTTTAAAATGATGCAATTTCATTTAGGCGAGAAATTGATATGGCAAAAAACATTTTGCTATTATATAGAGTAAGATAAAATAAGATAAGATAAGATTCTTATGCTTGACATGGCAAATAACACCTCAACTCCTCAAGGTATCTTGTTTTACGTAAACAAATTTTAAATTAAAATAAGTCTTACCCATCTTTTGAAATTTTTAAATATTAAAATTTTATAGGTACAAAACATGATTGAGATATTTATAATATTAACCGTCTAGTTAATCAAATCGTTGTAATCTAATTTTTTAAAAGTTTAATCATTAACCGAACTAAGCTTTATATTACCAAATTAAGGCGACCGGATATTTTCAGTTAAAGAACGATTAATCAAAATTCTTCAATTCAGTCGGTTAATTAAAATTTCACTGAAATTTGCACACCCCTAGATGCATACCCGTGGTCATATACTAGTAATAATTAATGAGTTAATACCTAAAATCGTCCTCGACTATAGTGGTTTTTCTCAATTTCGTCCTAAACGACTTTGGTGACCTAATATCGTCCCAGACTTTTGTGTTTTGCTCAATTTAGTCCTCCATTTGTTATTCCGTCAAATTGGTGTTAAATAAAAGGACAATTCAGTAATGTCAATATTGATCTCTCTTTACTTTCAACTTGTGAAGTGCGAAATTCCTCTTTCTTGTACGAATTACACCCAGAATTACTCCCGGACCTGCAAATCAAATTTTATATTCGCAGTTTTAGGAGTAATTCTAGGACTAATTCGTAAAAAAAAATGGATTTCGCAGTTCATATGTCTATGAGTAAAGAGATGCCAATATTAAAATTACTGAATTGTCTATTTATTTAACACCAAATGGACAGAATAACAAATGAAGGACTAAATTGAGCAAAAACACAAAAGTCTGGGACTAAATTGAGCGAAACACAAAAGTCTGGGACGATATTAGGTCACCAAAGTCGTTTAGGACGAAATTGAGAAAAACCACTATAGTCGATGACGATTTTGGGTATTAACTCAATAATTAATTAATAAAAATATTAATTAATAATAATATAATAATAATAATAAACAACAAAATGATGACGATGAGCCACCTCTGCAACTTCATCACTTTCTGTCTTTCTCCTCCTGATGCGGAGATCTCACATTTGTTTTCAGAAATTTGCAAAAAAAAAAATAAATAAAAAATTAAATAGCCCTTTAAATTCTCCTGACAAACAAAAATAAAGAAAGTTGATCCAATTTTAGCTTCATTCTTCATTTCAATCAAGTTCTCTGTGTATATGCACACATGTAGTTACATAGTTGACGACACTGTACATTTCTGTGTATGTACATATTGAAAGGCTTGATCTTTTGCAGCCTGATTTGTAGAAACAGTTAGGGTTTGTATTCTCGATCTGACTTGTATCAATTTTGGCTGGTTCTTTGAGGATTAACTAAAAACGAGCGTTTTCTGTACCGACTGGGTTTGTATAATTGTATGTTAGTGTATAGAGTGGGGTAGTTTGTTGAGCTAGGGTTAGAATCATGGCGTTGGGACCCGGGAATGGGGATCATGTGGAGTCATTTTGCAACTCAATACAAGTAATCAAGAACGTGTTATCTCCGATTGAGTCGAGTATAAGGAAAGTTGCAAAGGATTTTGAGCAGAAATGGCCTGGTTTCAAGGTTGATAGCACAAGTGTGAAGAGAAATAGTAAGATTATAGGTGGTTCTGGTGAGAAAAAGAAGAGATTTGCAGTGAAGGTGCCAAATGATGTGTTTGTAGGGCCATTTTGGGCCGGGAAAGGGTTGAAAGAGAAAAAAAGTGATGGGGATTGTTTTGACTGTTCACAGTTTTTGGTGGCTTGGTCTTTGTTGATGAATAAGGTTGGGAAAAAGCTGGTTCAGAAGATGATTACTGATGAAGTTAGGAAACAAGAATCAAATGATAGAGCTGTTATGGTATCTTGTGATGAAAGATTGGGTCAAAAACAAGGGAAAATTTTATCACTTGAGTGGTTTATGGGGTTCTTGTATGATCATCTAGCTCAGAATCATGAAAAACATGATTCTTGTGGTTTTGGGAAGGGATGTCGTTATGCTGACCTCGAAGATCCAGTTTCTCCTGCTGTAAATCAATTCGATCATTTGAAGGCCCTTGCTAGTGTTTTCGAGGGCAAGAACGAATTTTTAGGGAACTTGAAGTTTGCAAGAGTGGGCAGTGTCCCTTCGAGTGGCGTTGGAGTATCTTCTCCTGTAACTGAAGACAGAGACAATGAAATCGATAGTTCGAGTCCTCTTGAAAATGGTGGGGACAATTCACCACAAAGATTGGGCAATGGGTTGCTTAGTATTCCCTTGTCAAATATTGAGCAGTTGAGATCAACTCTTTCCACTGTTTCATTGTCTGAACTAGTCGAGTTCTTGCCTCAGTTAGGTCGACCTTCTCAGGACCATCCCGACAAGAAGAAACTATTTTCGGTTCAGGATTTTTACAGATACACAGAAGCTGAAGGTATGCTTTGATTAAGCTTTATGGCGAGTTCACCATTTCTTGATTTCAGGTGAAATGCTTGGTCCGAAATGCTTTAATTTGAATTCAAAATACAATTCCCAAAGATCTTGGTCTGAATTGGTGATTTTAAACTTGTCTTATGAATTAATTGAAGTTGATCTTTTCCTCAAGTCAATAATCATAGTGCTCTTATAAAAGATATCTATAATCCATTTCACTCATATAGGAAGGCGGTTCTTTGAGGAGTTGGATAGAGATTGTGATGGCCAAGTGACTTTGGAAGATCTCGAAGTAGCCTTGAATGACAGGAAACTTCCTAAGCAATATGCTCATGAATTTATGCGCCATACAAGAAGTCACTTGTTTTCGAAATCTTTTGGTTGGAAACGGTTTCTGTCTTTAATGGAACAGAAGGAGCCAACCATTTTGCGGGCTTATACTAGTCTTTGCTTGCGTAAGTCGGGGATGCTACAGAAAAGCGAGATATTGGCCTCATTGAGAAATTCTGGGGCTCCAGCAAACGAAGACAATGCTGTTGCCATGATGCACTTTCTAAATGCAGATAGAGAGGAGTCCATCTCCTATGGACATTTCCGGAATTTTATGGCCTTGTTACCATCAGACAGATCACAAAAAGACCCTCGGTAATGTACTAGTAGCATCTCTCTGTTGAGCATATAGCCATTAATGTGCAATCCAACTATTAGCTTAGGCTTTTAGTTGAAATGGAGCACATGCTTCGATTTGGTATCAGAGCTAGACCAAAGGTCATGGGTATAGCCATTAATGTGCAATCCAACTATTAGCTTAGACTTTTAGTTGAGATGGAGCACATGCTTCAATTCTCTCCATATCTGAATTTTATATGAAAAGCGATTTTTTAAAAAAATTTAAAAAAATCAATATGCTTGTTAAGATATACTCCGTATTTCCTAAAACATGCAGAAGCGTCCAGTCTGAGCCTAAAGAGATGCCCGCTGGAAATGTTCTGAAATCAGCATTGGCGGGAGGTATTTCTTGTGCACTGTCCACGGCATTAATGCATCCTATTGATACTGTTAAGGTACAACTTCCCTCGAAAGGCTCGGATTTGAGCTGTCATTGTGTGAATATGTGATCATGGCAAATACTTCTGTTTTATGTACTATGTATAATGTGCTAAAAAATCATAAGTTATGCATTGTATTAGTCATGAGTACTCTAAGATGTGTTTTTTTCCCCGTAATTTATATTTTAATAGACGAGAGTACAAGCATCTACACTTACCTTCCCACAAATCATGTCCAAGCTCCCGGAATTTGGATGGAAAGGGTTATACAAAGGATCTACGCCAGCAATTCTAGGACAATTTTTTGGGTGTGCCCTTCGTGTTCTTACCTTATTTTTTGTGATGTTATTATACAATATATATAGTGTTTCTATTGGCAATTTTATATGTGCATGTGTTATAACTTATAAATAGCTGTTTCCCTTAATTGCAGCCATGGCTTGCGGACTGGAATTTTTGAAGCAAGCAAGCTTCTGGTGATAAATATTGCTCCCACCCTTCCAAATATGCAAGTAAGACATAAAAATTGCATTTTTCGTTGTCTTGATTTTCCATTTTTCTTATCATAAAACCGTGTTTCTTTTGGATGACAACCATAATATAATCTGTGAATTCATACAAAGGTTGTTTAATTGAATATGTTATGTACATTGATATTTGTCGTTTTGGAGGTCATTAATTTCACATTTTTGTCAAGAGTCCCACATTGATAAAATAAGAGAGAACCTATGGGTTCATAAGACCATGGGTTAGACTAGCTAATTTGTTGGATTCAGTCTTTTAGTGTGGTTTGGTCCATGTGCATTATAGCCCAGTTGAGTGCTTCTTAGTTCTTACTTTCCTAGGTTCAATCCACGGTGTCATTCTGCAGCGCTATACTTGGGACAGTAGTCCGAGTGCCATCCGAAGTGTTGAAGCAAAGATTGCAGGCTGGTCTGTTTGACAATGCAGGGGAAGCACTTATCGGTACTTGGAAGCAAGACGGTCTCGAGGGTTTCTTCCGGGGGACCGGAGCTACTCTCCTCCGTGAGGTTCCATTTTACGTTGCGGGCATGGGCCTCTACGCTGAATCTAAAAAGGTATGGCTTCTTTCCCTCTCGAGTCTGATTGCTTTCTAGACTTTTGCATAATTGACTGCCATTTACGATGATGGTATCAGGCAGCTCAACGGCTTTTAGGGCGAGAGCTGGAGCCGTGGGAAACAGTGGTTGTCGGGGCTGTATCTGGAGGCCTAACCGCTGTTCTGACAACACCATTCGACGTGATCAAGACCAGAATGATGACTGCTCCCCAAGGCCAGGCTGTCTCGATGTCAATGGTAGCGTTTTCTATAGTGCGTAATGAGGGCCCCCTCGTGCTGTTTAAAGGAGCAGTTCCCCGGTTTTTCTGGGTCGCTCCTCTCGGTGCAATGAATTTCGCTGGCTACGAGCTTCTCAGAAAAGCTATGGGCTAAAACGAGGCAAAACTGGCTCGATTCATCCCTTTTTAACTTGGCTCTGTCGAAATCTCCGATTCTCTGGTAAAAACTATGATGTTTTGAGCATAGCATTTGTTGTAAAAACTGTAAATTGCCATTGAGAAATGGTGTGTATGTTCCCATAGAGAAAGGTCAGAGGTCATTTGTTGGTGTTTGTGTGAAAAAGTTGGTTGAATGACTTTGTTAAAAGTTTAACACTTTAGTTAAGTTAGATGCATCATTGGTTATTGGTTAATGACTTTGTTTGTATGTGTTCATACATAATTTCAAAGTCCACAACAACATGGTTGGTGCACTTTTGAATTCATATTTTGATCTCTATCAATATAACATTTTTTTTTTTCAAAAAGCTTAAATTACCGAGCATCTTCTCATCAATATTATTATCTTACTGCTAAGTTAATTAGTTGATCAATTCAAGGAAATTAATATAGTTTCTGATAGCGTTAATAGGTAAGAGGTCATACAATATAACTAATTAGACTTTCCACAATTACTTTGATTACAGAAAAGCTCAGAACCTTATCTAAATGTGTGCTATGGGTGAAGCATTCCTTGTAGCTCTAGTCAGCAAAGGACACAAGACAGGTGATAAATTAGTTTAAATTGTTCATAATTAACTTATTCAAATTAAGAAAACCAATAGACAACTTCCATCGCAAGTTCAACTTGGAACTTCCAATAATTATTGGCTCCCACTAATGGGTTCAACAATTACTAGTTCCAAATTTTCCATGACTATCATGCCTCACTTAGCTTTGAGACAAGATGTGGCTCAATTTCTTTCTTTTTCTTCGATAACATGAGAAACTCGTAACTATATATTATTAAAGGTATATACTAAATAATCATTCTTCTATATAATAACTTGTAAATTACGTAAAAGGAGTAAATTACAATAGAAAATTATGTATGACAGACTGACTGAAAAAATATTAACTAGAATTAAACTCATGATATTCTGATACGAGCATTATGCTCCAACTACTCAGTCATTTCTTTCGGGCAAATTGAAGCAATGTTGACGTTATGTGATTGTGTGAAGATTAGGGAAAAGTAAAGTATAACTAAATGCAGTGATGCATGGTTTACGTTTTGGTGGTTTTTTTGTTGTTGACCACTTTTTAATAACGCATTATATATTGCTAGTATTATGTGCATGCTCCATGCTAGATGTCACACTAATATTTTATGTTTAATGTGATGAAAACTTCCTTTGTAGTTACAAGTTAAATAATAAATTAATGTGTATTATACAACCTAACAATTTGAGACAGTTAATAAAAAGAATTTCTGAGGTAATTCTGATCCAGTAAATAATGTGTCATGCTAACGAATTATAATTTAGATTTTTTTTTTAAAAAAAAAAAAAATTATTGTGAATTATTACATTTTTATTTTTTATATGTGGATGGATAAAGATGAAACATGTGATCGAGTTCAAATATTTGTCTTGGACGTTAGAATTAGTAACCAATTTCAATAAACTAAATTCTCTATGGAGGGCCCATATTTAACTACCATGAAGTTTCCATATGACTTTCACTCATTATGTTTATTATTTTTGATATACAGGGAAAATTCAATGAAGAATTTTATAGTCCCTATTTAAATGTATATTTTTGGTAAAATTTATTTTGTGATCTTATCAGTTAACCATAATAAGATAAATTAGTTTAAATTTAAAAAAAAAATTATAGTATATAGATGAGTGAAGTAAATATTAAATCACAAAAAAAAAAAAATAATAAGTTATGGTTACTTAATTAATTGGCTGACTTTACATTGAGGACAATGTAACACAAACTAAACATTACCTATATCCCCAAGTATGGTTTAATATGTTTATAATGGTTTCTTTTGTATTGTGTGTATACATTATCTAGTGATGGATTTAGAAGCGTATAGTGTTGGTAGTATGATATTTTTAACTTCTTACGACAGGTGATATATATTGCATTGTGACATATTTAACGTTTAATTTTTTAAATGGACAAAATAACTTACGCTAAATATATTGTGTATATAGCTTAGGTTGTATATTTAATTAGTTATTGTTAAATCCTCACATGTTCATCATTGTTATGGTTGCACTTAGCATTAATTCCGAAAAGCAATAAGAATAGTGAAATAACATGATAATATTAAGTATATATTTATATTTTGAAGGTAAAAGTGTAAATTTAAATCTCGTGAAAACAAAAAACATTTAAAGACTTCTTGAAACTTTAGAGTCATTGAAACTTAACGTAATTATATATATTGTCAAAACTTATGGCAACTAAATGTTTAATTTGTTTCTTTTCAGAAAAAAGGTTTAATTTGTAGTGGTGTGAGACGCAGGATTGGGAATAGGGAGGCTACATTGATATGGGCTCATCCGTGGATATATGATAATCAGGAACCTATGATACAAAAATAAATGCATTTGCCATTGGCAGGAGCCAAAGTTGTGGGTTTAATAGATCAAGAAACTGGTAAATGGAATCATTCAATTTTAACTGATTTATTCCAACCTACTGATGTGGCTAATATTTTGAAAATACTTGTTTCCCCTTGATGAAAATTGGTATTGGCAAAAGGAATTTATAAGAGTGGCTACAGGCTCATCGTAGGCAATTATGAAGAAAATAATGGGGCTTTTAATAACTGGCTAACCCTATTTAGACTAAATCCCCAAATGGAAAACATTTCTTTGGAAAGTTATTAGTGATATCCTTTCAACTACTAGAAATTTGCTTATAAAGAGAGTTGATGTGAATCCAAATTGTGCCATGTGTGAAATATCTCAAGAGGACACTATGCATACTCTAGTGTTGTGTGATTTTGCAAAGGCCATATGGGAACAATCCAACCTTCCAATCCCCAATATTGTAACAAATATTTTTCATATTTGGTTTAGTGAACTTCTAAATGTTCTAGACTTTGATGGGATAACATATGCAGCAGCAATTCTATATCATATTTGGAGAGCACGAAACGGAGCGGTTTAGGACGCTTTGCGGCAGCCACCGCAACCATGCAAGCATGGCGTCAAATCTCAACCTCGACGCCTGAACGCCACCGGTGCAGCCTGGTGCGGCCGAGACAACGCGCGCCACTGCCTCACGGACAGTCGGTTGTACCGACTGCTACCATCGAGGATTTGCCGCATTGATGCCGGATTCCTCCACGAAACGGGCAAGGCGACCGTAGGTGCAGTTCTCCTCGGCATGGATGGGGGATATGTTGCAGCATTCAGTGCACCCCTCCCATATTGTTTCTCACTAACTTATGGCCGAGTCATTTGTTTGCAAGGAAGCCTTATCATGGTTAAAAGATCGGGGCGAGCGGTCAATAGAGCTATACACGGATTGCTTATCGCTACAACGTTATCTTACTTTACCACCATCTATAGTTCGTTCCTACATCGGCTATGCTATTGACAGCTGCGGAGCAGCTATATCTTCATTTGATTTCTCTTCGTTTAAATTTATTTCTAGATCAGACAATTATTTAGCACATACTTTAGCATCTACAGCTTCTCAGCATCCTACTGCTATGTATTGAGATCTTTCTTCACCTGACATTATTACGACTTAATGGAATTACCACTTATAATTTTTCAAAAAATATTGTCAAAACTTTTTACCAAAAAATGATAGCGTTAATATTGGGAGTTAATTTACTATTAAAAAAAATGATGAAAATTCAATTTAAAAAAATGCAGCATGAAATATATTGGATCATATCGCCTCCGAATTAAAGCTGTGGCGTCCCGGCGCGCGCTGCACAAACATTGGCATCTTCCGGCGAGAAGAAGGCGGCGGTGTTTCGGTGGCTCGACATATCATCATGCTGCGGCGGCAACCTCCAATCAACATAAGCGATCAAATTGGCATTTTGGCATTGTAAATTCAGCATCTCCGCCTCGGCCTTGGCCAACTCAGCTCGCATCGCGTTTATTTGCTTCTCCAGCTGACAAACGGCGCCGGCGCAACCGTACACCGGATCCCTAATCCTCGCGTTCGCCTTGTAAACCATACTGCTCACTGTATCCGCTCTCCGATCCTCCGGAAGTTCCTGAAACATCAACACAATTATTATGCTCTCTTTTTAATTATATTTTTAGTAAAGAGAAAACTGGCAGTCATTATTTCCGGAGTAAAGATCACTCTTAATCAGTAAAAAGAGTCAGTAAACTAGTTAAACTGTTTCTATTGAGAGTTGAATTTGAAATCTTGTGATTATTCGATCATTGATATAAAGTTGAGCGGCGAATGAATTGAACCTGTAAGGTTTTGATGATGTTGCTGGCGCCGAAGACGCGGTGGGCGATGGTGAACTTGAGCGGCTCCGTCGGGGGGAAATAGGGCGCCAGGACGCACCGCTCGACGCAGCGGCGTCGGAGGATCTTGCATGCGGCGCAGGGACTGAGAATCACGCCCGCCGCCGGAGGAGCGGAGCTAGTAGGAAAGGTCGCACCACCGCCAACGGCGGCGGTAGAGGACGGAGTTGTGGTGCCGCTGTTACTGTTATTGTCTGTGTTGCAATAGTGTTCCTCTATTTTTCTTTTTGGGTGGTGGCGTAGGGACGGGGAAATGACTGATATCTCTCTCTCTCTCTCTATATATATATATATATAGGGGTAGCTAAAAAAATCTTGATGACATAGAGATTGTGACGCACCATCAAGCGTCATGAAAACGTAGCATAAAGGTTGTTAATTATAAGATTGAATTCACTATGTTGACTATATAAATAAAAAAAAATTAAAAAAAAAAAAAACTAATTGTACTATCTTCTCCCACATATAGTGGTATCAGATTTTAATGGTACCAATAGGGTTTATACACCTCAATTGGGCTACATTAAATCAATTAATTAGGACTGGGCTATGCCAAACACCTTTGTTAAGCTCTAGGGTATTTACCAATCACCTGGTCACATACGATCGGGAAGCTAGCTTTAGAGACCAAGATAACAAATATTCGCTCTACTAGTCCACTATGTGCAATGCCCGCCTGGGTAATGGTCAAATCACACTTTCTTCATGTTAGAACACTTGGCATCACCCCCTTTGACTGAGAAACATATATACGCTGTCCACATGTAGAACATGTCAGATCCCCGGCATGTATCCTAATCATCACCTATATAAGACGCATTATTTATTACTTTAGTATGGGACTTTTACTCCACACAACTACTTGAAAAATCTAACTAAATCCCCGGTCTATATATAGTAACCGAATCCCAACACCCAAATACGAGGTAATTGAACTGGAGAGACTCGACCTAAACTCACACATATAAGAATAAATGGTACATTGATAATTTTGTAAATATAACTCTAGGGTTGTCTATTATGATGTTTGTAACCTAGAATTTTATCACCACAATTAACAAAATTAACCCACTATCTTTCTAAATGAAGTGAATTAACTATTCAGACCCAATGATTGCCAGCCTCATGAAACCATGACCCAACTATCTGTTCTCTCCCTTCAAATGTGTAAAATTGAAAGCCCTATCTATCTATCTGCTTACTAGTGTGGCCCAATATATTGCTTCATTTTCTCATATTGTCCATCACCATTGTATATTGTATTTCACAAAGTAAGGAAAGGAAAATCCTTGGTGAACCAATTTTGGTTCTATCCCAAATCCCATATAACATGGTATGCCTACAAATTTGCATTTTCCAACACAAATAAAAAATTCAGAAATACATTTCTGACTTTTATATATATATATATATATATATATATATATATATATATATATATATCACTTTCATATTATATTATTATAAATATAATAATAAATTTATTTTTTTAATAATAATAAAAATAAAATTAAAGTACATGGCGCGGTAGCAAATGGCAGCAAAAGTTGCCATTAGCAAACTTGCAAAAGTAGTAAGTTTGCCAGCCATGGTAGATTTAAAACAAAATAAACAATGTTTTTTTTTTTTTTTTAATTTTCACATCATTTTGAAAGTTCGAAATTGGCTGGGATGAGGACAACCTTAGTAATAAAGTGACATTTGTGATAGTCTTAACTTTGATAATAAGGTGATATTTTAATAAGAGTTTATGCAATTTCGAATAGTAGTTATATGTTTCAAATAAGGTAAAATTATGATTGTGATAGTCTTAAATTTGATAATAAAGTGACATTTGATGTTAGTTTTTTTTTTTCCCTTAAAGAATCGGTTAAATATTAATCTTTGTTGTGACATACTGAAATTTTTCTTATAAAGATTAAAAGTTCGAGTAAAATATTATAAAGCTTGCTTATTCACTAGAAAAAAAAAATGATTTTCAAAATGGGGACATATCTAGCTACTTACTTCACCAATTTGGACTTTGTTTAATTGGCACAATTAATACAAATGATTACTCCGTACTAATTATCAATCTCGTTTCCAAAGATACCTTTTAGAAAATATTCCCGTTATCTAAAATCTCTAGAAATATTCTATTTGAATTGTCAAATTTCATTTTCAAAATTTATTAGTTTGAAAAAATTTCCATGGTCACGTGCAATAGACTTCACTAGATACAAGCGGTGAAAATCTTGTCGAGAATAAGTATAGAGAACCTTGCTGAAATAGGTGCAAACGGACATTGTCTATGAGAGGCATAGAAGTCCTTCTGATTATGTCTAGTCTTTTATATTCATATCTAATAGTTGTAAATACAAATCAACCTTCTATAGTACAAAGATTTCAAGTTCAAAGTTTTTTCTTATTCAAAATATAAATATTTTGCATTAATAATAGAGTTATAACATATTATAATATATATAAATTTCATTTTTTTTTGGGGGGTTACATTACAATAAATCCAGACTGAGGGTAGGTGCAGAGGCTGAGGTACATGTTAGACACTGGAGAGGAGAATGAATGAATATATATAGTAATTAGCTCTCTAATAATAATAATAATAATATAAATTAATAATAATAATCATTTTCTTTACAATAATAATAATTGTCATTTTTCTAAGCAGCCATCATCTATTCATCTCCTTCACAACCTTTTCTTATTTGCATTTTGCACCCCACAACTAATTTCTTTTAGCCTTTGCCACCCCCTTCAGAACTTCTGCTGTGCCAGCTGTTTCTGTTCAACACCCAACTGTATATACATAGTAATATACTAAATCAGTCCACAACAATTCCATCATGCTTCACTTTATTATATATATAAACTATGGTTTTAAGATATATCTAACTATATTAATTATTATTATTAGTATTAGTGTCAATATATTCGATACAAACATATATACAATACATAACTGTATAAGATATTATCAAAGAATAAAGATTCACTAACATAAACTTTTACCTTCAAATAGATAATAATTGGAGCTGTATATATTTTTTTTATTAACAGGAGAATCTATAACTATTATTCTAGAGTGTCTATTAAATAAAATTTGTTCTTATATAATAACTCACAAATCATACAGAAGAGATAAATTGCACTTAAATTTTAAGAATTCTTTTTATAAACTATCTATATTGGACTATGTTTTTTTTTTTTTTTTTTGTTAATTTAATTTACATTTGCCACTGCATGCCTGCATGGATGGCAGTTTGACCACCTATAGATATGTGCAGATTACAGTTGGCAGTGGGGCCAATGGATCTATCAGCCCACGTGACAGTGTAATCCATGTCCCCCCCTCCACAAAAAAAAAAAAAAAAAAAAAAAAAAAAAACCATCCACAATTTAATTTTTATTACTGGACATTAAAAAAATCATAATAAATAAATCAAAATACAAAGTCTTGCGCGCAATATAAATTAATTAATTAAAATTAAATACCTGCTTGAGGGGCAACTGATTTGGGCTTTATCATTAGGGCCGGATCTGTAGATATTGGGCCGACAGTAGCGGATGGATAGATATGGGCCTGAGGGCCCACTGTCGGTCCATGAAATTGATAGAAAGGATACACTGGCAACAGCAAATTTGCACCTATAACAGGCTGACCTGGATACAATTGAGAGTAATGCCCGTTCATGTTGGCCCCACCGTAGTTTACCTTCTGTGGACCACCACAACCCAAATATATCATAAATTTTCGGTGTCTCCCACTCAAAATTACACTAAAATAATATACCACATTACAATAAAAAGTATCCAAATCTTTAGTAAATAATGATTAGTAACGTTTTCGTATTGTACTCAATACAAACACGCAAATGTATGTATTGAATAGTATCAATATTATTATACTGATGTCAATAATTGTACTAAGTATAATGTAACACTGTCAAATGACGCGTATAAATTTAATTGGTTTAAAGTTTTTGATATATGAAAATGTGTGTACCATGACTTACATGATTGTAGTTTACGTTTGAGGGAATGTACGCTGGAGAATACCTAGAAAAAGAAATAAAGAAATAAATAAAGAAAGAAAATTGCACGTGGCCCCACTGTGATTGCATGGACCACTAAAATTAGTGAAGATGTAGGGGATGTACCCATAGAAAGGAACAGCTTGGTGATTCGGGTGGCGCCGGTGATGGAACGGGGAAGCAGCCACCGCCTGCGGCGGCGCTCCTGTTGGATAGTACCATTGTACGTAATTTGGGGGTGGCGTCGAGGTAGCTCTTGCTCCAATGTTGTGCCCTTCACATTATTATTATATTATAAGAAACTATTTTCTCAAAAAAAAAAATTATAATGTCAATCAACACCAAATATAATGTTGTAGCAAATAAGGTAAGTTTTTTTTTTTTTTTTTTTAAATACTCATGATTTTTATAAGACAGTTCACTATTAGGGTTCGAATCTATGACTACCATTTGAAATTATAAAAGTATGTGCATCATACTATATGGTAATTAATTTTTATTTTAGAACAATTTTAAGAAATTTAAAATGGTAGTAAGAATTTTTAGAAATAACAAAGGACAGTACCTTGTGGAGGCGGGGAGGTAGTGGTGGTGGGAGGTGGTTTGGGGCGGCGGGCGCCGAGAGAAGCCAGGTTGCAGTTGGCACGGCGGCCGTTGATGACCGGCGACGGATCGCCGCAAGCTTTCCGGGCGGACTCGGCATCCTTAAAAGTGACCTTAATTTCAACGAATTCATATATATCACAAAAAGTAACATTCAACAGCAAAATGCGGCTCACAAAACACAATTTTAAAATAATATAATGAGGAGCTGAGGAATTGAAGATGGATTGGAGCATACAAAACCATAGCCCTTGGATCTGCCGGTGAGCTTGTCGGAGATGATTACGGCCTCCAAGATCTCGCCGTACTTGTCGAAGTGCTCTCTCATGGTCTCCAATGGCGTCTCCCATGCCAGCCCTCCGACAAACACCTTCGTCAACGTTGTGTCGCCGAAGCTTTGATGATGATGATGAACACCATTGTTGTTATGGTTAACGTTGTTGCTCATCATCGTATCCTCGTTTTGTCCTCCCAACACAATCAATCTCTCTCTCTCTCTCTCTCTCTCTCTCTCTCTCTCAGTATATATATCTATATATGTATATAATCAATCTCAGAGAAGAACAGAGCAAAATTGAAGAGTGTGTACAATAATATTTATATTTATATATATAGTAGAAGAGAAGAGAGAGGGACAGACAGGAGAGCACGACAGTTGGAGATTGTGTATACGGTCTCCTTTTCATGTCCTACCTGGCTTTATTATTATTTTAAAAAAAAATAATTTATACCTAGGTTTCGATTAGGTTTCGATTTGCACTAATTTTAGTATCCGACTTCTTGCCCTAAAGTCACTGGAGTATGTAAATCATAATTCTGGCGAGCAGCCTTTCTATCAATCTTCCTCATTTAGATTTAGCCGTTTAAGATTTATGTGAAACTTCTCATCTTATTTACTTTTATATTCTCGTTTTCATTGATACATAATTTTTTTTAAAAAAAAAAAATATATTTAACCTAACAATTTAGAACAATTAGTAGACCATTTCAGCTCTTTATGTAATTATATGTTTCTAAAGATTTTTTCTTAAAAAAGAGTCAAACTTTAGAAGTATTTTTATTACGTTCCTATTTAACTTCAAATTTTAAAGTCTTATTATAGTGTCAAATTTTAGAAGTGTTTTTATTATGCTCATTGTTTTCTAACCTTATAGTTGTATTAGTAGTAAATGATAATAAAATGCCTATTAAAAAGATTTATCGTTTTAATTATTAATTAATAACAAAGGAAAATATAATGCACGAGAAAAACGACTACGGGCCAAAATCGGGCCTCACGTTTAAGTGGCGGGCTCCTGCTTTGCAACGTATAGTCGATCTGGACAGGCCCGCTTGAGACTCAAGTGCCAAAGTCACGTGAGGATTCATTTCTCATTTTTGGGAATGAATATATGTAACATGGCCAGCTGTAAGCAACTAAAGGGCCTTTTAGTAAATTAGATAAAGAGCCTGTTTCTTCACTGGCATAGTAGCACCACATTTCTTTTTCTTTTGTTTTTTTTTTTTTATATCCCAACGTTTCCAATTTTGCCGAACTAAATTATAAACTAACATCGAGACTCACACAAAAGTCCGTTTTAGAAAAGTAGTGAAATTAGAGTAATTAGATTATTATAATCTCACCAAACTCTCACCCCGGCCTCAAGTTGAAATATCAAAAAAACAGTTAACTGTTATTATATATCATTCTAAATACAGTTCATTTAAATAACTTTTTAAAGAGCGATGAATTGTAATATCTCAATTATTCATAAAATGCATCCTTAAGAGATAAAATTAAAGTCCGTACATTTGTAATATATTTTTTGTATTAGAACTTATAAAGCTATAGTATTATGCATGTCACCAAATCTTCCCTAACAACTATGGGCAAGGGCAGATCTAACATGTTAGATGATGAAGGAAAGTAAAGAAAGACAATGTGCACATGACTGGTAGGAGATTATAATCTTATTCAAGTACATCAGTTATTTGTAGGTATGGTGATTGATAGTTTCATAAAGAAGATTTATGTTGTTTTTTTTTTTTATTTTGGTACAACATAGTCTTAAGTAGATCGAGTATATGTGACAATATGTTTCAAAATCGACCAAGTGTCTAAGGATGAGATCCATTTGAATGATCTATAATTAAAGTCAGTTATCGCTTTAATCACACGCGGTTTAATTAGAGGGGTAAGAATTTGATAGAAACAGTGCAATTAAAATAGTTAGTTCAATATTAACTCCCTCTTGATTCTCATTTGTATGTATTTAACTTCTTTGGTTAAAAAAGAAAAACTACTCTTATATAATAGCCAACCAATCATATAGGAGAGGTAAATCGTACAAAAAAGACCTTGTGTGATGGCTCATCCAATAAAGTATTAACACTTAGAATCATGTTTGATTCATTTGGTCACCCCTTTCAGGACTTGATTAAAAGTTCTTTGTTGCCTTTGTTTGTTTGATTGATTGTACGCACTTGTAATTTATAAATTGGTCGTTAAATCATAAATGTATATGGAAGCTAAGGTAGCAATAATCCTAGGAATGTATGATGATAAACCAATGAAATTAAACGAGAACGTATGTTATTAATATTTAGATTACAAGTAAAAATAAAGGGTAATTAAATGAATATTTAGAAAGGTTAAGGTACCTAACTCGTATGAATATTAAATAGCACAATCAATCAAAAGGGCATAATATACGACGGAATGATTGATTTACAATTATTATGTAATGTACCAAAATAAGGCGGTGGTGTTTCGAAAAGAATAACTAAGTGTGTAGAGCATGATAAAGTCACGAATTAAATTTATATTAACACACTTTCAGTTGAATCAATTATACATGATCTTTGCCTGCATGGGTAGCTTAACTGGTGATCATAGAAATTAAACTTTGGAAGAATGACCAGGGATCGAGTCCTCTGTGATTCATGTTCAGTGGGGGGGGCTCCTTGTGCGCAGTGAGCACCGGTCTAATCTCTGTGATTCAACCTTTTGGAAGAATTATACATGACCAAAGCTCGAACCTAAGACATCCCACATAAAGGGCCAACCGGATACCAGTAGACTACAAGCCACTTAGTTAATTAATGCAATTCTTTAATTTATTGGTTATAACTATTATTTAAGGATGTAATTAATGCAATTCTTTAATTTATTGTAATCAGGAATATTCTTTATTCAATCATATATATATATATATATATATATATATATATATATATATATATTTGAAAATATTCAATCATATAATTTGTTGGATGCTAGGTAAAAAGAATACCCAAACAAATAAAGTTAAGCAAGAACGCATTCTCCTCAATGTTTCAGAATGTACTACGTGCTAGTCGGGTGCCTAGCACCTAGAGCAATTAAGCGGCCGAATAATACGAGTATATCGTTCCACTTTTATTATTTAGAGATAAGAATTATTAAACTGTTATAATCCCCAAAACTAGTCAACTGCAAAACAAACCACTCGACCGAGTTAGGTGTCAACTCGACCTAGTTAGGCTCCTAACTCAGCGGTTAGAGCGCCTAGACAGTTGATTAGTCGATTGGCCAACTAAAAGCCACCTACGACTGAAATCGCTCTGATATAAAAATGCTTAGTGCCTAATTAGTGTGACCGTCTAGACTGATTTTTATAATATTGATTCTCGTGGAATGATTGTCAGTGATTCCGAACTGCGATAATGAATTATGGACCAATGGGCGAGAATATCTTCTAATCTATTTTGCTCCTTAATTATCATTTCGAACAAACCATATTCTTATAAAATTATAAATATAAATTTATAAAAACTTATCCACAAGCTAGGGCTAGGGTGGCTGACTGGCTGGTTGGAAAAATGCTCTGAAACTTTCCCTCTTATTACAGCTCGATTATCTTATCATGGCTGCAATTAAGGCTAAACTAATGGTCTACCAGACAAATTAAACATATGTTCAGATTTCAACAACTTTTCTTCATTCTCTTTAATTTTTTCAAATTAAATTTTGTTCGTTGCATTTACATTTTACAGTTGGGGAATTCCAGCCTCATTCTTTAATTATATTTATTAAAGACTCTTAATATGCTAACTAAAATTGCATCCTTTTAAATTAATATTAATACACTGAACAAAGTAAGATGTACTATTTTATTGAAGATACAATATAGTTTAATTTCTTTAAGAGTGTGTAAAAGTTTTCTTTAGTTAAACGTTTATTTGCGTTGCTTTATTTATTTATTCTGTATACATTTGATATTTTTATTGTTGCGGCGCGGGGTTGAATTTGCATTTGACTTGAGATGGTAATCTCCTCGATTAATCGACTAAAATTACAAGGTGAGACACTAAGACTATTACAATTATCATATTTGTTAAAAAGACTTGCATTATCTTATCCATTCTTTCAAAAGGCTGAACCCCAACCCTAAGGGCCCCCCACACCCCGGCCCGACAGAGCATTTCAGAGGAAGCATTATCTCATCCATACTCCTATAGATGCATGTTGACTAGTAACTCTTTAACATGAAGCAAACATGCAAGAGTCGATACAAAACAAAAGTGTAATATTATACTTTAATTTATGAAAAAATATGCAAATGTATGATGCATACATACAAGAGTCAATACAAAACAAAAATGCAACCATATACTAAGAAAGTCTGCACCCGCTTGGTGCATACATACAAGAGTCTATACCAAACAAAAGTGTAATTCGGCCTATACTTTAATTTACGACAAAGCTCGTAATTACATGACACATACATATAAGAGTTGATACAAAACAAAAGTGTAATCATATACTTTGATTTACAGGAAAGTCTGCAACCATGCATTATTCAAAAGTGTACTTTGATGAAATCTGACTTGTGATCTTACTCTAGCCGGCAAATGATCAAAATCAGATTAGGTTGTTCATAGCTGATTAGTTCAAACTAATAAGCCTAATAGATAACTCTCATTTATAAATTAAATTATTGAAGTAATTTTATAATCTATAATAATAGGCACTAAACTTTTAATAAAATATTGAAAAACTTGTAAATAGTGGACTGTGGGGGGAAATGTTGTTGATAGATTCAATCAATTTTATAATTTATATTATCTTTTCTCCTTCGGTTGACATTAAAAATGAATGCTATCTTTTGAATGCACAACTATGGCCGGTTTTGTAACTGAAACAGCCATTGATGGAGGGGAGTTTGATGGGTTTGAGCTGGCGAAGTATGATCGAAAATATTTCCAAATTGCCAGCTGTCCAATGATCAAGTCACGTGCCACTGACGTGTTGCATTTTGTTGGACTCGGTGAAGGTAACTTTTGATGCATTGTAGAGATGTCAATTGGATTAACTTGTACGTGTTTGAGCTAGTTTTGTTGGGTTGTTGGACTTATTGATTCGAATTAATCAATTTTTTATTTTTTATTTTTTGTTGGGTTGACCCTAACACTAAATCTCGGTTGTCTTGGCTTATTAGATAGGCAGAATCGCTGAACTAAAATTGAAAAATGGGAGTGAGTACCCACATTATTCTGTGGTGCACTTATGAGTACTTTGTGGTGTACCTATAGATGTCTTGATCCTTGCATTGGGAGGCATGGCCTTTTCCCTGATGCGAGTGACGTTTTCAACCGGCAGACTCTTCTCATGCACTCGCACCACAACATTTGATTAAGAGCTCTTGTGGCTTTTGCCGCCGCAAGGAGCTTCCTCTCTCCATCCCTTGCCTCTAACATTGCCGAAACCCCAATCCCAATGAGTTATAAATAATCACATACTTCATATTTCAAAAAAAAAAAAAAAAAAACGAACTGAATATGCAGCGTAACATTCTATGATTAAATTCGTCATGATGAATATATATATGCCGATCATGGACGAGAACCTATAAACAAGAGAGAGAGAGAAAGAGAGAGAGGGAGCTTTCTTTGGCTTTTCAAAAAATTGGTTTGAGAGGATTTGAATTTGGCGAATGCACTAATGTGCTAACCGTTAGAGTTATATACACAAGTGAATCCAATGTACATCCGGACAAAGTACGCCCAACCAATATGGGCTCTCCTCAACATCGGCATTGATTCATAACATCCAGGGACGCGACCCTCATGACCAAGCTAACCCCAATGTAAGATTTCAAGACTGTCCTAGATTTGTTTTTTTAAGATTCCACTTCCTTTCGAACTTATTTTCTTGGATCGAATTCAATATTTCTATTGCATTTCATTTGTAATATTATAACACAAAAGCATGGAAGTCCATAGTCAATTAGTCATGCATGGTTACATTACAAGTGCGCGAGTGCTCGTGCATCAATTCAAAACAAAGTCCGCATCCAAACACTGACATATATACGAAAGTCCATACAGAACGCTCAAGAAGTAAGGAGTATTGTATCCATCACCAATTCACCATAGCTTCTACTAGCAATCTTTACACTTCAATCAAAGGCTGCTCACGTTGGGAGTAAGCCTTAATAACCTTGAGTTACCAAACCAACATGCTAACCAATTTGGTTGGGATTACCGGCCTCCAAACTAATTTAGCAAAATTTCTAAAATAAACTGCAACTTTCAACATTATAAGTGCAACTAAGCAAAGCTATCGAGTACATCTATTGAAAACTGTAGTGACATTTTTGTAAATAGCCAGAACTTTAAAATGCAACTAGTAACGCTATAAAGTATAATTATCAACACTATTGAGTGCAACTAAGTAAAGCCACAGAGTGCACATGTTCATTACACTTATACATATGATGGTGCACTCTATGGTATTTTTAGTTGAACTCTAGTGTTCTTAATTACACTTTAAAGTTTGAGTTATTTACAAAAATATCGTGATGCTTTTTTCCTCTTTCCTAATAGCTTTAAAGCCGTTAGAGCTTCCCAAATCACCGGTGGTAAGTGCTTCATAGTTCTTTCTTGCAGCAATGTTTTTATTTGATCTAAATCCTAGATATACCTACAACCCCAAAAATAAAAATAAAAACAAAAACTTTTTGAGTTACATGAGATACTATAGAGATAAGTGTCTTTGTAATACTCGATGCAAACAGGCACAATATCAATATCAAGAAACGACATAAAACTTTTCATATATATTTATGCGTACCTGTCTAAGAAAATGGAAAAATTTCATACAAGAGCATCAATATAATGCACTATTATGTCAATGTACTTGCACTAAAAAACCTAAAACACTTGCCCATATTATCTACGATAAATAATTATAAAAATTCATCTTATACAAACACAAAGAGAAGCTGTTGGAGCTATGCTTTCATCTTGCACCAGCAAGACCCAGATGCAATTCCAAGCTAAGACTGCAAAATTATAAAGGGAGTATAGCATTAGTGATCAAATAACATCATATAATTGCAAAGAAACTCAATCCCCAGAATTGAAATTGAAGGAAATCTACAGCATAAAGCAACAATAATATTCATAAATCTCTAGCACATATGGTGAAACTTCCTCCTAAGGCAGGTGGAGGAGACATTTAGGAAAATGGTAGGTGTATTCTATAGAGTATATATAACTCTCACCAAGTCTTAATATTTATTTGATGAAGAAAAAAGAATGAACAAAAACTATGGCACACCCCCTTTTATTAATCAATTAAAGCGTGACACATAATATAAAGTAAAAAATAGAGTAAATATAGGTCTTATTTGGTAAAATAGTTAGCATATCAATTAATTTTGGCTTGTTTGACCACTATTAGTTGTTTGATTTAGTTAAACAATCAATATGAGTGTTTGATTAATTAACTTTTTGTAACAGCTTATTGCTCCAAAAAACTAAAATTCAAAAAGTTGATTTTGAGAAGTCATTTTGTATGTAACCAGCTGGCGTGTATGGCCGTGCACTGCACTCTTGTCCCTTAAGAGATGTCAAGAGTTCGAACCTCCTCTTGTATGAAAAAATCAATCTGGCGAGCACTCTGCCTTTTAATTGGGCCAGCCCGGTGCGAAATAGGATTGGTCTGAGTATATATGATACGAGCTTAAAGTGTCTCCTGTAGTTTGGGGCCTGTTCAGGCCTCCTCGCGGTATTACTAAGAGATTTACCCAAAATTTTTACATTTGCCAATCAGATGAGAAACAAGCTAAGGTGAGGGCATTCTTACTGGTGCAGCTGGTCATCAAAAGCAAGGTGATTTTTGTTTCCAACTACACATATATGGTTTCCATAGATACCTATCTATCCTCTCCTATTGGTATTGGATCCCTTGTTTTCTTCCTGAAAATCATTCTGAAATTATCAGTAAATGAAAGCTACCCAGATATAGGCTAATTAAACAAACTACCACCATTGATGTAGTACGTGAATTGACAGTAGTTACCTCTTTGTATTTCATCAAATATGCTCTGAGTGGCTCACCGTAATCCTCAAATCCTAAGGTGTCCAGAGAATTTAACACATCATCTCCAGTTAGTGTCTTCCTCTTCTCTATTTGGCCCCTTTCACTTGCTCTGTTAATGAACAATCATTTAGAAGCATCAATTTATCATTGCATTACCACAAACACTTATCCATAAAATGTATCTGCATATATATATATAGATATATTGGGAGGATCGGAGGGATTGATGGATACATACTCGTTGGTGATGAAGCTGATGAACTCGGTTGCGCATTCCTGGACAAAGTCTTTGGCCTCCAAGCTGATCTTTGCGTTGGGAGGCAAGGCCTTCTTCATGATGCGAGAAACGTTCGCAACCGGCAGGCTTCTCTCATGCTCGCGCACCGCCAATTTTGATTGAGAGCTCTGGTGGCTTCCGCCGCCGCCAGGAGCTCCCTCCATCTCTCGCCGCCTCCGCTGCCGGAACCTGACCGCAATGAGTTCAAAATAATCAAAAAAGGAACTGAATATACAGCGTAACATTCAATGATTAATTAAATCCGCCATTGTTGAGCATATAAGCCGATCGTGACGAAAACCTACCTAGAGAGATAGAAAAAAAGAGCGCGTTTTTTTTTTTTTTTTTCTCTCTCTCTTCGCTTTTCTAAATATTGATTTGAGAGGATTTGGATTTGGCGCGCTGGAACGCTCTGATGTGCTGACCGTTGGAGTTGGCAGTGGAGGGACGGAGAGATCGGAAGACAAACAAAATATTATATCAGTGTTGGCCTGTTGGGTAGGTTTATGGAGTGTTATGCCATGGAACCGTGTTCACCATTCATTAATACATTGTTCCAACGGTGTTAGTACACCGTTATCTTTTTTTTTTTTTTTTTTTTTTTTAATTAATTGCGTGACTTTTCTTCTTTCATTTTCACATTTTGCGGTTTCACTTTAATTTGAGGTGAACAATAATTTCGGACATTCATAAATTATGAATTTATGCCTGCACATTCACTTTGGAATCGTACCTACACATTCCCATCCGAAATCACGGACATTTATAAATTATGAATCCATGGCTGCACATTCACTTTGGAACCATGCCTACACATTCACTTTGGAACCATGAGATTATGAATTTTCTGTTATAAGATTATGAATTTTCTGTTATGCGATTATGAATTTTCTGTTATGCGATTATGAATTTTCTGTTATGCGATTATGAATTTTCTGTTATGCGATTATGAATTTTCTGTTATGCGATTATGAATTTTCTGTTATGAGATTATGAATTTTATGAAAATTCATAATCTCATAACAGAAAATTCATAATTTGATCAACTCGCGCCGTTAACTCCACATCCGCGAATTTTTATTTTTTTTTTGCCTAAAAACGACGTCGTTTGACCTTGTGTTCACCATTCTCGGTGAACACGTTTCCAGGGCATAATTTGCCAAGGTTTATCCAATATATAACCTCACTTATCCAGAAGAAAAAAAAGAAGTTAATATTCAATTTAACCATCGATATAGTCCTACACCATTTTTTGTGCTTAATTAAGTCATCGAATAGAGTCTTGGTTATTAGAATCAATGACTAAATAAAATTAAAAAAAAAAAATCACTATAGTCGAAGACTAAATTGAATAAAATTACTATAGTCGAAAACTAACTTAGGTAAAAGTACTATAGTCGATGATTAAATTGAGTATTAATCAGTGTTACAAAAATCCCGCATAAACACCGATTAATTCCCGCCTAGACGCTAGGCGCTGGCCGCCCACTTAGCGTATCACCATAATCAGTGATCTAGGCGGTTGGCCGACTAGCCCGCCTAAGCTTCCTAAGCACCGACTAGGCCACCTAGGCACTACCGACTAGGTCGCCTAGTCAGCCAATTAGTTATTGTTTCTTTATTTTTTAAATGAGTTATTTCACTCAAAATGATGTGTCATTTTGAACGAAATAACCCTAAATTGTTCAAACTCTATATTTTTTGGTTAATATTTAATATATTAGTATTAAATATTAAGTAGTTTATAATTATCAGTCTTAAAAAAATTTAAAAATTTAAACAATTTTTTTTAAATAAAAAATACACGAGCGCCTAGGCGCTGATTAATCCCCGCCTAGGCGCCCCAACTGCCTAGGCCCTGATTAATCCTCGCCTAGGCGCCCCCCAAGTGTCCGAGGAGCGACTAGCGATTTTTTCAACCATGGTATTAATAGAAGTGAAATTGCCAAGCTATCTTAATAGAGGACTCAATTGAGTAAAATCATTAAAGTCGATTATCTAATTAAGCACAAAAACTTGTTTAAAACTAAATCAAGAAAAATCACTATAATCGATGAATAAATTGGATATTAACCCCATTTCACCCCTATTATGGATAATGTAAGAGTGATATGACATGTTAAACTTTTGTTTGATATGACATGTTAATGTTTCGACCCATTTAATATAAATAATTACAACGGGAATTTGTCTCTTTTTCTTTTGGATATATCAGAATTTGTCTAAATTAATTTCAAGATGAACACAAACAAGAGAATAAATGTCTATAATTTTCTATTAATTACTTGTTTAGTACAACAATTATCTGTTTGCAAGGAAAATAACATGTTCCATCTAAACAATATTTAGAATACATAGTTATACACACAATTCATCAAAATCACAATTTATCTCTCTTTATTCCTAATAGGCTTAAGACTCTAGTCTAGGCAAGGGTCCGCGATCCATGGTGGACCACATTGAGTTACCAGTTGAAACAGTTTGACCGAGCGGCTCACGAGCTGCTCGGCTCATTACACCCCTAGTCGAATGTACTGGACACTATTCAATGTCCACATTGATTCCATAACCTCTGGGCACACCAATATCGGGCCTCAAATTGTTCGGGACTTCATAGTTGTCCTAGTTTTACTTTCCTTAGATTTCACTTCCTCTCAGTCCCTGACTTGTCTTCTTGGTCGAGTCCAATATGTTTATCATGTATAATATTCAATTGAAGAGATTTTTGTAATTTTTATTTTTATTTTTATTTTTTGAAAACAGATTTTTGTAATATTATTAAACAAAAGCTTGGAAATCCATAGTCATGCACGGTTACATTACAAAGGGAAGGGAATAAAAAATAAAAATCAAAAGCTACATAAGATAACACAAAAGCACAGTCACACTCACACATGACCAATGTTTAAGTCTCAACTTTCAGCTCTTAAAGATAAATTGTAAAGAACCCTTTCAGTGTGTCTGAAGCTTCATGGAATCATGTCCATTACTCATAATGAGTTATTTCTTTGAGAGAGAATTACTCAGAATCTGCCATATGGATTCTGGAAGTCCATTCAACATTAATGGAGAAGTTATTAGTCATTGAATAGAGTGACTGGGTACCCCTCTAGGCCTGCTAATTTCATCACCTCCTCCTGCTCAGAGAAGACTAAATAATTATATTTCGAGTATTTGGCAAGAGAAACGAAAAATGAGATATCTTTGAGTGACGAGGAAACCCGCAAAAACGAGATATGTTAGGTTACCTGTATGAATGCTGTGATTTTCCCAGGAGTACCCTGATATTCATGCAAGAGGCATCAGGTAAAAGCAAGTTGACTAAGAAGCTATAAGTCATTTTCTTTTTGGTGTATGAATGTGAGAAATTCCTTAGATTCTCGTACCTCGAACTTTTTCTCCTCCCATATCACTTCGTTCCAAGTTTTTTCTTCAAGTGTTTCCATTGATTTCGGAAACTGAATTGTCTCCACGTGCTGCATAATTCTCAAGCTATCTGCCACAGAGAAACAGTTACAATTATCTCAAGAGCCGTGCAGGTTAGAATATATAAAGCAAACCTCACTACTTGAGTTTTAAGAGAAACCTTATTTTCCCCCAAGAGAGAGAGAGAGCGAGGGAGGGGGAGGGACAGATTTAATTGTTTTTTCTTACTTTACATGCAATAGGTCTGGGAAAAGATCCAATATGTATATAAACAATCTCGATGATCATTTTTCTTCTAGAGTAGATGACATTGGGCGCAGAAGCGAGCTATATGGGTGATAGAAGGCATTAAAACAATTCAGATAACATACTAGAAATGAATGCTTCTGTCCACATTTCACGCTTTGACCATGATGGTGCAACTTCTCGAACCAGAATTCCATTTCTTGAACATACACTGCACAAAGGTATAATGAAAACTAACAAAAATATACAAAACTTAATCTACAGCATGCCTAAGAGATACAGACAAGGAACTCACTCAAAAATTACTTGACGTATAATTCCTGGAAGAACACCATCACTGAGGGGAGCTGTCTGTATTTCAAAGCAGTTTGTGTTTCCTTTTTCTTCCTGTCTAGCAACAGAAGTCTCCGTTAATATCCAGCAGCCAATTTCATGCAACTCCAATGGAAATATATTACTATTTAATTCACTGGATTAGCAAGATACCTTCTAAAATGACATTTTTTTTCAGGATTTGATCCAGTAAAAATTGAAGAAGGTTATTTAGTTTTGACTCACGAATGATTGTTTCTACTTTCTCAGGGGAAATGATGTTGGTTTTACCTTCAGTTATATGCCAGTACTTCATAACATTGTTAGTATTTTTAAACTTTCTAATTACAGTAGGCACTGTCATTATGATAATGAGGCTGACAACCAGACCATAAATTAAGTCAAGATACTCAGAGACCATTAGGAAACCACATGCCATTATAGACCAACCTAATTCTTACTTTCTGAAGTTATTAACAATTTCACGTTAGTGGTATGTAGAAATGATCAAACACCTATTCCGCACTTTCATTAACATATTTTAGACATTAAGCAATTCAAAACCCATAGATTTGTTTTCTCACCTTGCAGCAAACAACAAAAAAATTTGTCAGACAACCCTCCAAAATTTTATCTCCATCATTTGACAACAACAGCTCATTAACTGATGGAGGCCTCAGCTTCTCCAAAAGCTTCCTCTGCCTACCTAAAAGAAGCAAATTAAAAACAAGTACTTGGTAGATGTTATAAAAAAAAGCTTAACTGTAATATGATTGTCCTTCACATCTTCAATTTACATGAGATCGGACAATACCATTCTAACAATTTTTTTTAACCATGCTCACAAGTCCTCACTTTACATGAAAATTTGATTACAATCTTTTACAGTAATGACAAACAATAAATAACAGTTAACAGTAGATGGCAAGAAAATATAAGTTCATATGTAATTACCTTACCCAATCTGAATATTTTGCATTTGCTAGCTCTCTACCACAACCCACGACTGCCAAGTGTGCCCCATTTTCCAAAATTCCAAATTCTTTAGGAACATATCCACCAACATGCACATACACATTAAAACTTCTAAAGATATTTTCCTCATTTAATCCCTCAGCTTCCCTAAAACTATCCAAATTGCCACTCACAAGAGATGTGATAGCCAATTCCTCCTCATTTTTCCTCTCTTTTAGCACAGCAGGCATAACCTTTCTCATAGAATCATTGACCAATGACTGAATCAGTGAATCCCAGAGGGGTGATGATGTTAACATTGAAGAATATGGAGCTGTAGATTTCGGGACTTCGAAAAGAAGCTTTGGGTTGGAGTGGAGCAGAATTCTCACAGAATTTGAGAGTCTGCGCAAGTGCCTTTCCCAGAACAAGATCTGTGATCCATTGTTATGAGTCCGGGTGGTTGTGTATGCGCCTGAAACCAAATAACCAGCCCAAATATGATGCAATGCATCTTCTGTGTTTATAAAAGTAAAACCCATTTCTTTACAAATGAAAAACAACACCAAATAGCTACAGTTCATTATAGTTGACAGTGAACAGTATTTCATTGTGACATAAATTTTCCCATGAATGGCAATACTCTCATTAAAAAGAAGTAATTAAGACAGAAAGAACACAAATCAAAAGACCGGTTCACACCTGGGTGAGCTTCGAGTAAGGTTGCAGCAGATGGAGTTTCAGCAGGAGTTGAGATGACACCATTTGTGAACAGGAATTTGCTGCAGTTCGACATCATTGTCTCATCTGCTAAACACATGGAATCAACCAACTCATTCAGACATAACAAAGCTTTAGCCTTTACCCAAAAAAAAAAAAAAAAAAAAAAAAAAAAAAAAAAAAAAAAAAAACAGTTACTTCCTACTTCTGTACCGAACAAGCGATTCCATTCTATGCTAGGCAAAACCACAAACACTTGGAGTGCATTCGGCAGTGCTAGATACTAAAGTCAATACGCAGAATATAATTTCGGGTCAATCGCGTACTTTCTAGCGTACCTCACAAGAGTTTGAACTGAAGCTGATGAGAAATGCTGCCCGTACATCCGATCTTCACTTCTCGTTTTCTTGAGGAGAAAATCTCGAACTGCAAAACTGGCTGCGGGAACCAGTGTATTAGAGTATAATTAATTTAGTTAGGTATAAAATAGAGTATTTTGACTTTGAATTGAATACTATAATACTCCGTATTTATGTAACATTATGCATCAAATCATCAATCAATTATATCAAATATTAAACAGATAGCACCTGGTGCTTAGTGTAGTTGGTTCATGCTTAACTTAAATGTCATAATTAGAGTCAGCAATATGGGGGTTCAAATCTCGTTGAAAAAATGTGCGCACATTAATACTAGGATTTGACTAGTTGACACATTTCATTTTCGTACTTGAAAGTCATATTATTGGTGGAGTTAGTCATACAAGGTTTCTTAGCGATTTTTACTTTTGTGTATGGTTTGCAAACATTATACATGAGAGTGGTAATAGAATATTAATCAAAATCTCTTAAATTGGTGATCGAGTTTGCTGGAGTAAAAATAGCATATCACTTTCTTCATTCCCAAATGATAACAAAACACAAAGTATAATGAGAAAATGATATTATAGATGTTACAAAATCAATATGTACAATGTAGATGCTTCGTATGTTTTGATGAAATAGCGATTATAATGTAAATTATATCAAATGTCTAGAGATGTGTTATAGTGAACAAAGCCAATTGAGAGAGTCGAATGTACGAGCCGATAATATTATTCTCCATTGTCACATGCCATAAGCTACAATCGAGCAAGTATAGCCTAAATGCGCGAATCAGCCTGTATGGTTGGTTAGTATGTATGGCCCATCAAATGCAACATCATTTGTTATACATGTTCTCTTTAAAATTTTAAATAATTTATAACCATAATTTTTAAAAATGTGTATAACAAGGTGCAACTATACACTTAGTACACCTTAAATTATCTCCTTATCAATTATATATCTTTGAATTTATGGACCGCATTGATACATTGTATACATACTAACATGATCAAATCATATGTTACATTCCATAATAATATTTTTATTTAAATCATTGATATTAATGATTGATTGAAAAATAAATACAAATCATTAAAGCACATTGCTCTATGGTACTACAAAATTTAATGTTGACATGTATTTATTATAGTATATTTTAGTAACAAAATTGAAAAATTATATCAGTCTATTTGATCATTTGAAGTGTTGTAAAAAATAAAAATCGGTCTAAATGGTCACAAAGGTGCTAGGCACCCCTATGCTGAGACGATTTTAGCCCTAGGCAAATTTTAGTCAGCCAGCCAACTAACTGACCAACTAGGCGTCCTAGGCGCCGAGTTGGGCACCTAGCTTGGTCTAGTCGATGTCGGATGCCCAACTCGGGCGAGTGTTTTTTTACATGCTCGGCTACTAATCTTATATATTTATCCAGTCATGTACTCAACTAATTATATAACATATGTAATTGACTAGTTCAGGACAATCTAACAATTTACAGCTCTAAGTAGAACAAGTGAAAACGATATATTGAAATTACTCGACTACCTAGACGCTCTAGACGCTAAGTGTCTCATGAGCCTTAACCCGTCTACAACATTCATCATTTGTAATGTGCCTTTTTTTCATAAATGTGCATTCAATAATAATATTATACTACATATGTGAAGGTGCTCAGTTAATTATAATCATTTGGTAAATTTGTCCAAATTAGGTATACAAATTAATTTTGCCAAATATAAGATATTTATCGATATATTACAACTGTCAATGCAAGAGAAGGCATTAATCTATAAAATATATTACCATTTAGAGGAATGTCATAACAATAATGAAGATTTTAGTAACTCATGGAAAAAATCACCAACAAAATTAGTATGCAAAAAAGTTAAGAATATCATTGTCAAAAGACGTGAAACTACAATACCTTCTTGCCATATAGAAACATGTCACGACATCAACGAAGGCCGTAATAACACATGAAAGAAACCAATAACAAAATTAGTACGCAAAAAAAATGTTAGGACTAACATTATCAATACGCGTGACCGTGTAAAATTGTAATAATTTATTACTATTTAAAGACATATCATGACAGTAATGAATTTTTATATACCGCGTTGAAAAACCATCCACACAATTCGAGTAGCTAATGAAAATTACAAAAATGGGTATGAAAAAATTCCTAAAGTCTAACACCATTATACATCCTCGTTTGTCATAAAATAAAAATTGCACAATTTGACAAAATCACTAACCAAAAAAAAAAAAAATTTTAAGGAAACAAAATAATTTCCCTATATTTTTTCCCTTGAAAGTACATAATCCGGAGCGAAAAGCGAGACGCGTGGTCCAGTCCAGACTGGCAAATGAGAAAATAAAAACAAAAATACCGTATTTATGATGATTTTATTTATTTATTAATAATAGTAAAACAATAAAGAAAATGAAATATTCTATCTATATAAAATATGATATTAAATGCCATCCATAAATGCCGTCTCAATCCTGTGGTTGCTGCCGCACACCGCTATTTGGGTCTCTCAGAGTTGGTTTTTCGCGTCTGTCTTCGACTTCGGCAATCAATAAAACTCTTATCAGTGTGGGTTTCTTTTCTACCCTTTTTTCATTTTTTGTTATATATATTATATATTCTTCTCGATTAGATTCTCTCGGAATTCAAAACCCTAACTATCGACGTGCATTCATCCGCATTTAACCCCAGCCATGTATGTGTACACGTTTTTTTGGCTTTTTATGCGCGCGTATTTCTCCGTATGTGTGTGTGTATCACTGTTTGCGTACGGCATTTTTGAATGTGTGTGTGTGTGTGTGTGGATTCTTCGGTGCCTTGATTTCTCGGCATTGCGTCGTCCTTTGTTGGTTCTGATCTGCTGGGGAGGTGCGGTGAAGTGGAAAATTGGAATTTGAGCGAGTTTTGGTGCATTAGGGTTTTGTGGAATGGTGTTTTTGCCGTGAATGTGAGGGTGTGAGGGGAGGAGGGGAGGGGGATGGGTGTTTGGTTGTGGATAGGGATGTTGGTGGTTTGTTAATGTGGATAATGGTTACACTGCCTTAGTTATTCATTTTGTTTTTTGTGCTTTTGGCTTGTAGGGGAATCATGAACAATGAAGAAGAGAAAAGGTGTCCTCTTTGTGCTGAGGAGATGGACTGGACGGATCAGCAATTCAAGCCTTGCAAATGTGGTTACCAGGTCTGAATTTTGCCTGTGTTTATCAGGAACATTGTTTAATATTGTTAAAATGGTGGCGAGCAGGTTGTTTATACTTTATATTGTCATTATATAGTGTTATTGGGGATTGAAATGGATTAAGAGGAAAGTGATGTACTGTACAATACCTGCTAATTTTGTCACAGTTGTTACTCTTGACTCTCTCACACCTTTTTCATTTCCATTTTAGACTTTTATGGAGATAATAATGGGGAATTAGGCATGCTCTTACCTGAATAATTGAAATTTGGAAGCTTCTTCAGAAATTTGATAGTGTAGCATTCATACATGTATAGTAATATTACCATGTACTGATCTCTTGGCTGTGCTGGAGTTTAATATTGGGCTGTCATCTCCTTGTGCAATGGATATGGTTGATATAGAAATGCATCATCATTATTTTCTTTGTTCTATGATGGCATGGCATAGCTCTCCTGTGAGTTTTTTTATTTACACAAGATATCTAATGGATGATAAAGTCAGCATATTTTGAGGCTCCATACTTTCTTGTATGCATCATCCTTATTGTTATTGGTTCTGTGACAGTGTGAGGTAGCTTACTTTTGGATTTTTAATTTATGTAAGATATTGAAGAGGATGACAAAATCAACAAATATTAAGTCCATACTTATTGCATTAGGAGAACTGCATATTTTGGGAACAGTTTCCAGTTTATAGGTTTTCTTTGCTATTGTCAGTGTGGTACTGTGGTACTAATGTACTATGTTCTCTCTCTTTTAATAAGAAGAGAATTTTAGATTAGATGCAATCAATCTGGTAGTAATAGTTCCCTTAATAAAGTAAATAGACTGAAGAATATCTATTTGGATGATATAAAATGTTGTCTATTTTGGACTACTAAAAGAGGGAAAGTGGTGGCTGGTGATTGAAGTTGTCATTTTTTTAAGAACCAGGAATGTATCAAAGTAGATGATGGTGGAAGTATTATGCTTTGTAGCTGTGGTAACATGTAAGGTCTTTTTGAGCAGCTGATTGGTAATGGTTGAGTTGATGAATGGTACCCTGTTCAAGTATATCTAGTTAAGCTAAATATTTTTGTGGCACTCCTAGTCAACGTCTCAATTTGCCCCTGTTGGTAATATAGTAGACATCCTCTTTAGCAACTAGTATTTTCTCTCCTTGTTGCCTTGGATCTCATGTCTTCCATTTTTCTTTTGTGTTTTGCATATTATATCCTTTTTCAATTTTTTTTTTTTGGTGAGATTGAGCCTGATGCAGATTAAAGATGTGAAATTATTAATTACTTATTTTATTAATGACATTGCTACTTGTTCCTTTCTTTTTTGAAGTAATATTGAGAATTTTAAAATCCGATTGTCTTTACTTATATACTTGTAACTACTACAGGTTTGTGTGTGGTGTTGGCATCATATAATGGACATGGCAGAGAAAGATGAGACAGAGGGTCGTTGTCCTGCATGTCGATCAATTTATGAAAAGGAAAAAGTAGTTGCAATGCAAACAAATTTTGAAAGGTTGATATCTTCATATACTAATTTATTTTTCAGTCTTCGAAGTGCGCTGCTTTACAATGTTTTATTTGCTAATAGGGTAACGAGCTGCCATGCAAATGGGAAAAACAAACCACCAAAGGCAAAACCTAAAACTATTGAAGTGAAGAAGGATCTTACAAATGTTAGGGTCATTCAACGGAAAATGGCATATGTTATTGGGCTGCCTCTTAGTCTTGCTGATGAAGATGTATGGGGTGCTAATACTTTATTTTGTAATACTAAAGTTTTTAGTGTTCTTTTATTTGGATAGTTGATCAGTTTTGCTTTGTTCAATTGTTATTTTTTTTGACAAGGTGGACAAATCATGCATTATTTATGTATCTGAATAGTCCTGATAGTTTTTAGTTTTTATTTTGTTTTGTGAGCAGCTGCTGCAGCGAAAACAGTATTTTGGTCAGTATGGAAAAGTTACCAAGGTGTCTCTATCCCGGACTGCTGGTGGTGCAGTTCAGCAATTCGTTAATGATTCCTGTAGTGTGTGAGTTTAATGCCTTTTAAACTAAATGGTTCCCCTAGAAAATGCTATTGGAAATCAGTTGTGTTTGTCTCAACTATTTGTATTATTTGACTTTTGAGGTGGATGTTACCTATGGATTTGCTTTGTTTTTAATGTATCATCCGATTCCTTGATCTGGTGATATGTTTGATTTATTCCAAGTTTTCTAGAATGAAGAAATTCCACTTCCTTTAAATTTTTGCTGCTTTCTTAAAATTAACCTTTGGACTAAATTTGTGTCGTATTTTTTTATTTGCTAATTATTAATCTGCATAAAATCATATCTTGTTTTATCTTTGCTTCACATCTCTAGGGAGCAGCTAGTGAATTGCATGAACAAAATGTTATTCTGCCCTCATTTTTTCTTTCACAATTATATTTCTTAGCTATATATATATATATATATATATATATATATATATATATATATATATATATATATATAAATAATGCATTTGTTTAACTTAGTCATATTTTCTTTCTAGATATATTACATATTCGAAAGAGGAGGAAGCTGTGAGATGTATTCAGTCAGTACATGGTTTTATCCTGGATGGTAGGTATTTGAGGTAAGGATTTGCCCCTTTCTCTTGCTATAACTATACCATTGCTCTGGCTTTTTTGTTAGTTACATCTGAAAGTGGCCTGTGCAGAGCTTCATTTGGAACTGCAAAATATTGCCATGCCTGGTTGAGAAACATGGTATTGGAAATGCATCCTTTAATCTGTTTCACCCTGTTCTGTGGGTTTACTGTAAAAGTTTGCTCTTCTGTAATTGAGAGTATTGACAATGGTGCTTCTTGATTCCAGCCTTGCAATAACTCCTCCTGTCTATATTTACATTGCCTTGGTGCTGATGAAGATAGTTTTGGTAAAGATGAGACAGCTGCAATTCATACTAGGTATTAATGTGCAGACTTTTGATCCCATGATTGCATTTCTCTGTTTTCAAGATACAATTGAATGTTGATTTTGGTTTTTGTTGCACTGTTTAAATTTAGAAACTAAATCTTCTGGAGTTTTAAATTCGCATTAAAAAGCTCCGCTACTTGCTGTGCAATTGGTGGGCTATTATATGTGGGGGAATATTTCCTACTGACAACAGAGTCTTATGGCCGTACATTCTGCATAAGGGGAATATTAGTTGCAATTAATATTTGTGCATTTATGAAAAAGATTGTTGTCTTGCGATGGAACTTAAGTGTATATCTTAATTCTTCTGTCAATTGCTGCATCAATTTAACTGTTGATTTTCTTATTTTATGTTCGATATGCAGGAACAGGGTTCAACAAATTACTGGTAACACAAATAATATGATACGGCGTTCAGGAAATGTATTGCCCCCTCCAGTGGATGAATTTTCCAATACTGGGAGTCTTTCTACAGAGAAGCCTCCTGCTCAAAATGCTCCTTGTGTAAGAAGTGCTCAACTTTTCTCAGTGTTAAATTTACTTGACATTTGAAGATAATTGGACGCCACTAAGATTATTTTTTGGAAGTCATCAGACATGCATTTATAATATTTAGTTTATACTGCAAAGACTTTTATTCACTCTGTGTCCTCTGATTACAGAATTCAACTAGTGGTAGTTTAAGTTCCAGCAGCGGCCACATGTCTCACTCGCTCTGTAGTAATGATAGTGATGGATATGCTGGTGGACCCAAAAGAGGGACAACTTTTGTGGATATTGTTGGTAGGTCTAATATCTCTGAACCAGAGAAAGATGGAAATAGTAGTCAAAATTGGAAGAATTTGAATTTATGCTTGGATACATCAGGAACATCCATCAATAGAGATGATCTCAGTCAGGATGCATATTCAGATATTGTGCACTTCAATGTTTCATCTTCTAGTCACCTGCAAAGAGATCAAAGTTCTGTAGAGTTCTCAGATGAAACATTTAGAGAAGACTTAATATCTTCAGATGGTCAGGGATCCCAGGATTCAAATGGTTTGTATCAACGGACATCTTTTCTTGTTCCATCTCATTCTGAAAACTTTAGAGAGAGCACTGGTGGTAATTTGTTATTGCATAAGGGGACTTGTAGCTCAAGTAATATTGGCATGGATATGCACAAAGCTGTACATAAGCAAGAGGATGAAGCTTCTTTACCATTGTCTTGTGTGAATATGGTATTAAATGATGGATACCACGATATGAAATTTCAAAGATCTGCCAAATCAGATATGGTTTATAGAAGTTCTAACTCATTCTCCAATGAAGAAATTGTTGAGCACTTGCGGAGAATTGAGGATGATATCTTGACTAATGATGTAGAAAGTTCTGCTTTTGGTACTATAGAAAACAGTATAATCTCAAATATCATGTCAATGAATTTTGATGATGAGGCTGATGGTCATCATTCTTCCTCCTGGAATTCTCTTAATACTGGTCAGTCAAGACTCTCATTCACAAATCAAGATGGCATTCCAAGTCATGGGGTTGACTTGGAGTCTTTCAGAAATTTTAGTCAGTTATCAAAACAATGTTCTGCTGCTGACTATGAAGGAAACAAGGAGCACTACCTTTCTAAGCCACAGTATCAAGGTAAAAGCAACACATATTTTCATTTATTTTTAAAGCAAATTCCTTTATTTTTTGTGTTAATTTTTCCTTCAGTTTACTTGTTCTCTCCTTATGAAGGACCATATTAATTTTTACATAATTTATCTTGTTTGAACTTTGGGTCAATAATTTTTAGACTCTCATTCATGTTGCTTTTATTTCCAGAGGCTTGTGGTCTATTGTTTGGTAACTTGTTTGAACAGCAGAATATAGTTTCAAATGGACCTTTACAAGGTGGCATGTTGCTTGTATCAATTCTTCTTTTTGAGGGAACTTATGTTGAATTTCACTTTCTTGGGCTGTACATCTTCACTAGGATTACTTGCTCTCTATGCCCCTGCAGTAGACCTCACTTCTAAATGAAAAAAAAAAACAGATAATTTAATCTGGATGTCTTTAAAATTTGGCACATTAGCATGGGGGGTGATTTTGCCATCAGTCTAGTGCTCTCTTTGTCAGAGCATCTTATACACAGAGGCTTGGCACATCAATGCATTTTTTGCAGTTAAGAATATTGGTTTTCATTTGTTGAAGTTTTTGTAATTTGCTGTTTGCTTTCTCTTTTAACAGTGCCAAGAACTCGAAGTTTGGCTCCACCTGGATTCTCAGTATCCTCTTTACATACACCTCCAGGGTTTTGTGCATGTGATGGAGCAGGTTGTTTTCATCGTGGTATCTCTGGTAATAGCCTCGTTAAAATCTCCCTCACATGCAAACACAAAACACATGTTTAATGATTAATGCTTCAGCTGGGTATGGGTGGGGGTGTCACACTCTTTTCCAGGAACGTATTTGTTTTAATAATACCAACTTTGTTTTGCGAACTTCATCAACAGGAAGTGACAGCAGTGGTGGCAATGCTGCTGATTTTGTTGACCCTGCGATATTAAGCTTTGTTAAGGGCACACCAATTAACAGTGTGAACACCACAGGATTAGAGATGGGGAGAGCTTTTACTCCACAGCAGAGAACCCTGGAGGATGAGGCAAGACTCTGGCTTCTGATGCAGCAAAAATCTGCAGAGCAAGACAGTACAAGGCTATCTCAAATGTTTGCCCCTCCAGCTCCAACCACCACCCACCAGGATCTAAGGTTCCTTGGTCGGGGTGGAAACGAGTACTCTGGCGTGGACAACATGTATGGGTTTTCTTCAAGGCTGGTGGATCAATCCCAAAACTTAGATCCTTCTTCCTTGGCAGATTTGTCTCAGCAGAAATTTGTAGGCGGCGGGGGCGGGGGGCATATTTCTTCTCGCGGGTACCAGCATCAGCATGGTTTGGATGAAATCCAGTGCAGGAATGAAGCGGGCATAGGTGGAGAGGTAGAGAGAAATCAGAGATTTGGTGTAAACTACTTTGGTGGGGGTTATGGCGATTTGAGGTTCCAGGCGCCAAGCTCAGGCGATGTATACACCCGAGTATTTGGGATGTAAGTGAGATTACTTACTTAGTAGTAAAACAAACATATATGATGCCGGTTATGTGGCAAGAAAGGCATGTTGTTAGCCTCCTATGAATGATGAATCATCTTCTGCGGGTAAATGTAATGCTTGTTTCTTGGATTGCATGGATCCCCTCTATTACTAGTACCAAAAACTGCTTGGGTGCCATTAGATATTAAAAAAAAAAAAAATTCACAATTCAGTAGTGCAAAACACCTTTATTCGATATTCTTTTTAACTTGAGTTTTTATTTATTCATTTATTTGAGATACTAATAAATACAAGATCAAGGCCACGTGTATAAGGATATATATTTTCTGCCTCGAGTCTCTCTATCTCGATGCAACGTGGTGCTATATGGAGATCAACATTTCTGCCGACAGATAAACCTTCTCTCGAGGCAATTAGGTATTTGAATGATTCCTAAAAAAAAAAAGAAAGGTTTTTGAATGATTATGATTTTGATTTTTGATCACGTTTTTATAAAAGAAGAATTTACCCAAAATGAATATTTAAAAAACATGATCGATTATTCTTTAAAATAATATTTTCAAAGAGATTAGCTGATTTGTGCAATCTTTGTAATCGTAATTTAGGTTAGTGAAAGTGCATCTAGTCACATGCAATTCTGGAAGTAACGTGCGTCATGCACTTTATTAATCGCAATGTTTCTCTCAAAAAGGTTGAATTTTTAATCACAAGAACTCCACATTTTCAGCCGAATAAAATATTTTATTTAGGAAGATGTAAATCACGTCTAATGAATCATTAAATTTAACTCGTACGGGCTTATTAATCACAATGCTTGTGACAAAACAGGAGCTCCTTAGTAAAAGTTGCTCCCATCTTTATCGTGAGATTCGATCTTTAATCTTTTGTGACAAATTTTATCTTTATGACAACTGTCCTGAGGGCTGAGGCTTCTTCTTTAATCACAATAGTGGACATGTGGAGTGGTGGGGGCGTTTTAAAGAATGAATGCATCACTCTGAACTTTCACTCTCTTTCCTTCTTTAATAAATATCCGTTCACACTTGACACACTCCATCATCTTCAGTTCTTCACCGGTGACACTCTCCAGATTCCAAACCAGCTTCAACAATGGCTACCAGGTATTCTTCTTAATTTCTTTATTCTCCTGGAATACACACACACACGCGCGCGCTTTTCTTTGAACTCAGATTATTTTATTTTATTTTAATTTTCTGTGTTTGATTACTTTAGTGAGGTGCTTCCCCCTACTCTTGGTGCTTCTTCAGAACCACCACCTATCTTTGATGGAACTCCCAAGTTAGTTAAATTTACTCTCTTCCTTACATTGATCATTTCTTCTTTTTTTTTTGGCTGAAATCAACTACTTACACTTCTTTCTTGAAGGCTGTATATAGCATACATATGCCCATATGCTCAACGTGCCTGGATTGCCCGAAATTATAAGGTTGTTTGAAGCTTCAGATCTGGGCATAACTTGTCTTCAATGTATATGATCTTTTGTCTCTGAAGATTTGGTCTTCCTGTGCTTGTTTGGTAAACAGGGATTGCAGGATAAAGTGAAATTGGTTGCAATTGAGTTGAATGACAGGCCAGCTTGGTACAAGGAGAAGGTTTACCCTGAAAATAAGGTGATAGGATGGTCTTGTTAAAGTTTTCTGCTTTGCATTTGTATTATGGTGAGAGAATTGACAGTGGAATATTGATTGCAAGATCAAGGCTAAGCTTTGCCCATTTGCTTCTACTTTGATCTATCTATATATACATATATTAGACACTGCCACTTATATTTTAGTCAATTGAGAGAAAACAGATTGTGTATTCTATGGTTTTTACAGACATGAAAAGGCTTTCATCCTTGGCTGAATCTTGTTGGTAGTCCCAAATAACTTGGATTTGATTTGATAGGACATATCATGGTCTGATGGTCCTTTGAACCATCATTCTTCTTCTTCCTCTTCTTAGGTTTCAAGTTCGACTCCTAGCGGGAGCGGCTTATTGGCCTTCTTGGTTATGGACCATCTAGGCTAACTTATTTCCTTGTGGTCCTTTGCTGGCTAGGGTCACGAGGTGGGGTTTGGGTAGTGGTTGCAGGTTTCCTTGTCACTCAAAAAAAACTACATGTTGCCTACTAATCTTAAAATTGTAACTATATCTTTAGTTTGAGAATGTTTCCTTAGTGTCTGGCAAAAGAAAATTACACCACAAAGTTCTGTTTGGACTGGTGTCTGATGTTTCGACTATATTCTCCTTTTCTTTTATATAAAACTAAACTGCTATTTATTGTATCCAGGTTCCAGCTCTGGAATACAATAATGAAATTAAGGGAGAGAGTCTTGACTTGGTCAAGTTCTTCAGTGACAACTTTGAAGGGCCTTCACTTTATCCTGATGTACGGTATTTGTTCATATCTCGTGTCCTTAATTCTTGCGTTACATTCTCCCACTGCTTATGCACTGGCTTCATGAATGTAGGATCCCGCTAAGAAAACATTTGCAGATGAGTTACTGTCCTTCTCTGACTCCTTTATCAAAACTATGTTTGGTACTTTGAGGTCAGAAGGAATGAGTGATGCTGCTGGTATGTAAACTACTATGAGTTTCGTTTTACAATTTCCTTTACTTGCTTGGACATGGCAGCTGTAAATTTCATGTTCATTTGGTTTAGTTGCTGGGTTCGATGCCCTCGAGAATTATCTTTCCAAGTTTGAAGATGGACCTTTCTTCCTCGGCCAATTCAGTGCAGTAAGTAAACAAACACACATTTCCATTTTTCCCGTTTCGAGTGGAAGCTTATGTTGGCCCTGTTTGGTAAATGGCTGTTAGCTGATAGCTGATTGAGTTAATTAAATGGTATAGCTAGTTGATAATATTAGCTGATTGTAGAAAGGTGTTTGGTAAATTAGCTGTTAGCTAATAGCTGTTTGGTATGATTCCTTTTCTCAAAAAACTAATTGAAAAAGTTGTTTTGAGAAGCTTTTTGAATTTGAGCTTTTTGGAATTGATTTTTTAACCAAGTATCTCTTCCTAAAGAACCTCGAGACTTGGAATGTTGTGAACTGGAAAGTTCAAGTTGCACTTCAATCTCGTTGGGATTCAATCACTTGCTATATCTGTCTTCTGAGATTTGAAAACCATATTGGCTCTAATTCATGATTGGCTACATAATTTTCAGGTGGATATAGCTTTTATACCATTTATCGAGAGGTTCCAGACTTTCTTCAATGAATTCAAGAACTATGATATAACACAGGGCAGGCCGAAACTTGCACACTGGATCGAGGTACTACTGAGCTTACTTTTCTCGAGTGTCGTCTATACCAAACCGTGAATCGTTGAAATAAACCGTCAATGAAACAATCCCAGAACAACAGTTAATTGGAAACCAAAAAGAAATTTTCAGTATTTTCGAAACATGCTGCTATTCATTTTATCTATCGTTTGTAGGAGGTGAACAAGATTGATGCTTACAAAGTAACAAAACGCGACCCCAAGGAGCACGTTGAAAGCTTTATGAAAAAATTTCAGGTATATTTCTTGAATGCTACCGATTGTTGAGCATATAACCATTAATGTGCAATCCAACTGTCAGCTTAGGCTTTTAGTTGAGATGGAGCACATGCTTCAATTTGGTATTAGAGCCAGACCAAAGGTCATGGGTTCTAAGCGACAACCCACCGCACACACGTGAGGGGGTGAGCATATAACCATAAAGCTATCAGCTTAGGCTTTTAGTTGAGATGAAGCACATGTTTCAATCCCGATGATACCACAGTTCTATAGATACGCATACAATAATATTATGTATGCAGTGGAGATAAGTGAGTTTTGTGTTGAATTTGTTTTTGCAGGCTGCAGCTAAGCCCTGAACTCTTTAAAAGATGGCTGCTACAATATCAATAATCATGCTCCCATGGCCATTGTTAAACTACTTTTATTGAGTTAAACTATGAATAAGGTGTTTGTATAAATGACTTGGCTAGTTGGTTCCACTGGGTTTCTCAATAATGTAATGGATTGTTTGACCTGTCCTGAAAATCTGAGATTGTGTAACTGAGTTCTTTGTAGTTCTTTATTTAACTTTATTCCTTTCTTAAATACCTTGTGGACATCATTGAAAATTTGAGTAAAATACAATTTGGTAATTTGGAGTTAGGGGTAAAAATAAGCAATTGTTACATCTGCACATTGTGCGCCTTAAAAATCCTATGTTTCGTATGTACATAATTGTATAATAGACTAAACATAAACTCATAACATAATACACATAATCTAACATAATACATATAAGCTCTTAACATAATACACATGAACTCTTAATATAATACACAAACTTTTAATATAATACACATGAACTCTTAATATAATACACATAAACTCTTAACATAATACATATAACGTCTTTAACATAATATTACATTATATTTAGTATTGTAAATACTATTAAAAATGTCTTATTATTTTATAGAGTTAATACCCAAAATGGTCCCTCGACTATAGTTAAATTCACAAATTGGTCCTCGACTTTTAATTTTAACCAATTAAGTCCTTAACTTTGCAATTTTAACACAATTTGGTCCTTTGTCTATTTGACCGTTTGTTGACTGCGCTTTTTTAGGATATATATGTAATTTCATGGTCCATCGTCGGTTTTTTAAGGTTCCGGTTGCATTTCTAGACCACACTGTTACATTTGAATCCACTGCCGGCGCTGCACCCCGTGCCGGAAAGATTATAACTTTTGATAGATAGATCGCCGAAGTCCCTGGAGTGGCTCTTCGAGAAAGTCGTGACTCCAAGCGATGTATGCAAGCTGAACCGGCTCGGGATCCCCAAGCAGCAAGCGCAGAAGCACTTCCCCCTCCGAAACAACGATGTCACCTCCAAGAGCGTTCTCTTGAGCTTTGCACGTGAAACTACATATATATCCTCAAAGATCGCGGTCAACAAACGGTCAAATAGATGGAAGACCAAATCGTGTCAAAATTGCAAAGTTAAAGACTTAATTGGTTGAAATTGAAAGTCGATGACCAATTTGTGAATTTAGCTATAGTCGAGGGACTATTTTGGGTATTTACTCTATTTTATACCAAAAGTCATAGTATATTGATAATACATTTTGACAGTGTTAGTTAGTTAATCATAAAATGGGAGAAGATGAGCAGTAACTACTAATAGGGCTGTTAACGAACCGAACATAAACGAACGGAGGTTGTTCATGTTCGTTTGTTAAGGAATTTGAAGTGTTCGTGTTCGTGTTCGTTTGTTAAGCTTTTTGAAAATCTTGTTCGTGTTCGTTTGTTAAGCGTTTGTTAGTGTTCGTTAACGTTCGCGAACACGTTCACGAACGTGTTCATTAACGTTAACGAACATGTTCGCAAACGTGTTTGTTAACGTTCGTGAACACGTTCGCAAACGTGTTCATTAACGTTAACAAACACGTTCACAAACATGTTCATTAACAAGCACGTTCACAAAAATATTCATTTACGTTCATGAACACTACTTAATAAACAAACACTTACACATGTTCATGATCACAATTTGTTCGTGAACAATAAATAATCTACGTTCACGAACAATAATCAAACAAACAACACAACCACAAAATTAATATAATATAATATAATATATATGTTTGTGAACATGTTCGCGAACATTATAAAACGAACACAAACGAGCTTGTTCACGAACATTAGTAAACGAACACAAACGAGCTTGTTCACGATCTCTTAGCAAAACGAGCTTACAACTGTTCAAGCTCTGTTCGTTTATTAACCGAGCTATAAATTTTGTTTGTTAATGTTCGTTTACCTTAACAAACGAACATAAACGAACGCTTACCGAACACGAACACGAGTAGTTTGCCGAAAGCTCTGTTCGCTAACACCCCTAACTACTAACTAGCAACTAACTCAAACCCAACCCGGCCCGAACCAGTGCTTCCAAATCGTTTGTTTCGTTGATGAAAGCAAAAGCAAGAAAAGAGTGGAAGCTATCATCTCCATCGCAATAATGTCACTCTGCTTTCAACTTCCCTCCAAATTCCCACTCAATATTCACCTCCGATGCTCCAAACCCACTCCAACATCACTCTCAGTCACGGCTTCAAGGTATGCATAAAAATCGAAACTTTATGCCTTTCTGGCTTTCTGATTTTAATTTCAAAGTTTAGTTTTGTTGAACCCTCTTAATTAGTCTCTGACGTGCTTAATTGCAGAAGTGAGGTGCTTCCTCCTGCTCTGGATTCATCCTCAGAACCACCGCCAATCTTTGATGGAATTCCAAAGTTAGTGCTTTTAACATTTGTATGGATTATTGATTATTGATTTTGTTTTGTATGGATTTACTCATTGGTGTATTCTGTTGGTTGAAGGCTATACATTTCTTACTCATGCCCATATGCACAACGTCCATGGATTGCCCGCAACTGTAAGGTCATTTCAACTCCTTCTATCTTGGCTACTGATTCTGAATTCTGATCATTCAATTCTGGTGACTGTAAATTCAAAAGGAACTTGTTCGAATCCCCGCCCGAGTGGCTTATTGGCCTACTTGGTTTGAGCTGTTGGGGTTTACCCTGTGCACAGTCTCTGATAGTGGCTATGGTTTCCCTCGTTACCCAAAAAGAAAAAGGAACTTGTTTTAAGTTAAACCAAATCACTTGGCTTATCACGGTTTATACTTGGAAGTTCATAGTATGCGTGTATATGCTTATTTCCTAGTTGCGTGACAAGCAGGGATTACAGGACACGATAAAACTGGTCCCGATTGACTTAAAGAACAGGCCAGCTTGGTACAAGGAAAAGGTTTATCCGGCTAACAAGGTGAGAATCATATGGTGGAGACAGGTTTAGTACTGGCATAAGACAATTAGAGACAATAATGTTCAGTTTTTAAGTTGGATTTGAATGAACAGCCTACGTTTTGCAATGCTTGATTAATGAATTAGGATAAAATAGTCTGATACATGACTTATAGAATTCATTCACATATAGAATGGAATTGCCTCTTTGAATTGACTGGGAAAAAGCGTCGGATGCTAGCTTACACTTCAACCAGCTTAGTTATATATATATATATATATATATATATATATATATATATATATATATAGGCATTCACATTTATGGGGTGTAATTTTGCTCCACTTCTTTTTGGAAACAGATTACATTTTTATTTTATTTTATTATCATGCAGGTGCCGGCTCTGGAACACAATAATGAAGTTAAGGGAGAAAGTCTTGATTTAATTAAATATATCGACAGTAACTTTGAAGGGCCTTCTCTCTTTCCGGATGTAAGATTGTAAGGATATAACGGGATAAGTTTATCATTTGCTCCCATCTTGCATTCTCATCTGTTTCAGTGTTTACTTAACGGTGTAGGATCCTTCCAAGAGAGAATTTTCCGAGGAATTGCTATCACACCTTGACACATTTTACAAAACTGTAACTTCTTATTTCAAGGGAGAGAAGGAAGATGTCGGTATGTACAATTCTCATGTTTACCGTCTTGATGGCATGTATAAATTGTAATTTTTGTGACTTTCTATAGGCGCTGCTTTCGACTCTATTGAGACCGCTCTTTCTAAATATGGAGATGGACCTTTTTTCCTTGGCCAGTTCAGTCTTGTAAGTGAAGCCTTATACGTTCTTTATTGCTCATGCGAAACATTGGGTTATCATTTAGAAGGATATTCTACCAAAAATCTCGTAAGAGTTGATAAAGTAGGCATAGAACGTGCAAACTGGAAAACTAGCTCATATTCCATCTATGAATATGCCATTCTTGAGACTATCTTTGATTTATTGTTGCACTCATACGTGGATTTTTCAGGTAGATATAGCTTATGTGCCATTCGTTGAAAGATTCCAGCTTTTCTTACTAGAAGTAAAGAGTTACGATATTACAACAGGCAGGCCAAAACTTGCAGCCTGGATTGAGGTATAATTGAAATGACGTTTTATTTTTTTGGTTCTTTGTAAAGTGTTAAGAATGATTTGGCTCGTAACCTGCATGAGTTCTGGTAGCACTGCTATGACACTTGATACGGGGTTTTCTACCAATTTCTATAGGAGATGAACCAAATTGAGGGGTACAAAGTAACAAAAAGAGATCCAAATGAGCTTGTGGAAGGCTATAAGAAGCGATATTCGGTATGCATATATTCATATCGTATAATCATATATTACAATAAGCTGCAGTTATTTTATGAATCCTTCCCCTGATTATCACTTGTCTATTCAATTATGTCTTTTTTGCAGTCTTAGCCCTGGCTGAAGATGAAGACGACGAGTAGCTCTTATTCTCATAACTCACGCTATAAGAGGATCACTGTAAGTACAGTCCCCGGGGGGGAAAAGAATGAGAACATTATGTATGGAGAGTTGTAGAATTGAATTGAGTTTTTTGTTCCAACTCCGATCAATTTTTTATATTGGTAGCAGATGCAAATCTATACTGATTTTATATGATGTTTATTAGATACAAAATATTTATATGTTATTCAAGAGATATTAACCACTAGACGAGAAATTTGATTCATAAAAAAATTGGAGAGGGAAAACAAGTCTCTATTTCAACGAGTTAATATCACAATCACCAGTTATTGTTACTGCTTAACTTTCATGTCTTGTAAGTTGATAAAAGCACGACCTGATCGCTGTTATCAATGGACTACAACCAGGTGTAGTCCCGATAACTAGCAATTTAGAATGTTTCGGGTGAAAAAATGAAACTACGCAGGAGAGTGTGATCCTATGTACACTTGATACTAGGTTTATGTTCCACACAATAGGGAAATGAATTGAAGCTTTCTGCAGTTGGTGCTAAAGCAACCCAAGATTAATTGCTGAGCCTCGCCCCCTCTAGTTGGGGCGAAGGGTCATTAGATGGTTTTGGGATGCTGCACTCGGGGGCGGAGCTGCAGAAGGGAATTTGAACATGGAAGTAGCTGTGGAAGAGAATCCTGATGATGCTGCAGAAGAAAACCTTGGCGCTGAAGGGGCCACACCCTGGCTAAGCCATCGCAAATTGGAGAACACGGGAGAAGATGCTTCTGCATTCGTTCCCATTAGTCCCTCCTGCTTAAGAGACAAGTATAAATATTACTTTGTTGATTTGATAATCACAAGGTTACAAGTTTGACTCTCAGTGGGAGCGGTCTATTGGTCTTCTTGGTTTGAGCCGATCAGCTATGAACAATCTAGGGTTACAAGGCAGGGTTTACCCAGTGCACATTGGGTGCAGGGTTTACCTTGTCAAGGAAATCATTCATTCCCATTAGTCCCTCTTATTATTTTTGAGAAATCAAATTACTGCTAATTTTATTGAAGGTGATAATTACCTCATTGTTTGGAGTAAGGGCAGATTGCAGGCCAGGCCACCTGGAATACTGGGATGCCATTGCTGGACCATAAGGTGTGCCGGGGGTGCACTCAACCTATGAGCATTGATAAAAGAAGAAGATAAGCACATCGCCTCAAAATCAAGTAAGTTCGGGTGTTACCCTTCTTTCTCAGAAGAACAAATGCATCACCTCAATGAAGGAACTCGATGAAAATCGAATTTGTTTTAATGATTTCTATTAGCAAAACATACCTTCACTCTTTTCAGAAGAGACAGGTCGCGAGCTTCAAAATTGAACTGCAACTTTCTGGCATTCTCAGGCCTTTTTGGACCATCCAAAGGCGGAGATATCCAAAGGTTCAGATCAAGACTGGCATTTGTGCCTACATCCATAGGACAGATTGTCCGTGTTGAGAGTTTTTCTTGTTTAATAAAACAGTCAAACAAAGAATAGAAATACCTCCATCTCTAGTGTTCTTGTTCATCTCCCCTTCATAGGCACTGGGCTCAAAGTTGGTCATTGCTTCCCTTCCATAACATTTGATGGCTGCTTTGTCATAAGCCCTGAACCAGAAAACAAAAAACCAAGATTTTGTTGGATTAAGATTCATGTAAAACTTTTTTTCAATGTCAAGGAGTTCATGATCACAAGGAGACCTTGCAGCTTCAACTTCAGAATTGTATAACCCAAGATACATATACCTGCAACCAAGCATTATAATCTTACAGATAAACACATAGGGCCCTAACAGGTTTCCAATCAAGAACACTACCATATAAACATATCATCATTCAGGAATCATGGTGCAAATCATCAATCTTGCCCACAAAAGGCAAAATCCCTCACCCCTAGCCTAAGAGCCCCACACCCTAGCCTGACAGGAATATGGAGGGATAAATCATGGTGACTCAGCGGTCCATTAGGTGGGAGGACCAATGCCTAGAACCCACAAGAGGGTGAAACTCCCATACTGAGGCTGCAAGGGTTGGATCTTGCGTTCTTGCCCACAATTTGTTACCCAGGAACCAATTGAACTACCCGTGTTGCAGATCATCAATCTACAAGAAAAGTAGTGTAAAAGGGAAAAAGGCATCCTTACTTTTTCCCCGCCAATTGACCCATCCGAGCCTCCCATCGACCACACTTGTGCAGGGTTACTCCTCTGTACTTAGAGCTCCCTCTGGAAAACCCAGTGCTCTGGCGTCGAAGAATCTGAACAAACTCTTCCTTGTTCAAGTTCTTCATCTGCAGATAATAAACTAGGTCAAGATTCATATGCCTTCAACATTTCATCTCAGAACACAGTCCGTTACTCCATTAGTATAAACAAAAATAATGTCTTCACCTGCTTCATATCTTCTTCATAGTCACTCAAATGAAAATTTATGTCAGCATCAACCCCTCGAAACTTAATGGCAGCGCGATCATAAGCCCTAAATTCCAACACAAATGAAAAGAAAACAAGAATCAGAAGATCTGCTTCAAAGTTTAAAGTAACAAGTAAATCACAATCTCTCAAGACTCAGGGTTAGATCTTCACCTAGCAGCAGAATGAGCTGTGTCAAATCCTCCTGCAAAACCAAACCTCAGATCATCAAAAACCACCTCAAAATTATGCAATTCAAAAGCAAATATGTTGTTGATCAAACTTGGGGCAACCTCGACCAAGTTGGTCAAACTTGGTAACCACAAAGTTACAAATTTGACTCCTAGTAAGAGCGGCCTCTCGCCCTCTCCTTTGCCAGTTAAGGTCATAAGACAAGTTTACTCGGTCATACTCTCGGTTAGTGGTTGGGGTTTCCATCTTTACTTTATTAAAAAAAAAAAAAAGTAAAATTATACTTCAAATTGATAAGGTTATTTACCCAGATAAACTTGCTTCCCACAGTCCCTGCAAAACACAAAATCTGATTGTGAATCATCAATTACTTGAAAGAACAGGAATTCCATCAAATTTTACAGAGAACATGATGGTATATAAGTTGAACCTTATGAAATCCTGATTATTACAGAATCTGTATATATAAATATACGTATAAAATGCCGTTGTATGTGTATAAGTTAGGCATGATGAACGTATAGATTTATGTACTGACCAGATATGCGACTCCCATCTTCCAGTCCGCCTGTAAAACGTGACACCGCGGTACTGGGAGCTCCGGGAACGCGGCCCACGGCGGCTCTTCTTAATCGGCTGGCAGGGCTGCGGGTACGGCGGCTCAAAAGTTCCCACTTCTGCCCCTCGGCCCGTCTCCGGCGCGGACAGTTTCAACCAGTTCTGATGCTGCTGCTGCTGCTGCGGCGGCGGCGGCCAAGCAGACGAGAAAAACGGCTCTCTAGTGACCGGTAAAAGCTGCCTAGAGGCCACCACCGAGGCGGCCTCGTTTCTCCCGTCCTCAACCTCGATCACCTGACTGGTTTTCAGTATAGAGAAGGCGAGAGTCGAGGGGGAGGAGGGCGGGTCGTCGGCATTGACGACGGAGGAAGACGAGGCGGTGTTGGAGGTGCCGGAATCATCGCCACCATTTAAGGAAGCGGTTACCCGCCCACAGGGGTCCGGGTCGGACTCATCGCAAGCGGAGTCCATGTAAAAAACGGCATCCACATTCAGATCTTCCAACAACATATCTCTTTGTTTCCTTGTATGAGCGTGCATATAATATAATATAATATATATATATAATCTGTGTCAGTCAGCTTCTTCTTCTTCTTCCGACCTCTCCGCCTTGAAGCTAGTGGTTGCAGACACTTTTGTTCATAAACATATATCGCCCAGTAGTCACATGTTTCTGATGAGAGAGAGAGAGAGAGAGAGAGAAATGGGGATCAGAGAATCATGACTATGAAGGAATATATATACATATTATATTATATAACTGTCAGCGGCAGCTTAATCAGTTTGATAGCTTGATGAAACTGGAAAGACAGCTGATCAACTTAAATAAACTACCTTTACTTTTTTTTTTTTTTTTTTTTTTTTAAACCAAATAAAACATTCATTCATTACAATAAAAACGGAGGGGAAGAAACCCACTCCTAATGTACAGACAAAAGAACAGGCTTCCCTAGCAAGGTTATGGACGTTCAGTGTTAAAAAAGTTTCGGGTTAGACTTTCTTTATGTAAACTTCATATTGACTAAATTGAGATCGAATGGGAATCAATTAGTTTTATGAAAATATAATACGAAATACTTTTAAAGATAGACATGTAGTGACCTTTCCCCATGAGATCAAGCCTTAGTGGAATCGTTGTGCTTCATTAGGTTGAGAAAGTATGTTTTAACAAATACATGTAATAGAGTCAGTAGCATTTAAAAATAATACTCCGTAATAATAATAATAATAATAATAATAATAATAATAATACGAAATAATTTTTAAAGATCATACTAAATAGTGAAAGTACATGAATATCTAATACTAATAATTCTCGTTGAGATTAATTTTACATAATTCAATAAATGTGTTTTAAACTTCAATTACTTGATAATTGTCCATTAATTTTATTATCCGTATATTGTTATCATCGTCACTTCACATAAATGTTAAAGGAAAACTTTGGGTTACACCCAATATGTGAATTCTTACTTCAAAACTAAATTTAAAAAGTCTATATTTTTAATAAAGATTTTTAAAAAAAAATATCAATTTAGGGTGTGTTTGGAAACTCGACATGAACCACAGAGGCTAGACCGGTGCTCATTGCGTACAAGAAGCCCCCCTCACTTTGAGAGGTTGCTCTCACATTGTCGCTGGTGAGACTCAATTCCTGATCATTCTTTCAAAGTTTCACCTCTATGACCAGTTGAGCTACCCATGCGGGCTTATTATTATTATTATTATTATTATTATTATTATTATTATTATTATTATTATTATTATATGCACAAACAACATGCATATGCGGCTACAATTGTGAGTGTTTTGACTGCTATGGTTGTGGTAGTAATAAAATAAAATAAAATAATAATTAAAAATTATTTAAAAAATAAAAACCAAGTGGCTCTATGATTGCTGACTTGTTGCTCCTGCTTTGCCATACCAATTAATACATTAAATATGGCAGTCCAGTACTTGTGCTCAATTTGTGACAATTTATACCACAAATGGAAAATATTTTAATTCTTTTCTGTTGCAAGACCTATATATATATATATATATATATATATATATATATACCAGGACTATGTGGTCTAATGGTATCCGAGTTGGACTTCCAATTGAAAGATTATGAGTTCAAGCCTCAGTGGAGGCGTTATTGATTTTTTGTGTTTCAGTAGGTTGAGAAAGTATATGAACAGATACTACAAATGTAATAGAACCAGTAGCTTTCAAAAAAAAATATATATATATATAACATGATTTTTCTTGATTCTATATGCATATGTTTATACTAGGAACACTAAAACTAAGAACCAATCAAAATGCACTTTTAAAGTTTGAAAAAAAAATTATTAAAATGTACTACATTTTTTCGACATTGCTCTAGCCAGATGAACAGTTGCGATTAATTTTTAATTTTCTCTTCAAAAAAAAATATTATATATGATCCCTTTTCCTGTTTGTATATGTGCGTGAGAGAAAGAAAGAGGGATATATATATATATATATATATATATATATATATATATATATATTATGAATTTATTTATTTACTTGTTTATATTTAACGATTTTATATATGTTCACAACTATTTGAGTTTATTTAGTATTCAAGGAAAATTGTTGGTCAATAATGTAAACGGTTGACTTTTATATGTTTACATAAATTGACAAATCCATTAAGCCTAACATTTCCTTTTATATTTCTTTATTAACTACTCCCATCACATTTTATACATCTAATTCAATTAACAATATTTAATTTGTTTTTTTTTAAACAATATTTAATTTAAATTGTTTATAATTTTATTTTTTGTAACGTTTAATTATATATATATATATATATATATATATATAGAAAAACGCTCATATGTGGTCATGTCATTAGGTGTGGTCGTATCTGGGTCGTTGAATCAGTTTAATCTAACGGCAGTGGTAATTCTGAGAATTTTCGCGCGTTTTGGTAGGTGGGGGTGTTATGGTAATTACAGTGGCCATTTATAGCGGGCGGGTTCCAGAATACACCAACAGTGTTGACAACATACACCAATAGTGTAATAAAACACACCACAGTGAAACACACCAATGGTGTATTTCCGTGTTATGGTAATTACAATGACCATTTATAGCGGCCGACTTCCAGAATACACCAACAGTGTTGACAACATGCACCAATAGTGTAATAAAACACACAACAATGTGATTTCCCCTATTCCGGTGTTTTATGACGAGTTTACCCTTACAGTTCGCTGGGTAGGAGAATGTGCGCGAAAATACTGAAAAAATCTTGATTAATATGATTCATTGGATCTATCTAATCTAATGGCCTATAATTGACCATATGACCACACCTAACAACATGACCACATGTGATCACTCCTCTATATATATATATATATATAGACACACACACCTTATCAAAATACTAAATACAAAAAAAAAATGAATTTAAAATTTATTTTAAAAAGGTCAAAGATAAAATATAACTTGCCAAACTTGGACATGTATGGAAACTGAAATTGGCAACATTAACCATACTACAAAGGGTAGGGTTTTAATTGTGTTTTTAAAACAAGAGGGACCATACATACCAATGTGGTGGCCACCCTCAATTATTGTTCATCAATGCATTTCTCATTGTCCTTAACTACCTTACTCTCAAGTTCATTTTTTAAGTATTGGGTTCCAATCCTGAAAATGCAACAATTTTTTTTTTTAAAAAAAAAAACAGTTTTAATATTTGAAATGTCATTCTATAAAGAATAATATATGATGAAATTATAGTTGATGATGACTAAAAATTAAAATAGAAAAAAATAGTCAAATAAACTCTTGAATTTTATATGAAAATCAATTAAAACACTGGAATTATAAAAATTTGCAATTAAACACATTAACTTGTTAGTTTTGTGCATCTGGCTCAATAACCGGTCATCTTTCGATAATTAGGATTCTGACAATTGAAATAGGCCATCGACGTATTATTAGGTGACCACCAACCAGTTATTACTGTTGAATAATTGACGATTGATCCCAGATACATAAAAATATAAGTTAATGTGTTTAATTGCATTTATTTTACCCGCATGGGCAGCTCAGGCCACAGAGATGAAAAGTTGGAAGAATGACCAGGGATCGAGTCTCACCAGCCACAATGTGGGAGCTACCTCTCAAAGTGAGGGGGCTCCTTGTGCGCAGTAAGCAAAGGTCTAGCATACGTGGTTCATGCTCTGTCAGGTTGGGGTTCAACCTTTTGGAAGAATTTATTTTACCATTCTTATATGAAAATGTGTTCCCCACCCCACCCCCAAAAGAAAAGAAAAGAAAAAAAGTCGTAGATATCCATAATAGTATAAGGAATATGTGAAGAAGAGGAAGAAACACAACTAAACAAGAAAGTAAAACTTGTGGCCTGGTCTAGCCTGGAAAAGGAAATGATGAGGGGAAGAAGCTGGGGACAGACTTGTTTAGTTCACGGGAAAATAATTTTTTAATAGATTTTTTTTTATCAAATTTGAGAAAAAAAAAAAACATATTTTTACCTTATTTGGTTGATGAAAATTTATTTTAAAAAATAAATAAATTACTTCATTTACTTGCTCTACTTTGGTATTTTATTTTCACACATTTTGAGAAAAAATCACAACAAATTAAACATGAACTCTTAAATTACCCTCACGTATATTCATTATGTATGAGTGTAAATTTTTATGCTAATTATTTTCACAAACCACGCAATATTTCAAGTAATTTTTTTCATGATTATTAAATTCAATTTCTTCTTGATTATTTTTCATGAGCACGCACCGTAAAAATGTTATAGTTCGTAATTTTTACTCTATATTTTACTTTTAATTAATGTGCCGTGTTTTGGATGATTAAAGAAAATATATAGATTATGTTGTTTAAAAAAAATTAATATGATTTTTACATTATAAGAAAATAACATTTGATTAAACTTAACAGTCAAAAGTTATCTTCATCAAAGTATGTCTTAGCCTTTTGATTATGATGTGATGTGATTTGATGATTCATTATTATTTATATATCAAATCAATCTTCATTATGTAAATTTCATTTCCATTTTGCGTGACCCTTTGTGTGTGGAGGGGACAACTCAGGATTTGGCAATCTAATAATGGAAGTGATATGTTCCCTTCTTGGATTTTTTTTTTTCTTTGATTCTAATTATATAATACTCCCTCCGTCCCGAATTGGATGTCTCATTTACTTTTTGCACGCTTTTTAATGAATTAAAGTAAATGTTATGCACTTTCCAATTATGCCCCTCACTTTTTCACTTTTGGAAATAAAAACAATAAAGAAAGCAAAAGCTAGAAGGGTAATTTGAAAAAAAGTGGAATGATAGTGATGTTCAATTTTGAAAAGTGGACAACATTTTGGGACAAACTAAAAAGGAAAGTAAGACACATAAAATGGGACAGAGGGAGTATAAGTTATCAAACCTTCTGGTCTAATGACATGAAGTGATTTTCCTAAATAAGAGGTTATGAGTTTGAACCTCAGTGGAATGATATTGACTCTTTGTACTTCAGTAAATTGAAAAAGTAACTATGAACAGACATTACATTGTAACAGAGTCAGTAGTACTATTTAGACAGTAAAAATTTGGAATTTATGAGTTATGACTTATGACACATCTTTGGCAAATTATATCATGGATTATATATAGTTTGCATTGCATGGATGACCAAGATCCATAAAAATGACATAATAAATAATAGTGAATTTATGTATTTATAATAACGAATTTGTGTATCTACAGCATTGAATTTATATATCTACAATATTGAATGCATGTATTTATAATAGTAATTTTATGTATTTTCAATAATTAATTTATATACTTATAGCAGTGACATTTATGAACTAAGATTATGTACTTATAATAATAAATTTATGTATTTACAGTAATAAATTTATGTATTTATAGAACTGGATTTATGTATCCATAGTAGTAAATTTATGTATTTATAATAATGAACTTCTAGACTTATAGTAGCTACTTTTATGAACTAAATGAATGTACATAAAGTACTGACTTTTATGTGTTAAATTTATTTTTTTTAAAGAAAATTAAAAAATCAATATGATCATCATTTAAAAATCTCAATTAAAGCTTTTTAATAAATATTTTTATATATTAACTTTATTTACACAAAAAGAAAAGGATGAAAATTTTGAGATAAAATTTTTGGACCAATGTCCACCTTGTAAGAAGGAATGGAGGTGGACCCTGTTCCACGATATAACTATAACAATGTCTTGCTTCTTTTCATCTCCATTAAAGTTTCTCTCTCGTCATGTGTGTTTTGGCTTTCCTATATAGAAAATGATGTGTAGGAATCAAATGTTCATTTGGCATCGCATATCTTGATTTTATTGTAGAATTTTTTTTTTTAAATAATAAATTTTCTAACTTACTTTGTACGTGTCCTGAATCCAACAAAACATATTATATCAGCGGTGAGTAAAATGAGATTACATGTAGTATTATTAAAATAATTTTGCATGCATACACCCTCCAAGCTAGGTTTCATTGACTATATAACACGCAAATTAATATTGTTATTCTTAGAATGGAAGTTTAGGTTAATTCCATGAAATTAATAATTAATAATTAATTAATTAATGATTTTTTTTGGCCAAATTAATTAATTAATGATTAATCAGACTTCAATTACAAAAGTGTAACCACTTTTCATTTATTCTTCTTCTATGTATCGAACTCGCGAGAAAAGCATGTTACATATATGTAATACTTAATGCATGAATAAAATAAGACGAAATAGTCACGTCTTTATCATTTGGTAATCAAAGCTGTGCATTATTGTAAATATTGAATTTATACATACTCGTAGAGAGACTTGTCCCCTTCATACTAATCCCATTCTTATCAAATCAATCCAATTAAGTGACAAAATACTGATCATATTGATTTTTCTATATGAGAAAGGACTTTGAACTCCCAATCTCTTTTAAGGAATGGACATGACCACTCACGTCAACCAAGATGGTTTTATATATATATATATATATATATATATATATATATATATATATATATATATAGGTATTGGATCGAATGAGAACAAATACTTAGGAGAGAAATAAGAACCAATCACATCCTTACCTATGAAAAAATAGGACGATTCATATCAATTTTTTTTTTATAAAAAAGGGGTGACATTTTTCGTAATTATCACCGACTTTACTATGTATACTTGAACACTAAAATATGTCATTTTTAGTCTTTTTCAGTTTTTTTTTTTTTTTAAATAAGAGTCAGATTTTACGGGTATAACCCTAATCAAATTCAAATTAATCAGTGATAGAGATATTGCATGAATGTAAAATTGAAGGAGAATTGTAAGTTGTAAGTGTGTAAAAGAATTAATATTTAGAGCAAGCTAAGGTGGTAAATCTAATCCACTCAAAACCTGACATGTGCTTGCAAGATAACACAGAGATTTTTGGAGACGATGAGTGGATAAGGGTGCGTTGGGGCATTCGCTAAGAACAACGTTAAATGAGCGGTTCCGATGTCGCTATCCATTACTTATTACGGTAATAATCGACGATGCCCAAAAGATAGGAAATGACTCCAACTCATCATCATTGCCATTTTCTGTCTCCATTTTTTTTTTTTTTTTTTACATCAAATAATTGGTGAAGTTTTACTAGTATAGTGAGTTGTCACATGATGAAACATTATGGATGATTTTATAAGAATGGCATAAATAACCACTTTTCAATTTGCTTAACTTGACATTTTTATGTTAAGAGGTAGTTTGATTTGGCGGAGTGGTACTAGTATAGTGGCTCAATTTGGTCACGGCATCCATACCAAATGGCAAAAGTGACTGTTTCGCTATTGGAGGGGTTCAATGGACTATGGTTTTTTAAGGGCATTTAGCCATTTGTTGGGGTAGGGGAGAACGACAATCTAAGAACGTGGACATAGCTGCCCTACACTGATCAATAGAATAGGAGCACGCGCAGATAGTAAACAGTTGCTAAGTTCAGAGCAATCGATGAAGAAATCCACTGATAAAACATTACAGTTCTTGAGCCATGACAAAATCCCCTTACAAGCCAGCGACTCCGCCATGAGCGGGACCATTGTGAGCCTTAACAAATAATGCATGTGTTAATTAACAACATTCATCCTTTACTTATATAATTAGATACACTAATTCATTTTTAGCTAGATTGTGATCATTGTCTAGAGCAAAAACAAAAAGTATGCTTCATTCTTTAACATGTACCCGTACTACTACATGTATTATTATTATTATTATTATTATTATTATTATTATTATTATTATTTACTCCTAGTTGCCGTGACGTGTTTGGATATATTCAAAAAAAGAAAAAGAAAAAAGTACATTCAAGTTTTTGTTCACTTCTTTTTTCTTTCTTTAGTAAAATCTACTAACCTAGATATGTGACCGAACGTTTTATTTTTAGGTGAGTAGAAGTAGTCTTGTCATTTTGTATATTAAAATAAGAGTATAAGAGTATGGTTGTTGGGTAGCCACGGTATAGCAGTGCAATAGTGCAAGTGTGGGTTTATAAAATAATATTTAATGTATGTTTGTACTTTGTAGCAATAAAATGAAAAAAAAAAAGTGTTAAAATTGGAATGCAATTTATGTGAGGGGAGTATTTCTTGCATTAGTTTAAAAAGGTGGGAGATCAGAAGTGACTAAATGACAAGACACAATGATAAAAGAGGAGACAGCATGAATAACGAGGGCCAGTGCGAAGTGGGGATCTCCAAGGCAATAACAATAATGTCCATTTAAGGAAAGGAAATAAGGATCCACTGACAAGTACTAATTTATCATTAATTTTTAGAGATATGGACCCCACTTATTCCCTATTTTGGCACTGCAACAACTTGTACCTGTATAAATTTAGTGTCCTTGCCCCACAGCATCTTTTTGGACTGTTCCTGCTTTGGACATATCTCCCATACCCATGTTTCCGAACCCTATTCCTCTTCCAGATTATTGTCTCTAATTGCCTGTAGTTTTATTGTTCATACATTCTTGGGGGATGGGGGGGTTCAAACTTTAAAGAATACTATGTGGTTAGAAACAAAGGGTTATATATTTATATTATAATGCAATAATGCAGTGCTTTTTAAATTGTAGAGATCAGTTATGTAAAAATGGTCTTGTTTGCAAGCGGTTGAATATTATTTACAGCTAAATTCACATTTTCCTCCACGCTTGTACGGCAGACATTGTAGAAATAGGTTTCAGTTGATTGTAACAGTTGGGAAAGTATGCCAAAACCCTGGACAATGGTATTGTAGTAGTACAAGAAAAAGCACAAACCAATTGTGATGGAGACCGCTTGTGTTAAAAGTGTGTAATAGAAACCGAGGCGAAACCGAGCAATTTGGCCGGGGCAGCAATTGATGAATATGAGGGAGGTGGTTGGGAGTGTAGATGTTTTCATCTTCTTCTGCCATAATATAGGCCGCCGCCGGAATGGTGCAGGTAGCGGTGACGTCCACCGCTCCGGCTGTGATCCCACGAGGAGTTGCCGCCCCGATTTGAAGAAGCTCTGCTACCGCTGCTGCTTTGCATCCAGCTCTGAGCTTGGTTTCCCAGGCCATTAAGCTCCTCCTCTTCTCTGTCGTTATACTCCAACACTAACCGCTTGATATCTTGTTTTTCCTCCAGCTCGGCTGCTTCTTTCTGCTTTGTGCTCTGTATGAGAGAGCAATCACGAGGGATGAGCATCTGCTTTGTTTGTTGCTTGTTGCCCCGCTTCACAAGAACCTTAACTCGAACCTCCTTGCTTCCTCCTGCTTCTTCATCCAATGTCTCATCCCCGCTTTCTCCTTCAACTCCACGATGATCCTTTGCTGGCCCCTCAAACACATTCATTGGTATCGCCATGTTTATTGTTGGCCTCGTCCGCAGCTCCAATTTTCGTGAATCCAAACTTTCCTGTAAACCATTGAGACTGCATCTTTAATTTTCTATGGCAAGAAACCAATAAAGCAACTATAGTACACAGAGTATATAATAATATTAATAATAGAAAGTTGAATATTATAGAACATCATCTTCCTTTCTGATAAGCAAATGAGAAATTTATAATAATTTTCTATGGCTTTCCTTCACTTAAAACTCAAAGTTCAGGGAGAAGGAAAGAAATGTTCTTGTACTTGCCTGCATTAAAGCCCGCAGTTCCCGCTCAAAGTCAGCCTCCTCCAGAGGATCAACTTCAGCAACTTTTGACCTGACATGTACTTCATCATCTTCATCAGAAGCAGCTCCATCACCATCATCATACTCATCCTCACTCTCAGACCCATCATCACGATTCTCTTCATCGAATTCATCATCATCATCACGTCCTGGATGCTCAGTAGTGTGACTCCCAGAATCACTTTCACTGTCACCCATTTCTTCGTGCAGCTCACCATTTTCTTCAGTACCATTTGTAAGGCTTTGCCCGTTAACAGGTATGTCAGAGGTCACCCTGCTAGAATACCTGTCTCTGTCTGAATGCTTCTCAATAGTGGCCCTTTCAGTTGAAACTGTCCGCTCATGTTCATCAAGTTCCAGAAGTGCTGCATTGACTTCTTCAATTGAGGCATATCGAGTCATGTTGGGGCGTAATTCAGCAAACAAGTCCTGGAAATGCATAATTTTTAAATTAGTGCACATTCTAAATAGTTCTCACACTACTGGCTTTTTCAGTTTGACTTCCATCACCTTTCTTACACATTGTTTAAGCCCAACCCATGATGAAAGAATGTTAGATTGTGTAAACAGATGAAAATTCACAACTGAAATATGGAAAAATGAAAGCAGAAAATTGAAAATAACCTGCAAGTCAAACTCAATATCCAGGGGCAACACGCCTTTGCCCAATATGTATCTCTGGAAATGAATTAAGAACCGATCAAGTTTCCTCTTCGATGAACCTCTATCAAAGTAATGTCCACAAGTTTCAAGAAGTGTAATGACCATCCTGATACGGAAACAATCCTCTGGTGGATCCAGTGTGTTTTGCTAGTCACATGAAATTGAATCATCAAATTAGATAGATAGTACAGAGAAGGGCATGGTAACCAGTGTAAATCATAACAGGAGAATCGAGATCTTCACTGCAAAAGCTTTTGTACATGGAAGGATCAAAACAGAGGAACAAAATAGAAATGAGAAAATGAGCATACAGAAGTGTATTAGCAAAAATACTATTAGAGAAGAAATAATGACAAAAAACATAAGAATGTGCTTGTATAGTTGCATCCAAATCATAGATGCACATAGCAAGAGTTGCAGAATGTATCCTAGAAATATATTTCCATGGAATAGTGGAATGCTATAAAAACTTTGCATGGAAGAAAAAGAAGATAATGTAGTGTGATTTCAAGTCCAATAAAAGGTTGTGTAAACATCAAGTACAATTTTATCTTTAATACAGTAACTGGCATTTCTAAAGCATTATGCACATATGATAATGCAAAGAATAGAGCAATTATAATTAAAACTACCAAGTCAGATATTGCAAGATTAGATGTGGACCTATACCTCTGCTGTTCCATGGCCGAAAACAAGAATCAGATAGAGTGTATCAAAAATGACTGATGAGTCCACCATTTCATAGTTATACAGTTCTCCTACAAACCGCATGTGAGCAATGCGCCTCTGCTGCATCCCAAAGTCATTCAACTCTAATCCCACCCTTATCTCCTCTAAAACCTAGAAGTACAGGTATTCCTGTCAGTTTTAACTCGAGCCATTACCAAAAGAAAGTTTGTCATATCATAAAAATATACATCATGCACAATTGCACATATATAAAACTGAATGAGAAGCAAACTAATTTCCTGCTCGAGAAGTGAACTTGAGTTTGACTTAGATAAGAAAAAATAAGAAAAATTTACATTACTTGTAAAGACCTCAGATACAAGTGAAACAGCATAGAACTAAGAAAAATATTAGTGAACTTAGACAACTTCTGGCTTGCACACCCTTCTTTCCATTAGAATGGAGATTTTATTTTACTTAACTTCCTTTCTCTTGCTTCTTATTTAATCTTCATTATGGCCAGTGGCATTGTTTGAGAGTTTGGAAGGCACAATATGTTAAAAACTAGAAAGGTTAACGTAGATTCAAGCACTTCAGAAAACAAACCTCATCAACAACACCAATAGAAAATTCTTCATGATACCGGCTCAAACTAGCGGTAAGTGATGCAATCAAGTGAATCTGACTGTACTTCCCCTTGTGCACCTTCATAAAGCACTTCAAAACGTATTCCTCACATTCACTCCAAGGAAGTTTCCGAAGTTGTCTTAGTACATGCTCTATAGAAGATTTGTCAAGATCCGAGAAAAGGAGTTTTCTTATATACTGCATAGCTCACCATTGGAAAAAAGTTATATTACTAATTTGTCAGTATAGACTGCAGAAAGTATGAAACCTAAGTATCACTTATACCTGATGCAAAGGTGGACGAACTTTAGAAACTCGTGCAGACCTTTCAGGTGGCTTGCACAAGTAATATGCATTCTCCACTAAGGTGATATGGCGGGGATCCAAATTTTTGACATTCTTCAACCGCATCAATATCTCTAACATGTTAGCCATGCGAATCATGGTCTCAGGAGAGCGGTAGAGAAAACGACCACAGGTTTCAAGAAGATTGCAAGCAACATCAATATTGTGATGAGTGAAATCATCTAAACAAGCCTGGAGGTTAAACAAAAAACATGGCTCTTCTATCAGCAATGAGAGATTGAAATAATTCATATATAAGTTTCTCAATCTCACTGAAGAGTTTAGTTTAACTTTATATCCTAATTTCTGAAGAATAAACAAACGAAGACCCACATACAGTATGGACATTTATCTGTGAAGAATAGAACAGAGTTGACAAACATGAATTTCAAATTGTAAATGAAAGACCAACTTTGCAATCCAAGTAATACAATGCTCACACAGCAAAAAAAAAAATGGAACTCCAGCAAACAAAAAGATAAAACTTATATAACCACTTGGATGGTGGGGAAGGCATGGATTTGGTGGGCTGGCACATGATTCTAAATTGTTTCCTATAACACATCCCCTAGAAAAAGGAAAACAAGGAGGGAGAGAGGGGGCACAAGTTTCCAGAGGTCAGAACCACAACTGTTAAATCAGATCCTGAATTTTTATACCTTTAGACAACTGAAAACCAGACCAGCTGGTGCAATTTTAAACTTGCAGAGTTCTCCAATAAAACGAATATTCCTTATTTTGCTTTCTATGTTCATTTGATCCTGCACATTAGAGGCAAAAATATTAAAACATTCAAGATTCCGTGACTCTGGAAAGCAATTCACAACACTTTACCTTCTTATTTATCAAATTGTTGAACTCTTCCTCTAACAACTGTAAAAGCATGGAAGACACATCCTTCATGCAAGTAGAGAGTGTTGCAACCATACGTGAATAGTATGGCAACAATTCCAGAGAAGTTCTAGGAACATTGAACAGAGCCCTTACAAGCTTCTTCCTGTTAGATTTAGAATTCAAGTAGCAAAATTCCACCTGTAAAAATTAAAGATCAATAAAAAATAGTAGTATTGTAAGAAGTTGGATTAAACCATCAAATAAAACCCAGAGATACAAACAATAAAAGATTGAGAAAGCAAAGTAGTCATTACAGTCAACTGGTCTATCAAGTCACGGCTAACGCAATTCGGGAGCCGCTGCAGTAAACCATCCAAATTGGTTCCTTCGAGACCTTTAACTTTATCCTTTTCACTGTCTACTTTTCTTTCTGATTCCTTTTCTTTCACTTTATCTTTGTCTCCTTCTTTGGTCTTTTCTTTATCTTTTTCATCTTTATCCTTGACTTTGTCAATCTTATCCTCCACTGTCACACTAGAATCTGCAGAACCCTCTGCAATGTCTTTTGCAGCTGTCTGACTCTGACCTTGATCTGAATCCAATGCCAATTCCTTTGAAAAATTAAAAAAGATTAAAATTACCATATGCAAATAAATAACATATAACATAACATACATTATACATAATCAAATTGCATGGATTACATTGTTATATAGAAGGCAACATGACAAAGAATTGAGAATCTGGAAAGGTGCACGCATCATTGTTTACAGAGCTCCAAAACAAAATCAAGCACTAGTGTTTAAGAAGAAATCTTAATTCAACTAAGCCCCCTTCTTGGATCATACACCATTCATTTCTTTCTCATTTAAGACCATAATATATTTGCATTACTATAGCGTATGATTGTATTTAGTGAATAGCTGGAGACCAAGAAAAAACTATAGTAACTTCTGCACAGAAGCAATAGATAGGCAGGAAACATAGAATGGAGTATCTGAAACATAAATGTTATTGTGGAGATAAATGTCATTGTGGAGAGTGAAAACAAAAATTAAACAAAAAGTAGCATTGTCACATAATGTCAAGTCATGCTAGTCTAAGCATCATTGTGGATGGGAGAAGGAACATATCAAAAGGAGGTGGGGTGCTGCTGTACACAAAGAAAGTGAATTCCTTGTCACAGTTAGAATACAACTCCAGAACTGTATTGGACTGAATCAAGTTTTGCAGATATTATGACTCGGAACTATGACCAATTGTATTAATGTGGAAGCCATGTTCTCAAGTTTGACAATGGGAATCTGGGACTCTTATGGAACTTAGAATATGGAAGTAAGAAACCAAGAATACCAAATAAAAGATCAAATTCCTTACAGTGGGTTGTTCTTGAGCCTTTGGAGCCTGCTCGCTCAACTTGGGTTCTGTTTCTCCCAATAAAACAGCAGGGACAAATGCCCTGGAAAAGAGAAATTGCCATGTGGAACATGTGAGGAAAAGTACTACCTGTGGAACCATATTACAAATTTTTTGATGTAACTATTGCCATGGGGAAAAAACCTGAGATCTGGCAAACACTCATAGAAAGCCCTTGTATCCTCATCATCCCACAGGGCTTCTAAGACAGAAGAATCTTTAACACCACCAGAAGATATGTCTTCCACTGATGTTACCCTGGTTGTGTGACCATCCTCAGGCATCACAGGAGGTTGCATGTCAAGTGCTTCTGCTAAACTACAGTACAGAGTACACAGAAGAACCTTTAACACATCAAGGAATAACAAAGGGAAAAAATATCTAGAAGTTTAAGCGCTATTTAAAAGAAGGAATAATATTCCATAAAAATAAAATTTAGAAGAATTAAAAGAATATAATAAAATGAAGACAGGAAAGAAACAAATAAACTTTTTAAGTCAAAACCTAGAAATTACACTAACTGAAATGAAAAAGAAAAATAAGCATTAAAATTAAGGAAATGTAATTCATGTTAGCATGAAAAACTCAAGCCAGAGCTTAAAAACTCAGTGTCATAAAACAGTATCACTTAATTTAAAAAATTGAATTTGCAATAAATTTCATTATCAATGAAAATAGTTGCATGAATGTCTTCCAAAAGGTAAAATTAGTTACAGTCCATCCAAGAACCTTTAACATTTCAGGAACAATTGCGGAGACCAGCAATAAGTAAAATATGTTTCAATACAAGTATACAACAAGCTTCCTGAAAAGTGACATTTATTCCATTCAAAAGAATTTTAATAGAGTTGCAACTTTTCAGCAATACATGTAATTACTAATTATACATACATTTCAACTGAGGACATAATGCTGACTGAAGAAGGTTGTGCTTATCTCAAGAGAACAGAATATGGTCATTTGCAGCATGCTGATTAGTTAACTGAATTTATACAAGCCCACAGAGTCATAAGTGAATATACGGTAGAGTACTTATAACTTTCTTGAAATGACACCAAGAGAAAAAATTTCATGTATAGACAGTCTAGCATCCGCATCAGATCACAACTAATACCCAGGTCCCAAAAGATCAAATAAAGAAATACTGTTATTGGTCTACCATGAAATGACATAGGTACCTCAATAGGTTTACATAGAAAGACAGGAGTATCAGCTAACTTACGCAGAGATACCACGGTACAGCTGGTCATAAGCTTTCCGCAGCTTTTCATATGAAGAGGCACTTTCCTCACTCAGTTCACCTTTAGCAGCCAAAATCTTTGCATTTTCATGCTCCATTTGGCGAAGTGACTTCAATTGAGTTAAAAGAAAAAAGGGGGTAAAAATCATCAATCATAACAATTGAAACAGTGGATTTTATTGAAAAATATAATAACACATCCCAGTATTAAGAAAAAAACACATAGCTGAATATTCAAGAATCTCTCCTAACACCACAAAAGTATTAAGAGAGAGAGAGATTCAAACTCTTACAGCATGCTCTGACTGAAGAAGTTCAACAGCTGCATCATAATATGTTTGAAATGCCTTCCTAAAGAACTTTTTCAGCTCTGCTGTGACACTAAGGCCTTTGAAAAACTGCAAAAGCAGATTAACACAAATTGAAAGAATGACTAATAATCACAAAGTTCATATTAGAAAAGTAAACCAAAGCATTATGATATTATTCAAAAAGAGAAAAACATTTTCATATTTTAAAACATGGAATTCACAGTCAGACGGAAGTAGGCCACTTATACAAGGGCTAATTCATTATGGCAATGGGGGCAACAGCACCACTAACAACCATTTGGTTATGTGTCTGTACCTCCACGGTCTATAACTTAAGAATCATTGAAGTCCAAATTTATAACAATGAAATAGAATTTAGCCTGGGAACACCAAATGAAGTTATGAACCAAAGTCATATTCAGAAATTGAGATCAATAGAAATGTTGAAAGTAACTGTGTGTGGGTATGTGTAGTTAAAGTTGCACCATGCAGAAATAAGACATTTAATAATTGTCTCCATAAAATCAGATTTGTTTCCCTACCCCACAAGAAAAATCTTTTAGCATGAGATAGTACTGCTCAATTTCAGGAACTCAATTCCAACTGAAAGGTTCAAATTGGAATAATCATAATATGAAATTATGGTTTCCCTATAAGACAAGGTTAATGCGCAATTCTACCAATGAGTTTGTTAACAGGCTTCACCTCTTCAAGAATATCTTGGTCAGTCAGTGGAAGACCAAGCAGATATCTCCCTTGTCGAGCAAAACTTGCAAGGAGGGACAAATTTGTCTGGGTTGCATCTCGATCCTTCAAGTGTTCTGCGCTAGTGAGATCCTTAATAATGTTTACAAAGATGCTACAATCATCTACAACTCCAACAAAATAAAGTTCCAAAAGAAGTTTTAATGTGCTACGCTTCTTCATGGCCCTTGAATTCCTGTCTGAATCTAAGTCATCAGCAGATTTTCCAGGAAAGAACACTCTCATGAGGCCTTGAACTAGGCTTGGTGAAAAGTCCTTGTATCGCTGATGAAGCAAAGAACAGATCTGGTAGAAGGGGGAAAAAAAATTGAGAGTAAGTTAAATAGCAATGCATATAAATATGGAAAATCATATCAGAAATGCAAAGAGAACACATTCCATTCCCATCACTGAACATAAGTGAACCCCTCTATATAAAATAAAAAATAAAAATAAAATCCTTCATAACAACACATGTACAACAGCAACATAAACACTAGTGAAATACATAATCGGGCCTTTACTTTCAACAGCCATCAGACTTGTGACTTCCATTAAGAAAATTAAGTTACAGACTTGAGTTAGAATTGCATTTGAAGTGTTTTGGTTTCACAAAGGACTTCAAAAGCTGAAGTTCCACATCAGCAGATGTGGAACAAATTACAAAATGCAGAGCAGATTGCAGTTGAAGGAAATCATGACACACTAAGCAATAGTTAAGGTGTGCTAAGGATAGTGAAATGTATTGATCTCCTAGAACCTAGACTGCTGTAAACTGTTAAGAAACCCTCAAAAATATTATTATGATGTCCCCAAAGAATGGTATAATCTGATAAAACAAATAACGGTACAAGAAAACAGTTAAACAAGAGAAGATTTCAAGGTAATTTTGCAAGTAAATTAGAGCTCAAGCCAAAATCTACCTGAACAGTAGCTTGAATGTCTACTGTTCGAAGCTTAGCATCACAAATAGCAGTCACTGCTTCACTGACAAATTTACTTAAGTTGACACTTCGCAGCTCATCCATCAACCCTTCTCGCAGCTCTTCATTAATTTGCTTAAGTTTTTTAATGACTGCAGTGTTACGCTTAATGCTGGAATCCAGTGTCCTGAGGAATCCTGAGTCTGAAATGAAGAATCACTGGATTAAAAGTCATGACAAAAACACGCCATGTTATAAAATAATCACCTATTTCTCAATTAGCTAAGATACATTTCTCCCTAAGCAGGAATGGGATCACTTCCATTTGTTATTATTGGAACACGTGAGTCAACATATGGAGATTCCTAATTGGTTTAACAACAAAAATAAAGTCAGAAAATGATGAACAACATCAACATGAAAATTTAAGTGTTTTTCTTATTCAACTGCTAAACGAAACCAACAAATTGTCCAGCAGCTTAAAATATTATAAAAGATGGTAATTTGGAGTTCATCGAAATTCCCTGTTAGCTTTGACCTATGTCCATATAGGCATATATTACACGATTTGGCAAAGAAAAGAAAGCCAGTGCCTAAACGATGAGCAAGAAATACTTCTTGGCAGCGCCTATATTGTTAATCTTAAATTATGAAGTCATATTTAAACTAGCATTTATAAATTATAAGTATTCAATAAAGTTTTACATCAAGACGAGCAAGGAATAAACATCAATAAATAAATATTATGTGCTTTTACATAAGAGCTCAAATTGCAATTGAGTCACTTATTATGTGCTTTTACATAAGTGCTCAAATTGCAATTCAGTTACTTATTGTGTGCTTTACATAATTGCTCAATTTGAATCCAGTTACTTTAGTATGTTCCGATTTTTGAAAATGAAGAGTGAGAGAATAACTGCATGCAACAGTATGCAATACTTAAAGCAACCTGGCCTTTCTGGGTTAAAATTGCTCTTGCGGAGAATCATTTTTGCCTCAATGGATTTCTTGAATTCCTCAAGGCGGGCAACAGTTTCCTGAATCATCACAGATTCGCAAACAGTCTTTATAACTTAATATTATCATTAAACAGTTGGTGGAATCAGTTTCAAATGCCATATCCTAGAACAACTAAATGAAGAAGTGGCATGGCATTATACCTCATCTTCATGTTTCTCTTGGTGTCCACCTCCAACACGGCCTTCATCCTCTGCATTTTCCATCTTTCCTTATACTAGCAGCAATTATCTATCAAAGAAACAAATTAAACCTAAATATTAGAATGCATCTCATTACACAGCTTGCTTAGTATCTCATAACAACAACAACTACAACAAAAAAATCTCAGACACTAACTTCAGCATACACACAAACACTTATTGCAGATCAAGAAAGAGAAATCAAATGCAATAAAATGCAACTACTTCCAAGATTTTCACTCCGAACAAATACGGAGTACATTTCCACATAAACATGGAGTAAAAATAATCTCGAAACAAATTAGGGAATTCCACACGCATCAATTCAAGAAATTCGAGATAATAGCCAAGAGAACATGAAAAATGAGTATGAAAATGAAATGCTATGCGAGTCTGTAACAAAATCTATTGCTACTTGGGATTTCGTGTGGAATATTAGAGCAAGAAAGTCGAAATTTGAACAGAAGAAGATCATCAATTGCAATTATTATTATGAGCCTACCGAGCAGGCTCTAGAGCTTTACCTTTTCACTTAGTCGGAGAGTTCTGAGCTCAGAGCTTACAAATCATGGAGAATGGGAAAAGAGAGTGTTCGTTTAATTGTTTCTGTAGAATAAAACCCCGCGATGGAGAACCAAATAGGGTGAATCGCGAGTCATCATCGGGTTTTTATAGGCCTTAGTACACGAGTTCTCACTTCTCAACAGGGTCAGGGTGCGGGTTCCTCAAACGCTCGGGTTACGGGTCATGGTTTCGAAGGAAGGGGGAATTAAATTATTAAAAGGAAATAAAAATGGAAAAGTACATTTAGAAAATGTTTAGTTATTTTAAGAGTTAATACCCAAAATAGTCCCTCGACTATGTTGTAATTACCAATTTGGTCCTCGACTATCATTCTTACCCAATTAAGTCATCAACTATACAATTTTTACCCAATTTAATCCTTTGTCAATTTGACTGTTCGTTGACTGTCAAAAGTGGAAATAAAGTTGTAATTTTACAAGTTTTCTCCTTCCTCCGCATTTAGCAACGCTAAACCATGTAGCAATAAGCTCAGGTTGGGTTCTAAACCTGTCAGTATCGAAGTAGTGGTTGTGCATCGGATAGCCCATGAATTTGATTTTTAACGATTTTTTGACGATTGAAATCTAATCGAAGTGTATTGCTGCATGGTTTGGCGCTGTTAAATGGAGAGGAAGGAGAAATCTTGTAAAATTATAATTTTATCCCGACTTTTGACAGTCAACAAACAGTCAAATTAATACAGATGACTAAATTGGGTAAGAATTGTATAGTTGAGGACTTAATTGAGTAAAAGTTACATAGTTGAGGACTTAATTGGGTAAGAATGGTAATTGAGGACCAAATTGATAATTATGACATAGTCGAGGGACCATTTTAGGTATTAACTCTTATTTTAATCTAATGCACTCAACTATTTTAAATCACAAAGATTTTAGCCTTTGTATTAACATTCAAATAATCTTTTTTAGAATTGAAAAAATATGTATGTCGAATCGGGGACTAGTGAATAATCGAATCATTGGGGACAAATGAGAAATTTAATCGTTGAATCGGGATTAGGGATGAAATCGAATCGTCAAATTGGGACCTGTGACGAAATTGAATTGTCAAATCGAGACCAGTGAGGGAATCGAATCGTCGAATCGGGATCGGTGAGGGAATTGAATCGAGACTAGTGAAGAATCGAATCAGAACCGGTGATAATCGAATCAAATCAGGACCAGTGATGAATTGAATCGAATCATGACAAGTGAATAAATTGAATCGAATCAGAACCAGTAAATACGCCAAATCGAATCAGGACCAGTGAATAAATCAAATCGAATCAGGACCAGTGAATAAGGATCAGCGAAGAACCGAATTAAATTAGGACATGTGAAGCATTTCATTGTATATAATCCAATTTTCTTTTTTGTTCACAATAATAAATGAAATTTATTAAATTATTGATCATATATATAATTTTGCATATTATAATAAACAAAATATATTTAGATCACCATTAATGCATTTCATTTCATTAGCGCATCATCAATCACAATATTCACTGACTCACCACCTGCTGTCCTATAACAACGTAAAAATACTGTTATGCTTTATTCAAATATAAAGAGAGTAACAAGCAACAATCAGTTTCTTTATAATCAAAATTCAAAAGGTGTCACCATCTACTTTAAATAAAAAAAAAAAAAAAAAATTGCTTGAATTTGTCTTGTACTTTTTGCTAGATATTTTATCTCCATAGTTTGTGAAACTAGGAATAGTTGGGAAAGATAATGTATTGGATAACTAGGTGAAGAATAATACTTTGCACAATTATTATTATTATTATTATTAGAAAAAACCATGTCAATTCCACATAAGCAAATTTTAGCATGTTAGTTACATTATGGTAACCTATTAGAAATGACAATTTCATAATTCTTTATAGGTTTAAAAGGTTTAAATTAAATTTTTAAAAACTTAATGGTGATGTGCTATACCTGTTTAATCGATCGAGTAACATGACTTACATTCTAGGCAAGTAATCTAGTTGATTGAAAAAAATTTGTTTGTGTAACATATGAGAATTGGAAGAGTATGAATTGAAATGAAAGAAGAAAAGTCACGCGACTAATTAAGAAAAAAAAAAAAACAAAAAAAAAAACAGTGCACTAACACAGTTGGAACACGGTTCCATGGCATAACGATTGAGTGCAAGTAGTTAAAGAAATCATCAGCAAGAGAACACCTTGTGCAATAAATTTGTGTAGTTTCATTACAGTCCAATTAAGTAGGGAGCCATTAGGCAGAGTGAAACACTCGCCGGAATGTGTCGCCGTGAAACATGGGAGTCCCAGAATGAAACGGGTGGTCACGTCTATTCGCCGGAGCCAGCCACCCCAGAATGGAGCACGCCGGAGGATGAATAGGCTGGAAAACGTAACCCATCCTGCCTTGATCTGGACGCAAGTGGAGGCCAGTTGTGGTGGCCGCCGGACGGACGAAATCCAGTCGCTCCCATCTGACTAACAGTCCGGTGAGGTCGCCGTCAATGAGAGGCGAGGAAGCAAGTCTTCGGAGAAGTCCAGAAGAAGAAGAACATTCAAACTCAAATCTTTTTTGTATTTAAAATTCAAAGAACGAACGAGAAATCAAGAACACTCTTTTGATGTTTTAATTCGAAAGCAGAGAAGAAAATCTTTTGATGAAAGCTAAAATCAGTAAAAAATAACGTGAAAACTCTTCCAGTTGGTCAACATGAATTGTTCGTTCGAGAAAATCATGTTAGCCTGGCACTTTAATTCGAGAGAAGGATACACCACGTTCAGAAACCGAATGGTTTCCTTTGATTATGTTTCAGTTAGTTATGTTCCTATATCAGATAATTGTTTAGCACATATTTTAGCCACTTCGGTTTTTAATTATTCAGCACCTATGTACTCGGATAGTGGTCCGTCACACTCTATTTCAGCATATTTCCAATAAATGCCGCGCAGGCTCTTTTCAAAAAATTGGAGAGAAGTCAGAGAATTGATAATTGTGAAGGAAATATTGGATCAAAATTCAAAACATTGATCTTATATTGATATGATATAACCCCTCAATGTACAGTAGATAGAAACAAAACTATTACATTTCTAAAAAAAACAAAACCATTACGAATTTTGTATGTACTACTTACTATTACAACTTTATCTAAATTCTAATCCTTGTTACAAATGGATGAAGCCGCAGATCACCAACAGAACTCCTTTCGCTTGGATTGATTTGGAGGCATTGATTCAGAAAATCAATTAAGTGCGGCGAAGCTCATCGAGGGATGGCCGGCAAAGCATTAGTTATAGTCAGTGCAAATCGTTTCCAACCCCTGATTAAAGTCGCAATCGATGTGATACCTTCCCATAAATAATTCCCAGACAGTTAGCCCAACACACCAGACGTCACATCTAAATGAATGCTGTGGAATTACCTAGTGGTTGACACTTGCCGCCCTAAAAACTCGGAACTCCAATACTTGAGGGGAGCACTGTTGGCTTGACTTTGTCTGCCTCGGGTAACGGAGGGATATATTGACCTCATACAATTTTCTAAAATTATGGAATTCCCAAACCCACACAGTTGTATTCTCCCATACTTGTTAGCCAACATATTAGAAGGTTGTACCCCAAATGTATTATTTTTCTACTATGCAGGTGCTTTAAGCCATTTAGGATTTGGGCCACTACAACAGATAGTGTTGCTTCTTGGGGAAGGTGCAACCCGGAGAGGGAACCACCTTCAATATTAAGCGGAACAATATTAACATATTTGATGGCTTTTAGGATCTCTAATTCTAAGTTATTTTCAAATGGGTTTTCTTGCGACCTAATTTTAATTTCCTTAACGATGTAAAAATCTCCCGCTGCATTTTCAAACAGTTTAACGCGGCCCAGCTCCACTCCAGTATTATGAAGACCACTGATTATTATAGAATGGTGAAGATTTACTTGATTGTATAACTATGATTATATCCCTCAAATCTTTCTTAAAATTCTATACAATTATATGAGTTCTATAATGTTTTATAAGATTCTATAAACTTCTAATATATATATATATATATATATATATATATATATATATTACGGATCATATGCGAATGAAGGATTTAGGTAAATACGATTAAACCCCAACTATATATCTAATCTAAATTAATACTCACTTCACGACTTGTGTCTCTTAAAAGCCTTGTAATAAATCATTCGAGTGTCTCTCAACCTCCTTCGGTTCCTCAAAAGTTATGTTCAGTAAACTACACACTAACAGGCGCATAAACAATGAGTTTTTGTTTTCCAAAAAAAAAAAAAAAACAAGGAGTTTTTGTTTTTGTGTTGTTTTGTTTTTTTCTTTCGATGTTAGGTGTTCGTTTGGAATCGTATTTGATATCAATTGTTATGTCGTGGAACCGTGTCCATTTTACAAGGTGGACATGGTTCCAATACGACGCCATTTGCCAAATTTGGAGTAAATGTGTTGTTAGTGGTGTCGTTTCCCTCCACCAATCAGAATTTAAAAAAAAAAATTGTCAAAACAACTCAGTGAGATGTTGTGAATATAGAGTTCAAGAATTATGAACATAGAGTTCTATAATTATAAACATAAAGTTCTGTAATTGTGAATATAGAGTTCAATAATTGTGAATATGAAGTTTAAAAATTATGAATATAGAGTTCATTAATTATGAATATAGACTTCTAGAGTTCATTAATTATGAATATAGACTTCTAGAGTTCAAAAATTATGAACATAAAGTTACGTAATTGTAAATATATAGTTCAATAATTGTGAATATGAAGTTAAAATATTATGAACATAGAGTTCAATAAGACAAACGACGTTAACGACAAAAGGAAGCTTTTTTTTTTTCTTTTTTTTTTTTAAAATTGACACGGCGTCATTTACCACTAAAACGACACAATTTTGGAACCGTAGTTTTGTAAAAAGTTAACGGCAGAAACGAGAAATGAAATTTTTTTAAAAAATTACAAAACGACGTTGTTTTGGACCAGAACGCACAATGCATTGTACGGTCTGGTGTACGATATAAAAATCCCTAATCGTTATACCCTGCACCACGGCGCATATAGCACTGTGTGTCACG